CAAAGTTGAAGATGGGGAGGATGCATAAGATTCAAAGCCAGTATTGAATAAACCATGGTGGAGAAACATACTCCATGTGCTAGCGGCAAGAAAAATACGAAGGGGTTATAAAACCCAACAAAAAGTTAGGAGGGAAAATTCTACACAACATAACAGGGGGAGAGGGACATGGTTTATTTGCCAAAAGGGTGGTTACATGGGAAAAACCCCTGGAACCAAAGAGATTTCTAGATTGTGGTTGTGGATTGGGGTGTGTTTTTGAATCGCATAGACATATTTTTTTCCTTTTTAAAAACAGTAACATCTTAATTAAAACATTTATTTCGATCATGCTCGTCATATCACCGAAGTCACATTAACTCTCGATTTTTCAAATCATGGAAATATTGGCGAAGACAATTGGGGGAAAGTGAGAAGAAGAAAAATGTGGTAAGCTCCTTTTGCCATCATTTCCCCCTATCTCATATTATCCCAAAATACTTATCCAAAGAAAAAACCTAGGGCTTGTTCTAAGCTCTTTTCAACATCATATGGAAATGTGGTAACAAAACATATTGCCACGTGGCAAATCATAAGACAAAGGTAACAGGTTTTCTAGGTTACATGATTTGCATTATTCGACACTTGAAAAATAAAGGGTGGATTGGGAATATGCCATTATCGAACATAAACAAATACTATAATTAAGAGGCTGATGAATGTCAGCCTAGGTTGTTATTGTTATTCATTAAACAAATAGAAATCTGAATTTGCCACTTTCTTACATCTAATCCCATTCAAGATTTCAAACCAACCATCATTCCAATATTGCAAGTGGAGAAACCTTCCTAATAAGCCACCACCACCACCACCACCACCACCTATGCTTATGCACTCCCATTTGCTTCTCTCCTTAGACCCACCCACTCTTTCCCAACTTTTGTCTCTTTTATCAGCACCTGAGTTTTTTTGTTTTTGTTTTTGTTTTTTTTAAATCATAAACTAATCCTACCTAACATATTATCAAATGGGCCTTAATTTATGTGTGCATTTTGCATATTAAACTAAACCATAAACTTAATTATTTGCATGTTGCAATTTTTTGGGAGTTTCTGTTTTACCTACTTGTGTAGATATGTACTCTGAAAGGCTCAAGGTTTTGAGAAAATAATTCATACTCTATCTTATTTCATCCAATGATTTAAAATATGAGTTACTCATTATTTTGTTAATTTAAACTCCATTCATATGTTGGGAAATGTTAGTTTTAGTAGACTTGTTATTGTGTGAATAAGTGAATTTTCATCCAGTTAACAAACTATTAGTTTACTTACGATTTTGTTAATTAAGACTCCATTCATATATGCTAACGGGGTCTAGTCCAATATAAAAGAGCATTGACTTGCAGATCAATTAAAAAAAACAACTCCGTTTATATATTGTAAAAGATTTCACAATCTTGGACTCAATCTTCAAATGCTATATAAATCAAATAAAATTTCATGTAATGAAGCTACCTAAAGTTGAATAGCTTCATATATATTTGAATGATGACTTGCATGCATATCCAAATTCTTTTCTTTTTCAGGGAGCACAATTAGTGTGCCTTTTTAAAACAACTCTAGAAGAAATTAAGAAAAGAAAGATAATCATGGTGATGCATTGACTCATCAACTTGAAGATAAAAAAATTATCATGCTTTGGGTCCTTTAAATCATTTTATGGATTATTATATTGCCATATAATATATGGTAAAAGAAGATACATCTAATGGTTTCACCTTTTTTTTATGATTTGGTTTTGTTCAGTTTGATGGGCTTTTACTTCTTTACCTTTGGAACCTTTTTGTAATGTCTGCTGCCACCATATGTTTGTTGACTAATGAACTCCTAATGCTATCCACATCAGCTAAACCTTTGTTTAAGTAATTGAGGAGAGGCGATTAATGTGAATGATTATAGAATATTACGGTAGTATGATTATGTGGTACATCTTATACACGTGTTATAATATGAGTAAATATTTATTGATATAATTTACTAAATGAGGAAAAATAAATCGTGTCATCCATCCATATTATAACACGTGTATAAAATATACCACGTAACCATCCTACCGTAGTATTATATAATTTCTCCAATAATGCGCATGTCATCTTTGGCAATCAATCTGTTGTTTTTTTTCCTTTACCCTATTATTAAAATAAATTACAAACTATTTGGCTTTGTTTGAAGCCAATAAAATACAGTTTAAATGGCTTGATCATGAAGCCTTTCAACTGAGAATAAATTATACACACAACACAAAGGTTACCTAATTTCAGAAATGAAAAGGGAGCCTTAAAAAAAAAAGGTGAAAAAACAATCATGGTTCATGAATGTTGTTTGAAAGTTTCTATCATGTAGAGCGCAAACTGGGAAAAGTAAAAGGCAGCACACCAGTCAATCAAATGATCATTAAATTAATGACAGAGGGTTAAGACAACTCTTGTTATTTCTGACTTTTGTTTACAAGTTCTCCATTTTCCAAATGCACATAGACAAAAACTTGAACCTTCAAAATTCATCCTGAGATTATAAATTCAACCTGCAAAGAGAATGTTGATTCTTTTTTTTTGGTTGCAAAGTCAAGAAAACTTGATTGGCAAGGAAAGATTGAAATTTCTCGGAGTCTTCCAAAAGATATTTTTAATGAACATAAATGCCAGCCATAGAGCAAACACAATCTAGATAGTTTGACAGAAAGGGAATTTATATGCATCATGGTCATGGTCATTGTCATTGTCATTAGGGTTAAGCAGCACCATCACCACCACCACCATTGCCCACTAGCAACCACTAGCATTGTTGTCTCCATTCTAGGCCATCCACATCTTGCCCTTAAATTTGGCAACTTTGACAAGAGGGTTTGGCTGAGATATCCGAACCCATTGTTCCTTTTGTTTTCCTTTCCCTCTCTCTTGAAACTTGGGGACATCAACAATTTTGTTTCTTTTATTATTATTTTTTATAAGAAAGATAAATCTGTGACGACTCGTATTTAAAATCATATCTTTCAATCATCTAAACCAATTTATTTGCTAAAGTAATCTTGGAATTTTCATATAAGAAATCTATAATTCTTCTTTTCACACCATTTGGTGATGACGAAAGGAATTATTGTTTGCACTTCAAAATTAGCTACACGCCTTCACATACAAGGCATGAAGAGGAAGATGGTTTTGCACCGCATTCATCATTTCCTAATTGTTAATCAAATTATAGAATATTGACTTTTGACTTCAGAATAAGCAAAAAAAATAATATTTTGAACGGATGTTTTAATCATTGACAGTAATCACGGGCTGGACTTTGCATCAATTTTGAACAACCAAGGGAGCAACTATTTGTCCAATTAAAAAATAAATAACAAATTTCATAAACTTGTATGCCAAGAGTTATCTAACATAATCAACAAGGCGCGGTAGTTTTGATTTGTACGGAAGACATTGTGATGGGCTGAACGGAGTGTGTTTTAAAGCCCGCTTCAACAGTATGTTTGTCAGCCCAGCATGGTTGGCTTGCCGATTTGTAGGTCAAACTTTCTTTTCAGCTTTTCTCATTCAATTTTCAAGTCAAACTCGAACTAATTCAACACGGTGTTAACCAAAGTCCACATTAGAAACATGCAAGATGAGATCAATGCTGAGTGTTCAGAATGTTTACCAAAGATCATTGAATACTCTCGGGGAATGGCATCGAAATCTCGTGAAAACAAACACATAGAACATGGCAGGCGGCTGCTTGATCCCCTCTATTTTCATCCTCGGCCGCATCAAAGCGATATCTTTCCAAGATTTCTTTGTGGAAGTGGCCAAATGTCCTTGAAAAATTGCAATAAAATTGTGTTTGTATAGATGCTAAGCCACGCTTCTACCACCCACCAATCAAATATTTTGAGCATGTTCTTAAATCGCTATCTCTTAGATAGGGTTTGAGTGAAGCCTTACCTTTTTTCACAACCAAACAAGACTCATTCTGATGGGTTCACGATTCGATTACCTCCATGAACCCCACCCTAAGGCTTAACAATTAACCATGAGTTCACAAATGGGGAATGGGCTCAAGCCCAATACCATCCATTTTGAAGATTAATACTTTGGGAATGGACGGTCTTTCAAATTAAACTGATTGCCTCAAATGCGTAAGTTTGGATCAGTGTCACTCAATATATGAGTTCCACAATAAAATCCAATTCCTGACCTTCTCTGCATCACTAGTTTCGTTCATATTTCAATTCCTGACTTTCTCTGTATTTACTAGCTCGTCAAATTATACCAATTCCGCACTAAAATATGTTATCTAATACATAAAAAAATTTATCAAGAATTAAATTAAGGAGAGTAGTTGATCCCTATCTAGGGGAACTAGATATTAGTAAACTTAAGGGTTTCAATTGAAAGCCCCCGCTCATCTGTGTGTCTAATCTAGAGGCCAACAGCATCAGTTTGTACTGACCCACAAATAACAGAGAAATCTCATGCAACGGGATAGGAAGGTGCTATTCTCGGCCAATAACACAATAACACATAAGATTATTTTTTGACGTGTTATTATGTTATTAGTGGAAAAATAGCAAAATAGTATTATCTCCTTTAGCAGAAAGTTTTTTGTCCACAAATAGAAATGGAGCGGCCCGAAAAGGCATTTGAGTACACACACTGTAGATCTCCTACCCCTCTGTTCAAATAACCCTCACTAGATCTGGCCGTACACTGTCCTCTGGCAGTCCCATCAACATCCGATGCCATAGAAATGCGTGTAGAGCAGCATATCTTCAACTTGTATCGCATCACCACCGTCCATTTGCGGACCCACCCCATGCCCTCTGTCATGCACTTTCCTCTTCACTAATTACAGCACCCTACCAACAATTTTTCAATTTTCTCTTTTCTCACATTTCTTTTTGGTAAATAACTCTTTTTTCTCCTTCTCGCATTCTATTTTGGTCCCAACAATCAAGCAGCCATTAAGCAAAGCTAGCTAGCTGCCCTGCCAGCAAAATATAAATAAATAATACAAACTATATTCTCTGCCTTCAAAATATAAATAAATAATAAAAAGTGGAAATTTAGTTGTGGAGTGGAAAGAGAGATTCGAACTTAGTTGCAAGAGGAGGATGAAGAGTACATTTGTTCTGACCAACTTAAATAATTTCATGTATACGAAAATTTAGCCGTTGGAAAATCCAAAAAAGACCATATAATTTTGGACAAACAAATGAAAGTGCTGGGAAATTTGTGGTTCTAAAAGGTTCACAGGGGATATTGTGGGAAACAAGCTTTATAACTTTATGAATATGACAGAAGGCAACAAGAATTAAATACAGTAACCGAACAAGTTTTATCCCAAATTAATTGATTCTTGCCTTCCTTCTTCCATCTTTTCCTATTCTGACAAATCTAAAGATATTTTCTCCATTTTGGGTTATTGAAAATTAAAATTTGCCCATATGGATTTTGATGCAGAAAAACTTTTATGAAATGGGGTTCCAAACCAAATACATACTGTCACGTGAAAAAGTTATCACAAATGATATTTGGTCGATAATATCAAAATAAAGTTATTTCCGTTTCATGTAAGTATTTCTCCTTTTTATGGGTTCATGAGTTAAAGGCAAAAGACTAGAGCTACCCAATTTTCTCCAGTGTCAGTTTTAGAGCAGAAAAGTAGAAAGAAGAATGCAATTATGCAGAAGCAGATCAGACTTTGAATCTCTTTACAGGACGAAAACCGCAGATCCAAGAAACAAAAAATTGGTTCTTTCTGATATACATTAATTATTCAGAGCCATTAACACAATTTAACATCATAAATTTGAACAACAAGAGAAAAAAAATTAACAAAAACAAAAAAGGCTTTGCTTTTGCAGCCTAATTCAATTCAATGTATGAAAAGAAAAAATAAAAAACCCACCAAAAATCTAGCAATTAAGAAGCAAAAATAACAAAAATCTCATACCATTAAATACAGTCCTATACAACACGATGCAATCCCAAAGCTCCCCAGCCCACCAACGGCCGCCGCAGCTTCGGATCCGATTTCTTCGCGAAAACCCGGCGGCGAAGAGAGGTGCGATGGAGGCCCAGTTAGACTCTCCGGTGAGGGAGAAATGTTTGGAGGCGGAGCTCCACCGCTACCGGGCAATGGCGTCCCGGGCTTGGGAGTTAAAATTGGGTTCTTCCCGAAGATCTCTCTGGGCAGCAAAACTTCAGAAACCCCAAAAATTGACACGGGCTTTTGATCGAATACAGTCTGGGTGACCGAGGCCTGCACAATCCCAGTGTTGATCGCCACCGACCCGTTGATTCTGCTGATGTTGAGAGTGTACGAGCCGGCTCCCATGTCCTCTGTAGCCAATGTGGGCTGAACCGGGTTCACGATCGACTCGAGCGAGCCCAGTGGGTAGTATGAATGGAGGACATGGAATTTGAGGACGACGGCCTTTTTGTCAGCTGCGAGCGATTGGAGCCTCACATTCGATGGGAGATTCGAAAACGCAGTGTCGGTGGGGACGAAGAGGGTGATGCCAGCGCCGCCCTCGTCGGCCTCGAACTCCTCGACGACGCCGGAGGCGGCGAGCATGGAGGCGGCGACGTTGAAATTGTGGCCGTCGATGAGGGCCTTGGTGATGTTGAGGCCAAGAGGGGGGCGGGTCTCGGAGGCCATGAGGTCGAAGCCGTAAGGGACCAGGAGGGAGTTGACGGAGAAGATGGAGACGTTGTAGGGGAGGTTGGTGACGAGGGACAAAACGGTGGCGTTTGAGGGGGAGAAGGGGGCCGGGGAGCGGATCGAAACGACCCCGGTGGAGGGGTCGCGCGTGATGTTGACGGAGCCGAAGTTGTTGGTGGCGCGGCCTGTGGTCTGGTAGAGGGTGGTGACGAGCTTGCCGGAGGAGGGGATGCGTAGGAGGGCGGCGGGAGAGAGGTACTCGAGGAGAACGTGGTAGCGGAGGACGTCGGCGCGTGAGGAGGGGGATAGGCGGCGTGTGAGGGCGGAGGTGGAGGACAGGAAGGGGTTGGGGACGGCGAGGAGGGTGAGGGAGGAGCGGGGGAGGAGGTCGCCGGAGATGGAGGAGGAGATTAGGTCGGTGAAGTCAGAGAAGTCAGGATAAGGGGAGAGGAGGGTGGTGATGTTGAGGGCATGGATGGAGGAGGACAGGAGGAGGAAATAGAGTAGGGCTGTAGGGGTAAAATGGGAAATGAGAAAGGTTATGGCCATTGTCTTTTGGATTGGGTAGGGTGGGGGTGGACGGGAGGGTGGGGATGGCTCTCTCTCTCTCTCTCTACTGCAGAGAGAGTGTCTGAGTTTCTGGTGTCTGGTGGTTTTAAGTGTAGAGAGAGAGAGAGAGAGAGAGAGAGAGAGAGAGAGAGAGTGTGTGTGTGTGTGTGAGTGTGAGAGTGAGTGAGTAGGAGAGAATGATGACAATGGAAATGATGATGCAAATGGACGGCGATGATGTGTGGTGTGTTGGTGATGGGCCAGGGAGGAGTGGGAGGGGAATAATGCTCCTTGTTTTTGCGTATAAAAGGGGGAAAAAGCAGAAAAACAAAACTTGTTATAGCATTTTTAGCCACTCGCAGAAGATGCTTTTGTGGAGGTACTCGCTGTGGAATTGTGCTAGCTGTCAATGGATAGTAAAGTGTTGGACATGGGAAGTCCGGAAACTGTACTGGAGTTTACTGTATTTGGGCGGTGAGTTTAAGTTGAGGTCAGCTTCGAGTGCACACACATGGTGAAGCTCTGAAGTTCATAATCGGGTAATTTATTGAATTTTGTAGTGGCGGTAAATTTTGACTGTATTGTGATGGTAAGTAATTTTGTTACTGGCAGTAAAATTTGACCGCTTATGCATTGTGATGGTTGGTTATTGGTATCGGTGATAATATTTGACTGTTAATGCATTGTGATTGTTTGTCGTATCATTCAGGCAATTTTAGGCACAATTTGACCGTTAATGTATTATAAGACTCATATGGATCAACGGATCAAGAATCACCTTAGACTTACGGAACTAATTTTGTACGGACAAACTTATTTTATTATTAACTTAGAAGGCATCAGCGGATAAATTGAAAAAGATATATATGATTGAGATGGGTGTTCAGCATTTTGCAATGAACCCTCCACAAAAGCATTTTGCTACAGATATCAAATTCGTGAATGCATCTCTGTCGTAAAAAAAGAAAGAAAGGGAGGAGGAAGAAAAAGTTGCACACATGCAATTATTGGTACTCTTCATGCTGGCATTTGGAACTGTAAGCATAATCATGGGAAAAGGAAAGCTTTTTAAAGTGATGTTGCATACTATTTGGGGCTTCATATTTTCAGAATTCCTCCCTCCTCTGTACGGATATTGTTTTTAAACTAGTTGCTATGTGAGGACTGAGAAATTTGCTAAAGTAGTCCAAATTTAGACTCCTTATCTCGTTTGATGGCTCGATCTAAAATGTAAGTGTTTGAGATAGTCTCGATGCAACATAAGGAGATACGCCACTCGATATAGTTCGAAAGTCATTTACCTTACGCAATTATGGACCATTGTAATTTGTATTTAATTCATATAATTTCTGACACGAGATCTTTGGTGCATCAATGAAATGAAAGCTCTTAACCCTACCTCCACATACGTATGAGAAGATCTCGATGCAGCCTGAGGAGATTTGCAGCTTTCTCTTAACCAATTGAGCTTCAAATCTCTTACTTCTTACTATCGAATTTAGTTCATACAAATGTTTCATGGAGAATTTTCCTCTAGTTTAATTATAAATTTCGAATTTATTAGTATAAAAGGTGGGCATATATGGATGGATCAAGATAACAATAAACTTTTTATTAATTTTATTTCAAAAGAATCATGTTGGTACAGCGAGGGACAATGTACTTTTTGAAATTCCAATCATATGTTCTTAGAGCAAACGGGATAAGTGGGGAACTGACCCAGGAACAAATTTAAACAAAAAAAAGTGTTAAAAAAGAGGCTGTGCTTAGCTCTGCTTCTGCTTATTTTTGTTGCTTTATGCATAAAATATTGCTTTCACAGGAATAACAGAACAACTTGCATATCAAATATCTGTTTGTCTAAAACAGAAAAAAAAAAGGAAAAAAAAACTTGCATATGAATCTTACAGCTGCTAATAACGTTGCCAAATGATGCCAAATTTTCCCAACAAAGCCTGATTTTTAAAATTTGGCGCAGCAAAATCTGCAGAAGTTGCTCCTTTGGGGAGGATTAAATATGGTGTGAGGGTGGGGTTGAGGCATCGATTTATTGGGGAACTTCTGCATGCGTCGCTCACATTGTACTTTTTTTTTCAGTAACAAAGAAAATTGGCGTAACCCTTCGTGTACATGATTTTAAGATAAAAATTTGATACGTGCAAATATCCATAAGCCGCATGCGTGAAGTAAATTGGGCATGTTTTTGTATGGTAAAATTTAGAACCTAGGATTTAGTTTACAAGATTTCTTGTACTTACCATTTTACCAACTAAACCATATGTATGATGTACACAGTGGTGAATCTAGTAAGGAGCCAGTGAAGGCACTCGCCCCCACTCAATCTTGTTCTATACCTATGAAGGTGCCAAGTTTTCATGATATTTTCTGTTGAATGGAGACAAACTGTTTGATAAAATGCCTCAAAGAAGGGCTAAGGTAGGGGAAAGGGGCAAAGGAATGGTAGGGAAAAAGGACAAAGGTATGGATGAGACTTGGGCTGCATTAGGCAAGACTTTACAGATTGTTGGTATGCTCCATTATCCAATGCAAGCTATGCCAGACTTTACAAGTTCTTGCTCTCAGAAAGGAAATTTTTTGGATCCGCCCAATGGATGTATAGATTAAATTGTATCTTCATCTTCAAGGTGCTTGTGGGAAGAGAGAGAGAGGGCACAATCCTTCCTTCTATACAAATAAATAAGGACTCCAATTAATAATCCAATGGAAACTCTGCCCAAAGAAAAAACTAAAGGCAAAAAATAAAAATAAAGGATTTTGAAAAATGAATCAAATTTAAAAAAAAAAAATTTGGGGCAGGCCTGTAAATTCTAATAAGACTCTTAACCACTAGGAGAATTGGGCCAAACCTTATAGGCTTTTGTAGGTTTTTGGGCTTTTTTGGACACAGACTCTGACTAGGTAGTCTTTGTTTGTCGTTCACCATTTCAAAGTGACGAGCTCTGGTTTTTTCTTTCGGGTCAACCATGTATTAGATTCCAAGCCGAAAGGCAAACGCTAGGGAAAACATAGAAAGCAGTATATGAGACAAACTACACTACAGTAGCACTTTCATCTGAATCGCTACAATCCAGCAGAAGAAGGAAAACTCCAACCAAGTGATGGGCTTGGTTGGTATCACAAATAGTCTAAAATTCCAAATTTGGAGAAATTTTTCGTGGTGATGCTAATTCATGTATTAAAATTATATGTTGTGGACTTAAAATACAATATTAATAAAAAATATATATACATACGTGTTACAACTTCAATAGATTAGGAACACCACATAATAATAATGAAACTGTCACACCGAAAATCACTTCCAAATTTAAAAGCTTAGACTATTTAGATTGCCAAAATTTATAGGATTCATACGTTATTGAATTGAATTCAAACATTTCTTCATACATCAAGTCAAGGACAAAGTTAGTCAGCAGCCACATTTCTGTTGACCTAAATTCAGTTCCAATCCAACAAATATCTCATGCATTGAATTGAATTCTAGTTCATGTGTTTCCAAGTCAACTTTCACAATTTCTAGAAAACCAACAAGAAGTGCAGATCGTACACATTATATCTGCGCAGCAATTTTTTAAGTTTCAGACTTACTATTTCATGCAAGAATAGTAAAACAACATTATACAACTCTGAAAACACAAATATAAACTTGTTATGATTATCCCAAGTGATCTGCAATGCAAGATCCTTTTGAGCTTTGACTAGCTGTTCAAAGTCCCTTTCCGGCCTAACATTTTGTACAGAATATTGAAATATTCAAGCACAATTTCGAGTGTGTGGACCTGCACAATGGGTTTGAACAAGTCAAAATATTGCAAGTGGCATACATTTGCAAAGAACTTTAATTATTCATATTGAGGCCAAGTAAAAAAACTTTACTCACAAGGCTTTCAAGTTTCAACCCTAATCTGTTTCTCCCCCCTTTCTTCTTTCTTAGGACAGTATTGAAGATGTTTTATATATAAAAAAAGATTTGTTTACCCTTTGATATGATTCTCAATAACTTTATGTCTTTGCTTTGCAAACACTAGCAATGCATAGCCATTATGAAAGTAGAACTACCTTGCAGAAAGTGTAGATCATTCTACACCACTTAAACTATAAGTCGGATATTTCCTTTAGCTGTAGTAAATTCTTTTTGAGATAAAACTCCACACTTGATGGGTCCATTGGTCTTATCTTCACCCTTCTGCTATACTTAGGTATTTGAGGGCATGTTCAAAACTGCTTTTGAAATGACTAAAAACGCTTTCAAATAACCAAAAACACTTATGATAACGTTTGACAGATAAATTTGAAACCTGTTTGGTGCTTCATGAAGCACTTCTAAGTGCCTTTTCATGCCATGTTTGGATTTCTAATAAAGAATTTGTTGGGCTTTAAATAAAAGTTTTTGCTAGAAGCGCTCAAGAGTAAAAGTATTTCCAACAGAAACATTCCCAAACGGACCCTAAGTTGGAAACAATAGTACATACACGAGAGGCCAACACGAGGCGGGACCCCAAACATTAAGATCAAATTATTTTTGGTCTCCCAACATCAAGATCAGCATGATTGATGCATGTGATGCTTCTGGAAATGAGATCAAAAGTACTAATAAGTAAGACCAAAGAATCCAAATACATGAACAATGCTATAATAGTGTTAGGAAAGAGTTTTGAGCTTCTTGTTGTAGTATATTGGAGACAACAAGGGCACTTGGAACAATGCAAATAAGTGATTGAATATCAGTTGACTAAGTTGTTATCCTTTTATTGAATTGAACAACATTTCAACTAACATTGTACCAAAAACATTTCAACTAACATCAACCATAAAACTAAATCAAATAATCTAATCTAACCACCAATACTATCTAATCAATTTTAGCTAAACCCTTTTAAATCCTCATACTTTTAGGTTGATCTAATCTACATAGCTAGCTTGGACCAAGGCTTGAAAGAGAGAGCTTGGACCATTTCGTTGTTAAATTCTTGGCGGGTAAGAGGTCCCTGTTTCTCTTTCCCGGGTCCTCTCTCTCTAACTGGAAGACCAACTATTACTTTTCGTTTCTCCTATCGTATACGCCACTTACCAATATATCATCCTAAGCTCCGAAGTTTCTGAGCTCTAAGCTGTCCCTTACCTTATTCAAAGCCTGCCATAGTTTTGCAAACTGTTGTTGCATGCTTCCGAAGCTTCTCAAGGTTCAGAGCTCTGTTTGTTTTTCTGCTACTTTTTGGTTGCTTAATTCATGTATTAATTGCTAGCGTTGTTTGTGCAGCCATTAAATATTCCCTTTGGTTCTGTCACTTAAATATTCTCTTTGTTTTTGTCTCTGCTTGATTCTTAAGTTTATAACGGAAGTTCTTTCATCCCTGTTTCTCTTATTTATTTTTTATGTTTTGGGTTCGAGCTTTTGGACCTCAAACGTGTATAGATGTTATGAACTTTGGTAAAGTTGCAAGCTTTTTGAGTTGGTTTTATGAAAATGGAATTGGGTATTTGCTCCCGCCTTTGAATTTTGAATTAGAGGTTCTGAAAAATATCATAATCACTGTTTAAAAGCCTGTGTTCCATCTTGTTTAGAATCTGTTTGATATGTTTTTCTGACAGGCTTTTGGGGAAATTTAATCTGAATTTATATGCTAGGAGGTTGAAGTACTGGTTAAAATACTCAACTTTGGAGGTTGAAGTACATGGAGGTTCTAACTTCTGTCTTCTATGTTTTTTCCAGGATTTTCAAGAGACGTGTCTTAGAAGTTGAGAGATTGAGACTCAAGTGGCTCTCAAATTTCTTTGGTCTGTAGACTTTCTCCTGTACCAAAAATGGGAAAGCAATTGCAGCGCCAGGACTCTGGTGTTGAGAGCAACCGTCCAGGCTGCATGTGGAGCCTAATGCATATGCTTGATTACCATAATTGGAACAATGTCAAAAATATGCTTCCACACAGAAAGCGCGCCGGAGGGAGACGAGTCAGATGTAAGCCAACTCAATTCACCCCAGCACATCCTTTCCGCTGTTCATGTGTGATCCTGTTTTTGATAACTTGATACAGAAAACTCATAGTGAAAAATCTTCTGTAATGATATCTCATGCAAAGCTTCTAAGTTTATGAAAGTTTGAAGCGCTTGATTTGTGGTCCTGTGCATGTTTGATTTGGGATGAAAAGCCATGCGAATTCTGCAATGCTATTGCTAGATTTTTGTTCTCTTACTTATGCAGATTATTTTGCTTCTAAAGCGGCTTATCAGATGCCCCATCTAGGAAGTAACTATTTTAGGCCTATAGGCCAAAACAGAAGGAACTATTGAAACCAATATATATTTTTCCAACAGAAGAACTGCTTCTACCTATATGTCTATTTAGATACGAATTATTTACCATTTCATAATTCAACTTTTTCGTAAGGAATGAAGAAGAGGCATCGTTACAACCATCATTTTGAATTAAGAGTAGCAAATGGTATACAGTAGGTGCAAAGACTTTTCACTTAGCAAATCATTCTCTTAATGCACAGACGGTTGTTTACATTCACATATCAGTATTTGATTTATATGAGCTTAGCACAATACATTTCTTGCTTGCAGGCAACTATGGAAGTAGGAAAGCAACTTTGAACAGTCGTGACATTGGTCAAAGGGAAGAATTTGCAGCTGCTGATGCTGAACCTTTGCTGGTAAGTTCATGTCATTCTTTTGATTAAATACAGAATTCAAAAATGCAAGTTGTGATTTGACATCATGTATTTGTGGTTATCAATAACCTCAAGACAGAACACAGAAGTGCTTCTCTGACTTGTTATGAAACATAAGCTGACAGTACCTTAATGTTTTATATTAGGTCAAACATCCCAGTACAGAAATTAGCTCAGCAAAGAAAAGGTCTGGTAAATCTCGCACAAAAGCATCAAGTGCTAAAGAGAAACCTCGTGAAGAAAGCACCAAAAGCTGGATTTTAAGCTTCCATGTGCAATCATGGTTGTGGCGCACGAGCGAAGTGCACGATGTACAGCCTTCAGAAAATTGTTTGGATAAAACAGGAAAGAGAGGCAGCACTAGTCCCAGCAAGAAACAGGCACTTACTACAGAAGAAAGTGAAAAAGTCATGGAATTGGCACCGAACCAGAAGCCAACAAAGACTAACCAGGCACACAAAGACATTTCCAGCGACCAGTTTAATGACCATGCTGATATTCTGGAGATATTTAAGGCAAACAAGGAATTTTTCTTAAAATTCCTACAAGATCCAGATGTTAATACAAACCAGTTTCCTGGCCTGCAAAATTCCAAGAACAAAGTCAGACTAACAAAATCAAGGTCATTTCCTGTAGCTGATTCATCTCAAGCTAGAAATATTAGGCCTAAGAGCACACTCAAACACAAGCAGAATGAAGTTTGGTCCTTCCCCAAAGGAGAAATACTGCTTTCTGGTACTCAGACACCAAAGTTAGTGACATCCGAATCTCAAGAGGATTATTCTATGAAGTCCATGCCTTACGTGGCTGGTGATATCAGTGTAGGCAGCAGTGTCATGAAACAAGAAACAAGCTTTTCTTCTCCGGGTTTGCCTGAGGGATTTAGTCACCAAGGGTGGAATCAGTTGGTCATAAATCGTTTCAAAGATATAACGCAGAAGCTAATGCATGCAATTCAGGAGGGCAAGAAGGAAAATGCTGACCCTTCCATTAAGGCACTCTTCCGGAAAGACCCTTCTGGATGTGATGAGAAAGAATTGTCTGAAACTCCGGATATAGCCATGGGACAACAGAGAAACAAGGTGGATGGTTTTGATGATAATCTTGGGAAGCCAAGAATTCGCCGTGTAAGAAGAACCTCCTCTTTAGATGAGTCACTGAATAGATATACTCAGTTGTTTGAGTCTAGCTACAGCAGTGATCAAAGCAAGTGGGATCGCTCTAGGAGCTTAAAGTTGAAAAGTGAAGAAAAAGTTCCTTCAACTGGGAATGCTCAGAAATTCACTAGAAGGAATCTCTCATTGCCTGATCTTGACTATTTTTGTTCCACCTTAAATCGGGCACCGAAAGATGCTTTTCGTTTAGGGATGCCAGTTAAAAATGCTGTGGACCACAATACGAATAAGGAAAGTGATGGTCATGTTGATCCCAAGTCAGTGAGCTTTCCTGTAGATACAGCAGATAAGTCTGAACAACTAGATGCTATTACAGAGACAGAGTTTCAGAATAACATGGTAGAAAGAAGTGAAAGCAGTGGTAATATTGTTAACTCAGAGGACCTTGATGAGCATTTAGATGAGCCAGCAATAGGAGAAATCAGAACTCACCAGAAACAAGAGATTGGTTTAAGAATGAATCCAGAAAGTGAGCTAGCACAACCAATTGAAAGTTCTATTCTTGAACCTAATCTTTCAGACTATACAACTAGCCATGCAGAGTTTTCAACCTCAGAAGGTAAGCAACATTCTGCACAGTTTTCAACCTCAGAGTTCAGAGTATTCTATGTTTCATTATGTTAAAAAACTAAGTATCTCTATCAATGATTAAGTGCTAATGCATCGTTTTCGTGCTATGTATGATTTGATCTAATTGGTTTGCCAAAATTGTATCAGGTTCAGAGATAAATCCTAGGAGCTCCCATGTGAACGAGTCAGATTGTTTAGCAGCCTCCCGCAACATTGTAAACACTGAAATTGAACACAAGAGTATGGACAATCACTCAGCGAGATTTGTATTCAATAAAGTGGATGATCCCGATTCTGAATTCAATTATGTGAAATATGTTCTTGAGCTGTCAGGCTTCATAGGTCATGAGGACCTTGGGACATGGCACTCACAGGACCAGCCTTTAGATCCTGCATTATTCAAGGAACTGGAGGCTTGCTTTCAGCATGAACTTGATCACCAGCTTCTGTTTGATTTAGTTAATGAGACACTGCTTGAGGTTTATGAAAGATCATACACCTACTTCCCAAGAGCCTTGTCCTTGAGTGGATGCATCCGTCCAATGCCCAAAGGGCACCATCTTCTTGATGATGTATGGAAAAGAGTTAGCTCATACCTGAGCTTGAGGCCGGAGATGGACCAGTCGTTGGATGATGTCGTGGCTCGAGATTTGGCAAAGGGTGATCGCTGGATGAACCTGCAATGGGACACTGAGTGTGTGGCACTTGAACTTGAGGATTTGATATTTGATGAACTATTAGATGAAGCTATTTGTATTTGATATTGTTTAGGCCAGATCACAAGCTGCTAGCTTAAGCCTTGTACATAGAAATTTTTGTATGTAGTTTATTAATATCTCATATATAGGTACCTTAGATTTTGTTTGATGTCATTGTACTTGAATGTCATCTGTGCATTCAAATTTAGTGAATGCAAAAGGTTTTTAGTGTAAAAATTTGTCACTCTTCGAAACTTGGGATGGGACATTGCTTGTTCTAAATTTATTATGGTATATGCAAAAGTTTTTCTAATTTATTTTAAAATCATATATATATTACTACTTCTTAACAAATTTAAATATTTATACTTTTTTTTCTTAGCAAATATGGTAGCAGTAGCAGATGAGTTTAATCAGTTCGATTATCTTTGTATATGGATTTGTAATTTTCAAATAGTGTGGCTCTAAAGCTTTAATCTGATCTTAGAGCCCACCAATCATTCCCAGCCCATCAGCCCATCAGCCCACCAGCCCACCCACTGTTCGTCTTGCGCAGCCTGCAAGCGCTTGCTTTCCCTCGTTCTCGTTGCAGGCTCTCTCTCCCCCGCAAGTCGCAAGATGCAAGCTTCAACCTCCTTCATCCTCTAATCCAACAGCGACGCCTAACAAGGTGGGTATTCTCTCTGATTCTCCTTGATTATTGCTATATTCAATGAGGACATTTTTGTGGGTTCTGTTTTTCCCCAACGCTGACTAGCTTCGGTTTCTTTTGGTATTTCGAATATTTTTCTTAACCCCTAGTGTTCATGGGGTTAAAGAGTTGTGGGTTCAATCATAAACAGTGTTCTAATTCAGATGCTATCCTTGTTACTTTGATTGCAACATATAGTTTGTTTATCTCTATTCATTACTGATAATTTCTGGGACTTCGTTCTATACTGTTTCCTGCCTTTTTGTTTCCTCTGGTAATATACAGATTCTGCTGCTGGTAGTTTTAAGTAAAAGGGATTTGTGATTCGCATAGATAATATAGTGTATAAGGTAATTTACATAAAGGGTGACCTCTGGTTAATTTCTTAGATTAAACCCATGATAAATTTGAAGGTTGGTGGTGATTGTGGTGAGTTTAGTGGCAGTTATGCATTAAATAGCACAAAATTTCTTGTATAGATGTGTTGCTGTTCATTTGTCCGTTTCAAAGGCCGTCTTAATTTATGCAATGGACTAAAAATTTCAGAAAGAAAACATCTTTCTCACTGTTATATCATATTCCGTTTTTGTTTTCTGCGTCTCTAGCATCACATGATAGCAAGGTGATAGCTGGTTTACATTGAAGGCATAAGAAGAGTTTGAGGGGTAAGAAAAAGGAGACAGATGCGGGCGCACCTTACAAAATCGCTTTCGCACATAAAGGCCTTGAGGCAGTCTTCCAAGTCTCCATGGTTTTTTTTGTGTTCTTCTTCCTACTGTGATGCTCCTCACAAGAAATCAAAGCTTGCCCCTCTACAGGTTGCTACATTCCTGCCTCTCTCTCATCAGGCCTTATTCTTCCCAGTTTTCTTCATTTGATTGTCTTTTTCTAAAGCAACATATCTTCGAATATTTGGGATTTTTCTTTCTTTCTTTGTAGGAAAGGAGAATGATAGACAGGTTCAGGCTTTATGCTAAAGGGGGTGGTGGTGGCAGTGGTTGCACCAGCACTCGCCGTAGTCGGCATGATCGCCGAGGAAGACCTGATGGTTGGTTCTCTATAATAGTTCAATGACTATAATCATCTTTTGATTGAGCAGCGTGTTATATATTTACTTCAAATCAAGCTACTTCAACAGTTTTATGATTTTTCTTTTTGGAAATTGTGAACATTTCTTCTCTGTGGCATTCCTGCATTTTCCATCTAACCCCGGAGCTAATGTAGGTGGGAATGGTGGAAGAGGTGGTGATGTGATTTTGGAATGTTCCCCAAGAGTTTGGGACTTCAGCGGTTTGCAACCTCACCTTGTATGTACCTCTTATCTTTCCCATCTTTCTGAACTATGTTTAGCTTTATGGTCCACCATTGTTATTGAGTATTAGTTATGTCGTTCCAGATTGCACAGAGAGGGGGACATGGATCCTCAAAGAATAAAATTGGCACCAGAGGAGCAGATAAGGTATCTGTGTTTAGCAGTCCTACTTACCTGCATGATTGTGTCATATAGTTTGTCGTATGCCACCTATTCAAATCAGAATGCAGAATTGATAGTAAATTTTTTTTCTCTTTTATTTTTTTGGGTAGGTTGCCCAAGTGCCCATTGGCACTGTGATTCATATTATGAAGGGTGAAATTCCTTCTGTAGTTGTAAGCCATTTTTCTGAAGATTTGGATCCATGGGAGATTCCAGGTATGCCTATTGGTGATGCAACTGGATCTGACCAGCACTGTGCCCTTTCTAGCCTAAATACAGAAGAGGATACTGGCAGCTCATCATCTCAACCTCAAAGAACCGTTGAGGAATCAGCTGGCAAAACCACCCAAGTTGGATCAACTGATATTCATTCTCAATCTTCATCTTCTTCATCTGAGAGTTGCACTGAAGATGAGACAGAGAAAAAAGAACAACTTCAGTTGAATGTTGCTGAATTGACTGTACAAGGTCAACGAATAACTATTGCTCGTGGAGGGGAAGGTGGTTTGGGTAATGTGTCCTCTGTGAAAGTATTTGATGATGAGGAGTCGTCCATTCGTGTTGGTTTGCCTGGTTCTGAAGCTGTTCTTATATTAGAGCTAAAGAGCATTGCTGATGTGAGCCTAGTGGGAATGCCAAATGCTGGTAAAAGCACTCTATTAGGGGCTATATCGAGGGCTAAGCCTGCAGTGGGCCATTATGCCTTCACAACTCTTAGACCCAATTTGGGGAATCTGAACTTCGAGGACTTTTCACTCACAGTTGCTGATGTTCCAGGACTCATCAAGGGTGCACATGAGAATCGCGGACTTGGACATGCATTCCTGCGGCACATAGAACGAACAAAAGTTATAGCTTATGTGGTAGACTTGGCTTCTGCATTGGATGGTAGAAAGGGAACACCGCCTTGGGAACAGCTTAGGGATTTAGTTTTAGAGCTTGAGTACCATCTAGAGGGTTTATCAAATCGGCCATCCTTGATAGTAGCAAATAAAATAGATGAAGACGGTGCTGAAGAAGTGTATGAAGAATTGAAAAGAAGGGTGCAAGATGTTTCTATATTCCCTGTATGTGCTGTTTTGGAGGAAGGAGTGCCAGAGCTAAAAACTGGTCTTAGGATGCTTGTGAATGGTGAAATTTCAGACAGACTCCATTTAGATAAAATTATGGTTGACTAAAGTTTAGTGATATCTCTGCAGAAAAGAATATCGTTTTGCCAGCATAGCACAATGATCAATTGTTTGAGTTGTAGAGTTCCAATTCAGATTGTAGGTATTTTAAAGCCAACGTGAGTTGTAGATTTACATTGTTTTGCAGTATCCATACTAAGTTTTGCACATGAACATCACACTCTCAGTTTAGAATTATACTTCTGTAAGGCAATCATTCCTTCTCAGTTTCAGTATGCCCATGTATGTATTGAAACCCAAAAATGAAATTTCAAAATATGAACAAATGATTTTTCTTTTTAGTGGTCAGACAGACTCATCATGTTAGCAAATATGTTTGAATCACCAGATTGAAATGAAGATCAAGCTCACTAATGTGATTTGGTTTGCAAGATCCTTGGTTATGTGTCTGATCGATTCAGATCCTTTGTTATGTTTTCTGATGTCACTATTTAATTATTTTCTCAATATAAACTTCTAATTCTAAGTTTTGACACTAAGCACACAGAGTATTGAAATACAGTATATACTATATAGACATTGGATCATTGATGTAATCTATTTTATACATGTCAATGTCAGGTATAATAATGCGAAGAAGATGATAACCCACATAAAACAATTACGTTTGGATTTCAGAAGATAATAACTTTGCCAACAAGTTTAATATTTTAATACCCCACAAGATATCAGCAAGTTAGAATAACTTCGGAGGAATTTATTTCTTTTTGTTTTTAAATTAAAAAAATTTTTTTTTATAAAAAAAGAATGGAAGGGAAATAGAGAAGAACCTGGGAGGAAAAGAAAAAGAAAAGTAGGCCACAAGTGGTGAAGAGATTTGAAGAGAATATCATCTCACTTTTGGAGTCACGATTAAAGAATGCTCCACAATCAGGGGATAGAAGGCCTTGAAGGCCCACCATATGAAATGGTTGATCAATAATGAGAGAGGCTCCTTTCATCTCTTTTCTGTGTCTCTATTCCAAAACACATGTGAGGATAACTAAACTACAACAACATAAATCAAACACGAAAAGTGAGGATGGACAGAGATTTGGCATAGCACAACTTGCAAGTGTAGAGAGAGTACTTATCTTCATATCTAAAGTAAAGTCTTGTCCTCCACCCTTTCTTTCTCATGAATCTTTAGGCCTCTTTTGTATCAAAAGAAATTAACAAATTTGTGTCAATAATTTGACGAGTCAAGGTTAATTTAAAAATGTCGGAAAATGCTACGTCAAAGGATACATAGACTCCATTATAGAAACCATATGCATTTACGGTTAGAAATCACTAGCGATGTGCACATAGAAGAGCTATCATATCATTCCTTAAAAATGTAATCAATTCGATTGGTGTTGTTTTTGAAAAACTGTATCGCATACCAAAAGCCCTTTTTAGACTGTCTTTTAGCATCAACCTTCCTCGACGTTAAGAGATCGTAGTGGGTTAGATTCCAAAGGGGCCACCAAAGTCTATGTCTATAAGAAAAAAAATTATACTAATTGTTCTGGGACCCCGGACAAGAACATTTCAAAATTTTCTTTCATCTCTTTGATGTGTGCATTTAATAAGTCTTCCAAGCAAGCAGCAGACTTCATGCCTTCTTAAGATGTCATTTACAAAGACATTTAATTATCGGCCAAAACAAAACTTAGGTCAATTAAAATTTATTTAAATAAAACTGACAATTGTTTAATTGATCCAAAACAAGTGCAATTATTATTATTTTTATATTATTTTCAATAGGAGAGTGATATGGGGTGTTTGATAAGCCCAAAGTTGATTGAGAACTTGATACCATACCATAATAATCTCAGAAATTTACCACAGAAAATGACCATTTTGTCAATTCATGTATGTTTGGTCGATCTGTCCATCCCAGGACTGATACTTCTATGGATTTATTAGTCTGAGGCTTTGCCCATATTTTAGTGAATCTTTATCTTGTTTACTGCTACAAGGCCTAGGTTAGTTGCCTTGAGGCAGAGAGCTTCATGTATATAATAATAAAAAGACAAGCCATTGAATCTAGCAATTAACCATGACTAGCTTCATCTAATCAAGTTTTTTCAAAACCATAATCATAGCTCTCTGGTTCATAACATTGGTTTCTACATGTATAAGAAAAAGCAGCCACTTGGTGGATGCGCATGTGCCTTCTTCATGAAAATTTTATGCAAAGGAACCTTTTTGATGGAAAGAGTAAGTGGAAAAGAAAATGAAAAAGGAAGAACTCTTCCACAAATAAATAAGTAGTTGAGGGAATTCATTTGGGTGGTGCACATGAATGATAAGAATTAGATCCCAAACTTCCATTTTCAACATTGATACTCTATTTAAGTTTTAGAGTATTAGGTCTGGTCCAGTAGTTGAGGGAATTCATTTGGGTGGTGCTCATGAATGATAAGAAATTAGATCCCAAACTTCCGTTTTCAACATTGATACTCTATTTAAGTTTTAGAGCATTAGGTCTAGTCCAATAGAAAAGTGCATTGACTTGCATATCAGAGGTCTCATGTTCGAACCTATTGAAAACTTGACGGTACGAGTAAATTTTATTAATGACAAAAAAATACACTGGGGACATAATGAGCCTTACCCCTCAAAATGTTAGTACATGTAGATAAAAACATACTTAAATAGTTAAATATCTAATTAAAATCCAGAAAATGTCATCAATTGTAAATAAGAAACTATGCCTTTATCAAATCTTCAATTAACATGTCAACGACTAATCAATTTATCAAAATCCCTAATGAATAATTCATACAAGCAAGAACACCAAAGTCAATTTCAATTCCTATTTTGCCATCATGAGAGAGAGAGAGAGAGAGAGAGAGAGAGAGAGAGGGAATCCAAAAATTCCAGTTTCTGACTTTTACATATACAATACAACTGATTCGCATAAACATCACCCTTGTCAAGAAGGTTTCAGGAAATATGATGTTCTCACGTAAATACATTCTAAAAAGAGTAAAGAACTGCAGGTGGTAAACTGGATTAGATTAGCTACTTCAGCTCATAGTGATTGCCAATTTGCTACATAGTCTAAAAGGTAGGCTTGACTTGGACGACTTCCAGCACAGAGCGGAGATGATGAGGCCTCTTCATTTTTATTTTAATGATGACATAGAGAGAGAGGAAAAGTCAGTCTAGTGGGGTTGGTTGGTTGATAAGATATGCCTAGGCTAGGCTATTAATTTAGTTTTAAAAAAAACAAGTTCCATGGGCTCTATAGCCCAAAATCAACACAGAAAAGACAAAGGTGGATGGATCTCCATTGGAGTATTTGCCTTGTTGCCTTGTAGGCCGGTGCAAGTAATCTGTTTAAAATTTGATTCATTCTACCTAGCTATCTAGACGTCCAGGATTGCTCCACGTGTACGGTGGATGTCTACCACTTCAACCTTCAACTGCTCTATAAATGACAGCTTAAGGTCCTCACAAGAAAACTCATCCTAGACTTTTGAGTGAATCCAATTCCCTAGCAGTATAACAATCATCTCCTTCTCCTTCACCAACTTTTGAACAAAAATGTCTTGCAGCTGTGGCTCAAACTGCTCCTGCGGCAGTGACTGCAAGTAACTGTTCTATTCCCCTAATATTCTTAATTAGGAATTAATTCAATTTTTTTTGCCTAATATTCTTTTGTCTTATGATATATGTCTAGATGTGGAAAAAAATACCCTGACCTTGAATACTCAGAGACCACTTCTACTCAGACCATCATAGCTGGGGTTGCACCTGTGAACATGTAAGTAATTATAGGAATAAACTCTCATCAAATTTTCCATGCACTTGTCAGTTAAAAGCGCTTTTTGACAACCAAAAGCACTTCTGATAGCGTTTGGCAGAAATGTTTAGAAGCACTTTTGGGCTATAGAAGCGCTTTCTGGATAAGCACTTGTCAAGTGCTTCTTCAAGAAGTACTCCCAAGTGCTTTTTCAACGTCTTTATAATAAAAGCACTTTTGGTAGAAGTGCTTATAAGTAGAAGTGCTTCCTAGAGAAGCAGTCCCAAACGAGCCCTAATTACTTCTCTTTTGTGTTGTTTTTGGGAGTGATTCTTGAGAAAAGCACCTTACATATATTTTCCCATAAAATCACTTAAAGTGATTATCTAGAGAAGTGATTCTTCATAAAAGTGATTGTTGGCCTCTCAATAACCACTTCCAAACGAATCCTTAATTTCAAGACATATATGCTAAAAATAGGTTTAAATTAATTAAATTAAATTAAATTAAATTAAATTGATTTGTATTATAATTGCAGGTACTATGAGGGTTCTGAGATGAGCTATGGAGCAGAGAATGACTGCAAGTGTGGCTCAAACTGCAGCTGCAGCTCATGCAGCTGCAACAAATGACCAAAGCTAGACGAGGTCAAGAAAAAGCTGTGATGGTGGTTTCTATAAATAAGAAAAGACTGTAAAAGTTGAATATGAAAGTTGGGTTTTAGTGCTTACTGTAAAATAATAAGATTGCCATTTGATGTGCAAATCCATGATCTCTCCTAGCTAGCTAGCTAGGGTTTGTGATTTGCTTTGTGGCTTGTGTGGCTATCTTTGTATGTTAGATCTTTCTTAAGTATACGTGTTTGTTGTTCTGGTTTCTTCTGGATTTGACTTTGATGCGTGTCTGTTTGGGGTTTTCACAGACTATATGGAAGTATGCATGACACCAGCGCAAGTACTGGTCATGATGATCCATAATACTTTTTTTTCTGGATGTGACTGGAATCGGATTTCAAGTCTTCAACCACCCATACGCACGCAATAGAAAAACCCAAAAGATATTTGTCATATGATCAAGCAAAACCTAGAAAATTTCTCTTAGAAATTTAACCACAGAAAATGACCACTCTGTCATAACATTGGTTAGTTGTTGAATCTAAATAGGTCTTACATATATAATAAAAAGCAACCATTTGGTGCCTTTTTTCTTAAATTTTTTTTTTTCTACCAAGAAACTTTTTGATGGAAAGATTGGACTGTCATCAGTTTTAAGCATAAAGTGGGATAGGAAAAATGAAAAACCCGTTTGACTATTAAAAAGGAACAACTCCTCCACAAATAAGATCACAAATTTGAGTGGTGGGCGTGAATGACACGAAATAAGATCCCAACATTGGCAGTACTGTATTTAACTTTTGAAAAGGATACCTCCAGAGTTGAAAGTTTAGTATTTGAGAATTTTATTACAAACACAATTAAATAAAGCTATGAAAGAAACTATATTATTTAGAAAAAGAACACAAGTGCACATAAGGTTTCGGAGAAAATGATTTTAAAGTCCTAGAAACTTGAGTTGTTAACTGTTGGGCAGAATGTCCTTCTTTCGTTGCTTCATTTTATTTTATGTTTTTTTTAAAGTAAATTTTTTAACATTTATGTTAAGTGCACCCAAGTAAATAAAAAATTCCATTAAAGATCAATCATTTTAACAAAAAAAATGCACCAATGGTTAATGTCACCGTCTGAGAATATCAGTCATAATAACTGGAACGGCTTGTTCTTATTTAGAGGCACTTGATCATTTTATCTTCATGCCCTCTTATTTTTCCTTATATAGTAAAGCTCCTAAAATTATGTGGGTTTGAAAATTGTCAAATTCTAGCAAAATTGACAAACTTTCCCAAAAAAACAAAGTGAAAAAATTTAACAGTGTCCAAACCACATTAATTTTAAAAGATAACTCCTTTTAAAGAGCCAAATTTTTCTCATCTTACTTTGGCAAAGCGATCACAGGAAGCGTTACCCCTCCCCCTATATTCTTTCGTCACGAAATGAAAATATATAATTTTAGCACAAAAAACAAGGTGGATGGATATCAATCAATTCAATTGGAGAGGTGGGTTCTTTTCTTTCCCTGTTGGACAGAAAACTTTATTAATTCTACTAGATATATAGCTGTCCAGGATTGCTCCACGTGTACGGTGGATCTCCCCCAGTTCAACCTTCAACTCCCTATAAAGAGCTGCCAAGGCCCTCACAAAAAACTCATCCCAGACTTTTGAGTGAATTCAATTACCGTGCATTATAACAACCTTCTCCTTTTCATTCACAATATCTTTTAACAAAAATGTCTTGCGACAACGGTAGTTGCAAGTGTGGCTCAAACTGCTCCTGCGGCAGTGGCTGCAAGTAACTCTTCTATTCCTCTAACCATACATGTTATCATTCTCTAGAACATTTAGGAACTATTTAATTTGTTTTTTCGTTTTGCCTAATTTTCTTTTCTCATATGTGTATATGTGTAGTTGTGCCTACCCTGACTTGAGTTACTCAGAGACCACTTCTACTGAGACCATCATTGCTGGGGTTGCACCTGTGAAGATGTACGTTCTTAAAAAAAAAAACTCTCATCAAATTTTCCATGCACATGAACTCTGTTTTAATTTCATGATATGATTGCAGGTATTATGAGGGTTCTGAGATGAGCTATGGAGCAGAAAATGACTGCAAGTGTGGATCAAACTGCAGCTGCAGCTCATGTGGCTGCCACAAATGATCAAAGCTAAGACAAGGCCAAGAAAAGCCCATGATCTCTATAAATAAGAAAAGGAGTGTTAAAGTTGAATTTCCAAGTTGGGTTTTAGTGCTTCTTGTAAAATAAGATTGCCTTTTGATCTGCAAATCCATGATCTCCTAGCTAGCTAGCTAGGGTTTGTGATTTGCTTTGTGCGTTGTGGCTACATCTCTATGTTACATATTTCTTAATTATATATGTGTTTCTTGGTATGCTTTCTTCTGGATTTGATTTTGAGGCATATGTATCTTATGCATGCTTGGGATTGGAAATGAGAGATCAAATTGTGCTGAAGATGAACTGAGAGCTCTTATTGACTTCTGGTTTGAGCCATTAATTTAGAAGACACAAACTATACAGCTGTCTGCGTGACACCAGCATAAGTACTGGTCATGATCCATATCTTATTAAAAAAAAATTCTTCTGATGTGACTGGAATTGGATTCAAAGTCTTCACATATAATTGACTAGTTAAAGAGCCATTTACTTGTGTATTTGAAGTGAACCACTGGTTAATTACTGGTGTATAAAATATTTGTCTATTATAATAAGCTCATACTTCTCTTTAGTTTGCTTATAAATTTTTGAGAATCAAGAAAAAGCAACCATTTTAATAATTTGATTAGTATACCCAAGAAATTGTTGTGTGAAACGGACAATCATAATATGTCACATGTAATAACTTTTTCTTATAACAGTCTATGATTGCAAAACAATATTATTCCTGTTTCACACGAGTTTTTCTGTAGTATAGCCAGCACCCAAAACGAAAAATCTAAAATCTTATCAATGTTGTTCCTTATCAGATTTTAGGGTGCATTTAGAAAATTAGAGATTTATAAACTTGGGTTAGTCAATTTGGGCTTTTAGGTAGGGCCTTGGCTTGAATTTCAGATTTTGGGCTTAAGTAAATGGGTGAATTTTAGCACTTAGCAGCCCCCTGATGCAAATTGCTCTCAGTGTTTGCTGCTTCCGAGTAAAGCATGCAAACGCTGTACCTTGTGATACAGCGCAGGTTCGTTCAGGCGAAACCTCGAACAGTTTATGTCCCATATTTTCCTGCCAATAAAATCTCGTCTAGCTTCAAATTTTTTCTTTGCACCCAAACACCAAATGATTTTACCGAGAAAGTCTCCGAGTCAAAACGAGAAGAACCCAGGTCCTGCTTATCTTATAGGATTGAGAAGCTGCCTAATGGAGAACCAGTTGGGTCTGCTTTCCAGAGCTGGATGGGTGATGGCTTTCCCATTCATAGAGGTGACATCTTTCACGCCATTAACCGTCTTCGGAAGCTCAAGTTGAATAAACGCGCTCTTGAGGTCTCTCTCTCTCTCTCTCTCTCTGCTCTCATTTTGATAATAGGTAGTTTTAACTGGTTGTCTTTGTTTAGTTGCCTGCCTTTTAGTTGCTGAGAAAATTGAGGAAAAGAAAAATGTGAATTTTTTTGGGTAAAACTTTGAGCATTGCGTTTTATGTTGTTTCTGGGTTCTCAAATTACAATGGGAATATTATATAAGCTCTTGTAGATAGCCAAAGAAATTAGCCTCAGGTAAAGGGAGGTCTTGCTGTTTTTCTTTTCTGGGATAAATAAGGAGGTATTGCCTTTTAAGATTCCATTCCATGTGTGATAAACTATAAATTAGTGCAATATTGATCCTGCAAAATTACATTCTGATGACTAGCAGCCCAATTCCCACTAGCCATACTGCAGCAGGACCACCAATCTTACTACCCTTTTGAAATTTGGACCAATTTGGTGGAGGGTTGATGGATTTTAAAGCTAAAGCTATTGCTTTTGACAGGTAATGGAATGGGTGATCAGAGAAAGGCCCTACAGGCCAAAGGAACTAGACTACTCTTATCTCTTGGAATTTACAACCAAGTTTCATGGGATATCTCAAGGTAAAGAACTCTTTACACGCGTTCCTCTTGAGTTTCAAAATGAGCTGCTTTACAACAATCTTGTGATTGCTTGCTTGGATAAGGGTGCAATAAGGCTTCCACTTGAGTGTATGAAGAAAATGAGGGAATTGGGTCATCCAATTTCACACTTGGTATTTAATCGACTCATTATTCTCCATTCCTCTTCAAGGCGTAAAAAGTTGATTGTGAAAATCCTTGCACAAATGAGGGCTGATAAAGTGGTTCTGCATGCCTCCACATTCAACATTCTCATGAAAATAGAAGCCAACGAACACAATATCGAAGGACTGATGAAGGTATACTCCAATATGAAGCGAGCAAAAGTTGAGCCGAATGAAATATCTCACTGCATCGTAGCTACTGCCCATGCAGTGGCAAGGTTGTATACAGCAGCTGAAGCGTATGTTGAAGCCTTAGAGAAGTCAGTTACAGGTAGTAACTGGTCAACACTTGATGTTCTAATTATGTTGTATGGTTATTTAGGGAAGGAGAAGGAGTTAGAGAGAACTTGGGGTTTAGTGAAGGAACTCCCCCATGTTCGGTCTAAAAGTTATGTGATGGCAATTGAAGCATTTGGTAGAATCAGCCAACTGAGCCGAGCTGAAGAACTTTGGTTAGAGATGAAGGCAGCAAAAGGGTTGAAAACTACCGAGCAGTTCAATTCTATGATATCTGTGTATTGCAAGCATGGGCTTATCGATAAAGCATCTAAGCTTTTCAGGGAAATAATGGCGGATGGGTGCAAACCAAATGCCATAACCTTTCGCCATCTTGCTTTGGGTTGCTTAAAAGCAGGATTGGTAGAGGAAGCCATTAAGACTCTAGAGTTGGGGATGAGTTCGACAATGAGCAATGGTGTCAGGAATTCTACCCCATGGTTGGAGACCACTCTTTCAATAATTGAGGCTTTCGCTGAGAATGGTGATGTAGGGAACGTTGAGAAGTTGTTTGAAGAACTTACGAAAGCCAAGTATGCAAGACATACTTTTGTATACAACACTTTAATTAAGGCTTATGTGAAGGCCAAAATTTATGATTCGAATCTTTTGAAGAGGATGATTCTAGGAGGCGCAAGGCCAGACGCCGAAACCTATAGTCTGATGAAACTTGCGGAGCAGTTTGGAACCTGATTCTGAGTTGTAATATAGTTGTAACTTGTATGGTGGTCTGATACATTTAATAAATTAATATTGAACCGTTGATTCCTTACACAAAATGTTTATCAATGTTGTAAATGGAAGATAATGCATAAGTTTCTCGTTGAATGTAATGTAATATAGTTGCTTTTCTTATGCGTAATGGACCCGTTTGTGATTAGCCTTTACAACTCAATTCATTGTAAGTGCTGCCAATGCTCAGTCCTTCCTTCAGTGAATTCAACAAAGGTGCAGCCAGTATACTAGCATGTGTCTATCTTTTTCATCATGTGAGCATGTGTCTATTTCTCACACAACATTTAGTCTCATGCTGAGAACAATATTTAGTCACATAATGAGAGGGAGACAAATGATACCACTGATAGGGATCGGGGGACAGATTGCAGTTTACTTTGAGAATTGCTTTTAGGCACTCATCTACTCTCTAGATCCTTATGGTTGACGACATATGAACTGAAGAATAAAATGATTGCCCCAAAATTCAATGTTTTTTCATCAGCTATGCAACTTCGAGGAGGTTTGATCTCTCAGTATTCATCATTATATAAATGTTGACTGCTGTGCGAATCTTTTGGCCACTTTTGTACAACATCAAATTGTAAATAGAAGTTCATACCGCCAATAATCAATTAATATGCATATCAACCAGTGTAGGCTGTTGCATACACAGTTCTTGAAGGATTCGCATCCAGATTATAAATTCAATTTATCAAGTGAAAAAAGGATGAATTGACCCCCAACAACAATAAACGTATAATTTTCCCCGCACCAATATCAGTTAGCATCTAACATAGTTCTGGAGAATGATAATATTTGAAGATGGGATTCATAATCCATTGTATCAACCTTCAGTAGTTTAGTTGAAGAACACTTGAACATTCGCTTTACAATGCAACAACTTCATGAGAAAAAAGACACAAGAAACCTACTACATAGTTCTTCTGGATCTGCAGGGAGATCGGGTAGAATATTTAATACTTCCATGTTCAGGTGAGATAGTTGATGAATTCCGCAGCGGTTGCAATGGCACCTCCTGTAATTGCATCCACTATAACTTTATCCTTGCCCTTATTGGTGGCTGCAGATACTAGAGCACCTGTCACAGCACCCCCGATCATGGCATTCTTCTGCAAGAAATCAAAAGAAAAAGAATGAGCAGAGGCAGCAGTATTAGTTGAAGTCCAAAAATTTTCTTTATTAAATAAACATGAACTTGAAATGGCATGATTGAAGCTTTGTGAAAAACTGACAGTCAAGTCTGAAACAAGAACTCTTTGAAAGTTCTTAGGTCATGTCTCAATGATTAGAATTTAGTCCTGGGATGAATTAGTGGTTGAAATTGGCATGCATATGGGATTAAAATCAAAAGGAGAAAAAAAGACTGCAAAGATTTAACGTGAGCTTCTTTCACAAGAAAAATACCATGCAATCTCCTAAATATAATTTCATAAGCTACCTGTGCATACTTAAAATGAACAATTACGAAAAGCAAGGCAACGGGAGGATCTGAGGAACATAGAAGTTAGAGTTTGATAAATTAGTAAGTGGTGATATCTGAAACAAAATATATATCAGAAGCTACATGCGCAAACTCAAAACGAATGAGTAGGAAAATTATGGCCAAGTAAGGTATCTGAGGAACATAAGAGTTCTAACTTTTCAACCAAGAACCACATTCTTTAGCTCTTTCCTAAAAGCTCATGTATAGTAGAACTAGCTATCTAGAACTAGAACAGACATACCCAGTCTCTGGTGCCACGGATCCTTTCTAAACCATACTCTGCTCCCACATACACTCCGGCTACAGTTCCTGTCAGTGTAATAGAATAAATTGTTGATGCGGTTCACCAAGTTCAAAAGTAAGGAAGTGGAAACATTTCCCAGAAAATTTACATAATCTCATGCATACATACATGATACATCTAACTTTCAGTGACATATGACTCTACTTACCCCAATATGCACCTTCCTTACACATCTTCTTCAACTGCACAAACAGCATTTCCAATTAGCAGGATTAGGAAATTGTATAATATCTGGAATTTTTCTGACGTGTACTGATAAACAACACACCTCTTTTAACAAATTAGCACAGTAAGAGTAAGACCTCCGAGAAGCAATAGATCAACTAAATAAAACCAATTGAGAAAAAAACTGAAGATGTTGAAATTAATTTAAAGTAGCTACTAGTTACAACTCTTAGATCATACAAGTAACAAAATTGTAAACCAGTGGATTAAACAAGGGAGGGTCCTGGTTAGTATTTACTCACAGTGTGCTCCGCATCGTGAGTGGAAATGCTCCCTGTAAACATCACTTGAAATTATCAGTAAATGTCACAAAAACAAAAAACAAAAATCTTATCAACAACGATTACACCATCAACACCATCAGACTAAAACAGGAAATGATGAACACTTTAACCAAATGAGACAAGAAACCGACACATAATAAGAGTGATTTTTCATAAGAGACTCAAGATTAAAGCTTTTCCTCTCTCATTTTCCTCGGTGTTTCTAGGGAACCAAACAGTTGGACTGGCAATAATGACAATAATAAAAATACCTTTCTTGACCACTGAGTAAGCTTCCTCTGCAGCAGCTCTTGTAGCAGCGACCTGAACAAAACCAGAAAAACAAAAACGACGCCTTTCAAATTCTGAACTGAAGCATTGATCCCAAAGATCAAAACCCAGAAGCAAAATACACAAATAAATTAAGAAAAGAAACAAAAATGTTAACGATAAATAAAAAATTACATAAAAAAAACACGTACGGTTCCGATCTTCAAGAAGCCATCGACGGTATGGTTGAGCAAGGGGTTCCCCAAGTCGATTATCACGTCAACCTTCGGGCCTGATATCATCCCTGAGAAACTGCTTCTTGGCATCTTCTTCTTCTTCTTTCACCACCTACACACACTCTCTCTCTCTCTCTCTCTCAATCTCACTCTCTCTCTCTCTGTTTGTATGTGTGTGACTGTAACACTATGGTGACATTTGGGGAGAGATTGGTCTTTGTTTTTACGATCTTTTTCAGTAATGGGCAGTTTTACCAAAATGCCATCGGAAGCTCCATCCAACCTCAAAGGGCGGTGCCTGTGGATCAAGTGCATGTGAATGTGTCAATACTCGAAATGGCATTTGCTTTGATAGCAAGCCAAATTTTTTAATCTTGCCATAAATTTTTCTTTAATTTTTTGGGCAAAGGTACAAGCTTTGGTTAGGACTTTGTTATCTAGCTATAATTGTAAGTCTCAATCCCCAGACCAAAGAAAAAAAAAATATTCATGTGCTTTTAGCCCATTAGTTACTCCATATGAGGTCTTAACTTATGGAGATGGTTAAGGCTTGAACTTTTAATTGCTTGTCCATCACTTGCTCATTTCAATGTTTTGATTCAGAATTTTCCATTGATATAGATCGTAACCCAACTTGTATTATTATTAGAATTGGATATGATTACAATGTTGCTAAAAAAGGATTACCAATCCTTAACTTTTCGAGGAATCCTTCATCAACAGTTGTGAATGACTGATTTTTCTGAATCTCTTTCGACCTTGGTTTCGTAGTAGCAAGTCATAAAGATTGAGAAATAGAACCATCTGATTTGAATCATAAAATGCAAGAAGAGGTAGGGGGATTTTATTGCACTGAACTGTTTAATAAAGAAGGAAACACAGGACAAGAATGACAAAGATGAAAGTTATGCAGTTTTGCTTAACTTACAGACAGCAAAGTTTGTGTCTTTGTAGCATAACTCTGCTTTGCATGCATTAGCAGAAAATATGCAATACAGTCATTGTTCTACAATCTACTTAGGGGGAAAATGAATACCAGAAAAACTGATAGAACTCAAATTGAGTAAACAGGGATTTTTCTCCAACTTAATCCAACTCCATCCGTGAAAGAGAAGGCATAGATATGACCCTTTTGCACAGCTTCATGCCCATCACCAGGCCTAAACATTGGTGCTGGGAAAACTGGCCAGGCATTTGATCCATCAACCTGCAGGCAAAATCTATCACTCTCTCCCACCAAAACCCACACCTCCTTTCCCCCAACTTGAACCATTTTTGCTCCATGTGATTTTAGTCTTGGCCTCTCAACAATTTGGTTTGGAAAGAAACTGATCAATCTGCACCTGCATATCAAATTTGGATTAACCAATACAGTCCAAAGCCACAGCTTCACACCTAACTGATCTGACCAAGTAAGTAACATTAAGCGCCCGTTGAGTGATGCTGCAGTGAACCCATCTGCCTCCTTGGGCACAAATGACTTCAAGCACACCCAGGAGTTGGTGCTGGGGTTGTAGATTTCAGCCGAGTGCTTGAGAGTTGCGCTACCACCAACCACGAAAAACCTGCCCTTGTGAGTAAAGCCGTCTGCAAATGCTCGCGGTTCTTGCATGTTTTGCAGTGATTGCCATTCCCATGTCTTCAGGTTCAATCGTTCAACCGAATTCAAGTAAGATGAAGGATCAATATCTGCATATCACACATCAAGTTCCACATGGTAAGTGGTGTGGTTGGGAGAGAATCTAAGTATGATCAGAGAAATATGATTATGATTCTTATTAGCCTCAAAGACTAGTTTATCAAAATCAAAGTCTTTGGTCATCTAATTTTCACTGGTGGTTCCTTACTACACATCAAATGTGGTCCAAAGGGGCTCAAACATAAGTAGTTGATCAGCATCCATGTTAGGAGATTGTTACCAATTTATATGAAATTGTGTCTGAAATTTCTGCAAATATCTGTTACAAAAGCACTTGAATCCTAGCTTTGAATCCATCTAAAAAAACTCAGTATGCAGTCATCTACAAAAGCATTATCAATGTGGCAGATATACCTACTTATTCTTAGTGTGATCCATGGCTAAAAATTAAAATTGAAAATTGTTTGCTTAAGTACCCAATCAGCAAACCTAATTGGGTAATTGGTTATATTTGAGTGTGAACCTAATTTTAATATATTTTCCAAGACCAAGGCATACACAAAAGAAGGAAACTGGATGAACATTATAGCAGTACTTACTGGAAGATTTGCCCTTATAGCCTCCTGCAACATAAAGCCAGCCATCACGAAGGGCACAGGCAGCACCGAACGGGTTCCGATCCTCACAATTCATTTTAGGCACATCATGAAGCGAATTTCCACTGCATGAATAGGTACACAGGGTGGCATGAGGCTGATGAGGACTCTGCACCAGCTTGGCACACAAGAAATGTTCAGGCAGGACCCCAATAACTTGGATTCTGAACACCGGCGACAGAGCCCGAGGGACAACCACAGAATGGAATTGGGTTGGAGAGAATTGATAGGCAAACCATTCCCATGATGAACATGGAAAGGTCTCTACTTGTTTGCTGTTGCTTTTGTTGTTGTCTTTATTGTGATCAATGAGGGGTTTGTTTGGGATTTCAACAATGCAAATATCATTGAAAAGACCAGAATCAGAAACTGGGAAGATGGAATTGTGTAAAGTAATGGTGGAATATTGATCATTGGGTTTGGCATTTGAAGCTGAAGAAGGTGTTCTGCTAAGGTACCACCACATCATGAGTTGGCTGAGGCTCTCAGGTTTCTTTGACTGAGAGAGATATTTGGATGGAAATGACAGAGATTATAGGATTGGAATTAGGAAGGTTTGTTGGTTTTTTATCTTGCCTGAATCTCCTAATTTTGGGCATTAATTGGATCTACTGTTACAGTGTTATGTGGTGGGCTCTGTAATTAAGGGTCTGTGATGTGTGGGAATGAGCACCAAACTCAGTCAACTACTTAAAATTTCTTTTTGGGTAAACTCAATTTACCCATGAACTTGTATGTTTTTTAATTTCTATAACTCTCTTTTTTTTTTTTTTTTTTTTTTTTTGTTTGTTGTAATTAAGTACACAGACTAATTTTTATTGTCAATTTCCTCTTATTGTCTTAATCTCAACATTCATCTAATTTGCTGTTAAATATGAGGGCAAATTGGCCATTTTATAAATTTAAATAATATATATATATATAAAGCAAAAGGCAGAGAATTGTGAAACATTCAAAATATCAGTACATGCTCTTGGTTAATTCAATCATTAAGAATTGAAATTATTAATTAAATGAGGATAATATGATAAAATAAAAAACAAAATCAGATAATATGTCCTACTTTTAAGGAACATAACTACCCATGTTATCTTTTTTTAATTCTAAAAATAAAAGAAAAAAGAAAAAAGAAAACCAATTGGCACATGCGTGACCATGTGCCAAGGGGCTAGTATATATAAAGCAAAAGGCAGAGAATGGTCAAACATTCAAAATACCAGAAAATAGCCTTGGTTAATGCAAATATTAAGAATTGAAATTATTAATTAAACGAGGATAATATGATAAATTCACACTTTTTCATATTAAAAAAATTAAAATTAAAAGAAAAATCAGATAATGGATCCTATTTTTATAGAATACAACTACCCATTATCTTTTTTAATTCTAAAATATATTTTTTTTAAAGCCTCTCACAGGCGCGGAAGCGCATGCAAATAGGCTATTAAAATATAAAATAAATAAATAAATCATTTTAATAAACAAAGGGCCCACCCACTTCACCTCTTTCCCTTTTGTTGTAATTAAAAATACGAAGATGAGTGGGGAGCTCAAATGGGAGAGAAAGAGAGGGGGATAGAGAGGGAGAAAAGGGAGAATGGCTTGCGGTGGTGGTCATGGGGGAATAAGGGAGAAGAAAATGGGTGGTTGCGGGCTGGGGAAAAAAACAAAAAGGGGGAAGGGGAGAAGAAATATGGGGGATGGGGGAGGGGGGAGGGATGGGTCGCATGTCTTAGGCTTAACCTTGCGTCATTACAACCGAAGAAATCTTGTTTGACATGCAAGTAGAACTTTCATACAAGTTTCCTTAGTTTGATCATCCTCATGTTTGAGTAGATAGAGTGCGTACCGATCTTTGTGGTTCGTCAATGCCCAGTTAAACGATCTTATGACATAAACATTTTTGGTTTGAGTTATAGGGAAAGGTCCCTTTGCATCTAACCTAATTAGATCACTTTATCTCATAAATCCATAGACTTGTCAAATAGGTCAATGGTCATGCATGGACCGTCAGCTCTGTTGACATAATTGCCCTTTTGTGTAAACCTAAATAATTGGTTTAATTGAAGTTTCCATAGAAGATTTTATCTAATGATTGGCTTTCAAGACATACTTCTAACAAGTATTCCATACGAATAATGTAGCAACTGCACCAAAAAGAATCACAACTACAATGTGGCGATATGCATTGTGGACTGCACTTAGAATAAAACCACCAGCTATGAACCCCATCACGAAAAGTAGAATCAAAGACCATAATATTAGCTTTGGGAAGCTTTTCCTAAACAAAAACTTGTCGTCCTGGCTAAGAGTAGTAATGGCATGATTGTGAACAATGGAGGAACCTTGTACTTTCATTGATCCCATTAACTCCAAAGGACCATATACCTTACGAGGAGCCTCAAAAGCATTTAGTGGGCCAGAAGAAATGGGTCTAGATGTAATGAGACCTGTTGCACGGAGAAGAGGAGGAAGAGGTCCAGAGTTTTGGCGGCCAGTTGGTGTTACCCCACCAAATTGAGGATCAGACAACTTCTTAAAGAGATTCTGAACACAAGAAAAAAGGGTCAAAGCTCCTTCATTTAAAAACGGGATTGTAGTGCAAATCCAAATCCTTAACTAGTTCTTAACAAACTGTCCTATAAGTTAAGAACTCTGTAACACTAACTTCATATGCAAGCTACCAATACCATTTCTAATACAATTAAATTGAACAATAGCTTAAAATAAATTGATGTAAATAAAAAAAATAAAGTTTATATGAAGCAATGATCTAATACAAACAAGAGACTAAATTTTATAAACTAAACCATATCAATTGAATTACTCCAATCTCATACTGCCTACAGTCCAAAACAATATTCTAACCAATTAAGTCCAATCCACATCTTGTTCATTTAAAACTAGGATATATATATATATATATATATATTTAAATAAAGGCTTAAATGTTAAAATGCTTCTTGAGTTTTATTCCATTGGCCAATTTAGTCCCTGTGTTATTAATTTGGCCAATTTGGTCATTGTGTTTGTATATGTTAGTCAATCCATGATGAAAATGATCAAATTGTTAACAAATACAAACATATGGACTAAATTGGCCAAATTAATAACATAGGGACTAAATTGACCAATAAGATAAAATACAGGGACCATTTCGATATTTACATCTAAAATAAAAAGCCTTTATGTTGTACTTTTCAATTATGATGTAAACCCACAAAATAAAGTCCTTTTTTGTTTTCTTCATTTAGCTAGTAAAGAAAAGGGCAAAGGAAAAAAGCAAAGTAGCAAATGAAATCCCACAAAATACAAATGCTTAGTTAGAAAAAAAGATAAATCTATAGGTTGGTTCAATTAGCAATAATAGTGTGCTCTTCCACCCGAGTTCGAATTCTCCTCCAGTTATGTTAGTGTAGTTATACTGTTTTCTTGTTAAAAATGAAAAAGACTATTATTTGATATTAGTTATTTTTTTAAAAGAAAAAGAAAGTTAAGGCACCTAAAGCCAATTTCTGAATTTTCATAGCATGCTCAAATCCAACGGCCACTATCATCTTAATACGACTCAGAAGACAGAGCTAACAAACGGCGCCGTATCATATCCGTCTCCTCGAAATCTAGGGTTTTAACTCGGTATAAAGGGGAAGCGATCTGCTACACGATCTTGGTACGTAAACCCCAACTTCGTGATTTTCCAGAGAGAGTAACTAATTTAGCAAAAATCCTGAAATAGTTGATAAATCCAAGTATGGACAAGAGCATGATAGGAGATCTGGATTCCCTTCCAGAGGAAGACAAGCTCAGAATGGCCACTATGATCGATCAGCTCCAGATCCGCGACAGGTTTTTATTTTTATCTAATTAATTTCCCAATTTTTCCCTTCGAGTTTCTACATTTCCTCATATGTCTTGTGTGTTCTCAAATTCTGAATTTCTGCTTGATAATATGAAGAAAAAAAAACTCGAAATTTGGTTCTGCACAGACATAAAATGTTCATCCAAGTTTGTAAATTTGTCCATGTGTTTTTAAAGATAGAAGCTTGTGATTCCAAAATAGAATTTAAGGTATTGCATGATTTAATTTGTGCTTGCATTTCTAAGTATTTTGTAGTGGGGAATGTTTTGATCTTTTGGTCTGCTTCAATCTGTTCTCTGTAGCGCAATGTCTTGTGTTTTTATTTCCAGTTGAATTGCTACTCAAATGTTTGTTTATTATCGCGTTGTGTCTTTGATGAAGTCGGAATCAAAGGGTAAAAACTTTTTTTCTAAGCCTCTGAAGATTTAGTAATTTTGTGAAGAGCATGGAAGATCCAAGTCATTTGATTGACTGAGATTTGTTGCTTCACAATTCCTCTTTTATTTGGGTCACATGGTTTAATTTTGTGAAAACTCTTTTTTTGTGAAGCCATATAAAAGTTCTCCTTAAAACCATTGCAACATTTGTGTTGCTTCTGGACGTTTTGGGAACTACACTAGTTATGTGTTAGTGCAAATGTTGTTTATTCCTGAGCATATGAATTTTACCCAAGTAACAAATAAAACGATAAAGAATATATGAGATACTTTCTGATCACCTGAATTTGTTTCTTTCAAGCATTTGTGTTACTAGGGAGAAGAATGATCTTGTACCTCCAATCGTGTTTTTCGTGTAGACATTTCTAGTACAAATTTCATGATTCCTGCAGACTTTGTCATGTTCAGGTTCATCATCCATAAGAGAACTGTGTTGCCCCATTTTGTATTACATTTACTTGTTTTCGCCATTTTGACATGCTAATCCAACCATGTACAGAAAGTAATGTTAATATCCCAAAAGTTAAAATTTTAGGCAAAGTGCTTAAGGGAACATGCATGGAAATGAGTGAACATCAGAGTCATTAGTATTTAGTAACCGAGATTAAAGTTAAGGTATTCTTAGTACCTGGCTTCTAAGTTGGATGCTTATTTGCATGTAAAATAACTGTTATCATAGCTTTGAACTAGTTCTTTGCCTAGTTCTGTGTAGGATGAATTGGTGGTGGTAAATTTGATAGGCTTTGTCTGATGCCATTTCCATTCTGAAGGATGGAACAAATCTGCTAACAGTATGAATTTCCTTGCAGTTTGAGGATGTATAACTCACTTGTCGAGAGATGCTTCACTGATTGCGTCGATACCTTCAAGCACAAATCGTTGCAGAAGCAAGAGGAAACCTGTGTCAGGCGATGCGCTGAGAAGTTCCTAAAGCATTCAATGCGTGTTGGCATGAGGTTTGCAGAGCTCAACCAGGGAGCTGCAACACAAGATTAGTCATCAAATCACAAGAGGGTGCGGTCACGCCATCTTGGTCTTTCCTTTCTTAGTTTTTCTTGGAGAATCTCCCCCTTTTTCTTATTTGAAAAAAACGAAACGGACAAATAGTGGTTGTACCCATTTTTCACGATTTCACTTTTTTTGTCAAGGGAAAACAGCAAATTGTATTCTGTAGATACTTGGGATCTGAAGTTGCTGTCAGATAAGAATTTTTACTGTTACTAATCCAAGCAATGTAGCAATCCATGACTTCCTTAATGTGATGAATAAATTGCCTTCTTATATTTATCGTGACAGAGTTGGACATAACCTTTGCTTGGTTTCGGGCCTTCAAACAAAAACTTGGCCACTTGTGAAGCATAAGTCTATTCCATTAAACTAAAGCTTTTACTCAAGAATATGAAGTAATTATGAAAATCCACAAGAATACGCACAAGGAGATGAAACCCACAAAATGTTTGCTTGTATTCACTTTAACATCGCATTAGTCATTACAGCTAACAAAAATGCCAATGGAAGACCAATTCTACATAAAGCATTTGCAGCAAAGCATTCGTGACACCAGAAATCACCACAAGCAAGAAAGCTACAACACAAGTGACATCAGAAACTGAAAATCAAAAAAGCTATTAAGCTTCTTAGTAGATAATTAGTAACAATTTTATTCGTGCAAACAACCAAATCTAACCAAAGCTTCGAGGAAATCAACAGAACAAAACTAATTACAATACTCCTGCATGCTATACTAATTAGCAACACTTGTGATATGTTCAAAAGCTTGCAGAAAACAAATCTAGGGCGAAATATGTGATCTTATAAACATATAGCAGAATATGCTCACTAAATATCATTCAAAGAGTAGGATGAAATAATAGTTCACTCAAGAAAACGGCACAAGATCGAATGAACTAATACCAGAAACGTTCAAACTTCCAATAAGCAAAGTGATAGTTTCATCTTATAAAGCAAAACAGCAAAATACAACAGAAGCATGTCCAAGCAAATGAACAGAATCAATACAAAGGTTGCAATAGCATATTGTTGCAAACTACATAGATTCAAGCTGGCTTCCTGGGGTACACAGTTTGAGACCATTCCTAGATCGATTTATTCATCATCCTCATGATGGCGCTTCCGGCTCTTCTTCTCAGATCGCTTCCTGCCCCTACCTACCCGTGAATCATCATCAGAATCAGATGGTGTGACTGCCTTTCTGCTCCTCCGACTGCGGTGTTTACGAGAATGAGAATCTTCAGATGAATCAGATTCAGAGTCGTCCGAATACCGATGACTTCTCCTCCTCCTCTTCTCCTTCCTACTCTTCCTATGCCGCCGCCGGCGCTTACCATCCTCGTCTGAGGACTCATCCCTCTTCCTCCGCTTTTCCTTCCTTCTTTTCTTCCTACCTTCATCTGAATCATCTGAATCATCATTGTATTTCCTCTTGCTACTCCTCTTCTTTGACCTTCCTCTCTTCTTCCTTTCCCCGGAATCCGTATCTGACCCATCACCATCTGAGTTTTCATTCTTCTTTTTAGAATCCTTTCTACCGGCCTTTTTCCCATTTCTTTGAGCAATGATCTTCTCAATCTCTGAATCATAATCTGAATCTGAACTCTCACTGTCTTCATCCTCATCCTCACTCTCTTCACTCTCAGTCACGTTTTTCCCATTTGTCCTACCCAGCTTCCTCTTCAACTTACCCAATTCAGACGCAACATCAGCCTGAATCGTGTCTGGGTCTTTCTCCTTGTCTTCCTTAACACTCAGAAAGTTCCTGCATTGAAAGTTGAGGTGCCCAACACGGCCACACCTCTTGCAAGCCCCACGAGCCTCATCAGCATTGGACCCAGTTATACGGGCAAGCGCAAGGAGGCCCTGGAAGCTCGCATACGCATTCTCAGCGTCTGGTTCAGAGTTCGACAAATTGGGTTGCGCAGAAGTCTTGTTGTCCTCTTTGTTGGGTGCATAGGGGTCATACCCAATTGCACTCTGCCATATACCATGGGTTTGAAGGGCAGCACTACTATGCACCCGATTGTTCGCGGGCATGCGAACCCTTCCTGCTGTGGCAGGCATTTTGAAATTCGAAGATCAAACACTACAGAGAAACAAACGAATCAGAATTCTCAGAAATTATACCCACAAAAAAGAAAAAGGCAACAGCTACTTGAATTTAAATGAAATCAAAAGTTAAGAATTCTTCGAATTCATTCGCGATCAAACAAGAACCCTAATAAGTCGAAATTTTTTAAATTTAAATTCTAGGGTTTCTTTGAACTCCTATTGAATTGTCTAATTACAAAATTGCGTGCAGAAATTTATGCAACAGAAACGAACTCCAATGAGAAGAGAGCACAACCGAATAACTTCTCTTCAAAAAAAATTGAGCATTAATCAAACAGAAAATCGAAAATTGTCCGTACGGTGGGATGCAAATTAAAGGGTTCTTTTTTATATATTGCAATTGATAGAGACGAATTGAAAGAGAGCGAAATTCTACATGGAAAGATTGAAGCTTTACCTGTGAAACCCTGATCGGAGGCGAAGCGGAGCTTCTCGAAGAGCAAAAGCGTCAACGAAAGGACTTTGTGATTGGGGAAAAGTTAACCCGCCTCAATATATCAAGTTATCAACAAATATAATTCAATTGGGTAAACCGTTTTTCGTAAATACGTCCGAGACGATGTCGTTTCGAACAAGGCAAATGTTTATCCTAATAAGATAGGAATTGTGCCTATTGCTGAATTAATTAGTGATTAGGGTTCTTTTTTTCCTTTTTCTTTTTTGTCGAAAAGTGATTAGTGTTTTATAAATAAATAAGGTAACTATTGTTTGTCATTATTCTCAATCATGCCTCCTCTTCCTCCTCCTGTAGCAGCAGCAACACCACTTTATGATGATGATTGTAAACATTAAAATTTCACAAACAATGTTGAGGTGGTAGCCTAATATTTCAATTTGGTAGGATTGGTTAATAACAAAATGGTGGGAATTCAAACTCAATCAAACAATCAAGTAATTAATAAAGTAAATGAGACTAATGTCCAAGACTTATGAACATAAGAGAGTACACGTGTCACATCCTCTTCACGATTCTTACTATACTACTTTTTTTAATACGAGTGATTAAAAGAGGGGAGTTTACACAAATGTTCATTGGGTATCTAGAGATTTCGAACCTTTGCTCACATGAGTTTACACAAATATTCTAGTAGGAGCTTTCCCTTTTAAAAAATAATAATAATCTAGTTAGAAGCTTTTTGGGCCACACTTGAATATTTCATGAGGCCCCACTCACTTGAAAGAAAATCTATTTGGGGCTCGTATTGTGGACTTCAAATATAATGTATGTTTTGCTTTTTCTTTTTTCTGTATCATCGTATCGTGATATTTCCTGTTCTTAGTACAAAACAAAGAAAGAACGATGATGTTGTTGAAATTATTTTGTGGTATCTAGTAGATTTTCTTTTTTGTTTCTTGTTTAGTAGTTTCTCTTTTTCTTTACATTAATTACAAACGGCTAAGTTTACAATTCCTTGTCTAGGACTGACTCCTCTATATTAATATAAATATTACAAATTTATAAATAAATCCAATTTTAGACATGTATTTATAAAAAAACCCAAGCACTATTTAAACATAGAAACACATCCAAAATCAACAATTGTATATTTTTTGGGTGTGTTTATAAATGGGTTTTGAGTGTGTGTAATGATGGGTTTTGGGTGTGTTTATAAAGTGTTTTGGGTGTTGGGTTTTTTTATAATTTCAGCCCTCATTTTGGGTGTTTTAGTGAAACTCCCTATAAATATTCTCTTCCTGAACAAACGAAGGTTTACAACACTCTCATATATATATATATATATATATATATATATATATATACACACACACACCAAGTCTCCCCTGTCCTCTTTCTTAAACATCTTTCTCGCCCGTATGAGCTTAGTCAAGTTGGCTAGCGCGGATGGCTTTTCCATTTACCTCCCTCTAGTTTAGATTAGATTTTTTTGGTCAAGAGTTTAGATTAGATTAATACATAATATCACTTGTATTTTTCTCAACTCTAAAAAGCAACCATGTCTCCTCCTCCTCCTTCTCCAGCAGCACCTCCTCCTCCTTTCTCGATTGACGACCCCTCTTTTGTACTCGCAGCCCTCCTAACCTGTTTCATCCTCTGTTCCTTCATTATCCGCGGCTTGTATTTAAGAATACGGGAGCTAAATACTCCAATTGATGATGTCGAAGCACAAAGAAATCATCCACAACAGCCTCACCCTCCTCCTAACCAAGCCACTGCTGCAAAAACACCACCGCCGTTGGCGGAGAAGAAGGCGTCAAGTTTCCGATATACAAAGAACCAAGCAATTGCTACTAACACTGACTCGGAGTGCTCAATCTGCTTGGGCGAGTTTGAGGACGGGGAAAAATGTCGGCAGCTTGAGTGTGAACATGCGTTTCACGGAGAATGCATTGATCAATGGCTACTCAAGAAGATGCACTGTCCCCTTTGTCGTGCTACAGTCTCTAGTGTACAACTGTAAGCAGGGCAAAAGAAAACATTGATTAATATATAGGCTTTCTTTTCTTTCTATTTTTTCTTTTTAGGGTTTTGGGAGTTCTTGTCATATATATATATACATGGTTTATTTTGTTATCTACGTTTGTTATCGTTTGGCAGGAAACAAAGATATGTTGGTATGTGAGAAGGCCCTTAAAATCCCACATTCAGTTTTATTATTGAATCATAAAAGAGAATCCTGGATATAGGCATAGCAATTCAATGTAAGGTGCCTTTATTGTAAATTTTTACAGGATTAGACTTTTACTTCTCTCTCTCTCTCTCTCTCTCTCGGTTTTTCTAACAGGAAATTCCTTTGCTCTGTTTTCTAACAAGTATATACTTCTTGCAAAAAATAAAGGTAAGGATTTTATTTCCTAGCACCAAGAATCTAAATCTTTTGAATTTTTTTGTGGTTTACTTTTCAAAAAGAGGACGTGTCAGAATAAGATTGGTTCATGGCAAATGAGTGCAAATTGAGGTAGACCCAGGGTCTTCACATATATATAAGGAATTGCTAAGGCTTGTTTGGCATCCTACTAAAAAAATAAACTCAAAAATTATAATTCATTTTTAAAATATGAGTTTTCAAATACTGATTTTAAGATCTAAAAACTTGTTTGGTATTGAACTCCAAACTATTTTTAAGATCTAAAAAAATTGAAATTAAAATTAAAAAAAACCTTAGATCTCCAAATTGAAATTAACAAAAGAAAAGGAAAATTTGTGAGCTTTCAATAGAAACCGAAAACATGAAAAAAAAGATTGATCAATTTTGGGTCGCGTAGCAGGGACAGACTTAGAGCATTTCCAGCAAGCAGGCTGGGGGGAGGGCTGGGGGAAAATGTTGTTTCCAGCAACACAAAGCTGCCAGGGCAAGGTGTGGGTCCCAGCAAAAAAAATTTGCCCGGGCTAGCCCTTGGGGAGGTCCAGCCCGAGTAGCAAAACTCGTTTTGCGCTGACGTCAGCGCTGGAGTTTAAATTTTTTTAACGTTGGCGCGTGCAATGCACGCGCCAACGTTAAAAAAAATTTGACGCTCCGCTACAGTGCCCGCCCAATGGTTCTCTTCCACGTGTCGTCTGCTGGGCCATCCGATCAGCTTTTTAAACATATCTAACGGCAGCCATTTTTTCGCGAATAAAAAAATCGGAAAAAGCAAGCCCCAACGGCTCTGTGCCACGTGGAAGCTTCTAGGCTTTTCGATTTTTTTTTCCAGCCATCCAACGGCAGGAAATTTTTTTCCCAATAAAAAAATGAAAAAAAATACCAAAAAAATACTGAAATTGTTTTCTATAAATACCAACCAATACTCTTCACTTTTAACATCAACAACCAATATTTTTGTAATAAAAAATTGAAAAAAACCAAAAAATTACTTTTTTTTTCTTCTCTCTATACCTTATTTCCATTTTCAACATTTAAGTAAATGTCTTTGTCCTTTTACTTTTATTTATTTTTATATTACTCCATTTACTTAAGTTTACAATGTAAATAAGGAAGTACCCCCCATTTGGATTCAAATAAAAATACTAGAAAATCAAATTCCCACCAAATCAAAATATGAAAAATCGGTTTTAGTGAAAAATACGATTTAGGCTAAAAATGATGGCTCATTAAGTCAATATATACTTCATATTAAAATCCCATAAAATCAAGTTTTCTTATTTGATGTGTAAGGAATAAAAGCTGCCAAAAATTTTATTGAGAAAATGATTATTTCAAAAAACCATTTTTCATACTTAGTCAATATTGCACCTCCGCTAAAACTCTTGAGAAAATGATTTTTCATACGTAGGAACCCAAAAATCTTATCCGAAAATATTATCCAAATTAATTGTTTAAGTAAACAAAGCTGTGAGGTAAATTATTTGTAATTTTCGTTTTATTAATTTCTATGTCATATTAATTTTTATTTAAATGTTTCTTGCAATTTATATATTTTGTTAATATTTCTTGTATTTCCAATATTAATATGAATGTTTCTTGCAATATTTATATTTTGTTTTGCATTTCTAATAATTGTTAATGAATAGTATTGACACGTAGGAACCCAAAAATCTTATCCGAAAATATTATCCAAATTAATTGTTTAAATAAACAAAGTTGTGAAAAAAACAAAAAAATGAATAGTATTTGCCATGGCAAGGGGCTAACTGCTGGAAACACCCTTTGCTGGGGGGAGCTAGGGCAACCACTATTCACATGAATAGTAGCTGCCCTAGGGCTCCCCTTGCCATGGCAAGGGGCTAACTGGTGGAAGTGCTCTTATGCACATGCTAACCTGGGCTATAGTCCAGGTGTTGTGATCTTTTATAACCTAACGTTAATACCCAGCCCACTCAAGCGCACCCCACACACCCCTACTCAAGAGCTGCTTCACTCTCCTTAACGCAGCTGCTATATCTACTCGCTCATCAGTGCCCATGCACTCAACCAACCTTTGCTTATCCAACGGTTGGTTTTTAAAAAGTAATACTCACACTCATTGAAGCTGCTCCAACTACCCATGCATGCCAAATTTGGTTTAAAAAAATACTTCTCTTGCTCACACACTTTCTTCTTAGGAAGTAGAAGAAGAAGTGGACTTTCAATCTCCGAGGCCAATTTGGTTTAGAAACTACTTCTTATATATATTGGTCAGATATAATAAGCTAAATAGCTCTTTAATTCATCTCCTCTCTCTTTACACGCTTACAGACATCATGTCAAATCCTTGTTTTCGTCTTATTTCGACCAGCGAAGACTGCGTGACGCCTCTCCCTCCTCTGCTTCCATCATCACCTTCAATTATTGATAATCCTAGGCTTGCTGATATGTTTGGTTTAGGTTTAATGCTAGCATGGTTTGGCCTCTTTGCGGCATTTTGTTTCCTCAAATTTTGTAATAGGCCCAATGATAACGTTGTCGATCTCGAAGCACAAACGAATCCCCCGCAGACCTCAATGGTCTTCACGTATCGAATCGAAAGCAGCAACAACAACAGCAGCAATCTTAACACAGATGATGAGGATCTTCATCAGTGTTCAATTTGCTTGGAGGAGTTTAAGGATGGGGAACAGTGTCGGTTGCTTGCTAAGTGCAAGCATTCCTTTCACAAACAGTGCGTTGATAAGTGGCTAACCAACCAGGAAAGCAAACCACCATGTCCACTTTGTCGTGCTTGTGTTCAAAGCATACAAACCGAACAAGAGAATCAAGTCGACAGTACTGCCTAGTCAATATTCAAATTTCAAAGACAGAAGAAAAATAATAATAATGTTTTTAATGTTGTGGTTTCTTTCTTCAAAAATACTTGCTAATTAGGGATTTTTTGTGGTTGTAAGTTTGTGCATTGTATTGTTACCACCAATAACTTCGGGGAATAACTTTTCTATTTGTGGTGTGTGTAGATATGTATGGGGCCAAGTGATCAGAGAGGACAGGACCACATGAAAACACTTGAAAACAAGACCAAACAAGAGAAAGACGAACTTATAGCCAATTCCAAAGCCTAGCAAATTATCCTTCCCTTTACGTAAACCCAAACCTTTACGGGGAACAAGGGATATCCTTCCCTTTACGTAAACCCAAACCTTGATCGTCACGGTATTGTCAGTAAATTCGTTCCCCGACGGGAATTTTTTCCATTAAGTACTTTTGCAAGGGGAAACCAGTCAATTTACAATAGTGGTGGATTCTTGCTACCACAACACCCAAAACCTCCAGTCAATTTTTAGATTGTCCTTCATTGACCATTGCCCTTAAAAATTTAGGCTCCTAATGGAAAAGTATTGTATATAAAAAAAACTGTACAGGGTACCTAACACTGGATCTCACTCTCTCATACACAACTAGTAGCTCCCCATGGTAGCCGTGGCTCGGACTCTTCTACCTCCTCCACCATTGCCTTCGCCTCAACCACCATCACCGACAGCACACTTAATACAACTAATGTTTCGAGTAATCTTGCCTATAACCGTCATGTATGTCCTCTTCTTGTACTGGTGTAAAGGGAGAAATAATAATCCAACGAATGACCAAACCTGCGATCTTGAATCCCAAACACCGCAACAAGCCTTAAGGGTCTTCACACACACACACAGACTTGCCAAGGAACAGAAATATTTAGCAGTGACAAGTGTGCAATTTGCTTCGAGGAGTTTAAGGATGGGGACCTGTGTTGGCTGACGACATGTAACCACATCTATCACCAGAAATGCATCGATAAATGGCTACAAAGGAACAAGCACTGTCCTCTCTGCCGTGCTTCAGTTCGAAGTGTGCGTTACCACAAATGGGAATCAAATCTAGCTAGTTAATATTCAAAGGCACACATAAATATATGTATATATATACACACACACACACAGAGCTTTCATTGAGAGATCCCTCAAATCTAATTAGCTTATTTGAAGGACACCATTTGTAGGGCTCACTCCGCATTGTATTTCACTAATCCAAACGTCTACGTTTTAGATAATCATTCAAAAATCATCTCTACAAAAAATCACTTGAATCCGATATCGTTTGACCACTTAATTGTGTTATTAAAATTTTAGTACTTTCTTGAAGCAACAAGTTCATTTGATTTTGTATGATACAATTGGATATCGAAACGGTTTCTGATTTGTCTAATTCTTTACAAGGATGATCAATGAATGTACACTTAAAAAATAGATGGTTTGGATTGTTGGAAAAAAAATTCGTAGGGTACCCTAAAGGGTATCCTTCATATAAAATCATTTGAGAGATCCCTCAATAAAAAGGAATTGTGTGTGTATATATATATGTATGTATATGGTATTTATTTTGCAGTTTCTTCAAGGGTTTTGTGCAATTGTTAAATAGTTTTCTACATTTCGGAAACAATTGCATAAATGTTATTATTTTTTGTTTTGGAAAGTACATTGGTGGTTGTTATTCATTTTTTCAAGTGCTATATAACAGTGAGAAAACTAAATCAATAATTTTTTGAAATCTTTTGAAAGCATTTGTGTTGGTTAGTTTCCTGGAGTTTTGGCAATAAGACAAATAGTTTTTCTTTATATTGAAGGTTATTTGCTAATTTGTCCACTTTTGAATTTTCTTTATATCTCAATTATATCTCAATGTGGGTGTCATTTTTCTTCTATCTCTCTTCTCTCCCCTGTGCTTAAAGTTTTATGTTCAATTCCACTCTGCATCTCAATCTTAGCAAAGTTGAAGATGTTTGCTTTTCCTCCAAACCCTAACCCTAAACTTTACCTATCAAATTACTGTTTTCATATTCGATTTTTTTACTCATTGATGCGGTTCATATGGGCATGGTTAAATTTTGTAAGTCGCGCTTAGCGCATTTGATTAATAAAAGGCATGTTCTGTGCGTGTGAAGAGGTTAGTAACTAATAAATGTGATACAAATACAAGGGGCTTATAGCTCGAGTGGTTAAGAGTATTTACCCACCCAAGGTCTTATGTTTGATTTCTCCCTCCCCCATATCGCTATATTCAAATATATATATATATATATATACACAAATAATTTATTATATAATTTGAAGAGGATGTTGAGAGTTAGAAAACAAATTTGAAGCGTTCATTTAATTTCTCTTCTGTTTTTTTTGGTTTAGGATTTATTCTTTGCTCTTTTGTTAAGGAGTCTCACTTCAATCTGAGATGCAATCTACCATACAAATAATTTGTTGGATTGAGATGCAATCCACATATAAAAAACAATTAAAGTACAACCGCCGTTAAAAAAACGCAAAATATATCAACATCACATATAAATATGAGATGGGATGTATATATATTGTGAGCAATGTTAGGAATTGTGTCTTTTTAACAAGCGGTTGTACTTTAATTCTTTTTAATATGTGGGCTAGAATGATATTGGATAAGTACATTTCTGAACTTTTTCCCTCTCCCTCTCCCTCTCACACACACACACTCCGCTGGACTATCCGCGGCGCCTCTCACTCTTCTTCCTCCTCCTCGTCCACCGCTTTCACAGGTATCAATGGCAACAAACCTAATTCTATCATTGCTACATAGCCCTCTTGATAGGTACTATTCCTTGGGGCACGCTGTTGTAGAATCATACCATGTCATTCTACTAATGATTTTAGTAGCCATCAACATATACCTGCTCATCAGAAACTTTCATGCTAATCAAAGGGCTGATCAATCGTTAACCCTCTTGGACATCGAATTCGGGGCACCAACAACGACAAATCTACGGCGAACACGAAGACCATCACGGCTAATCTCTTACGGTGTACCTTTCATGCATCGAGTGGGCAAAAGAATAGGAATTTGCAGTGATGAGTGTGTTATTTGCATGGAGGATTTTAAGGAAGGAGAATATTGCAGATTTCTTAGCAATTGTAGGCATGCATTTCACCAAAAATGCATAGATGATTGGCTTGCTACGGCCAGCAATTGTCCGGTTTGTCGAGATTGTGTTTGGGTTGTGCAAGGAGATCAAAATCAGGTTCACACAACCGTCAATATCTATTATGTATAGTTAATTGAGGATTTGTGTAAACTATTTGGATTTTTCCCATCCGGTCAAAAAGGAAAAGAAAAACCCCAATCTTTTTGTTTTCTCCAAGTATAAGGGTTTAACTTGCCGCTCAAGCATATAAGACTATTGCACTTACTCACACCCAAACCTCCCGTGCGTACTTTTTGTGGCCAAAATCCTAAACTAGCGAGAAACTTTCCTTTTCTTTTCTTTTTTCTTCTTTTCCTTATGCCATTAGGACTTAGGCTTTCCTCAAGTATATATTAATTGTAATCCTTGTACAAACAACCACACTGGCTTACTCTCACCTCATACACGCAGTCCGCCAGCCATGGTATCGGCAGCTCCTCCGCCTCTTCCTCTTTCGCTACCGCCTTCACCGCCACCAGAGCTTGGTTATGTACGCACCGTGGTGCTGATGCTATTATGCATTCTAATAGTAGCCGCCATCATTTATGGGACCCTCAGGGAAAATGCTGCTGATCAAAGAGCCCATCCAACGCACGACATTGAATCTGGGGAACCAACAATAACAACACCATTAACCGCACCACCAAGAACGAGAAGATCAGCCAGAAGACCGCCGCTGCGGCCACGGCTAATCTGTTGTGGTATACCTTTCAAGTATCGAGTGGACAAGAGAGTTGGATTTCATAGTGACGAGTGTGTGATTTGCATGGAGGAGTTTGAGGAAGAAGATAAGTGCAGGGTTCTTAAGTGTGAGCATACGTTTCACAGAGGATGCATTGAGAAGTGGCTATCTAGGGCTGCCAGTTGTCCGCTTTGTCGTGATTCTGTTTATGTCTTGCAAGGGGATCAATATCCGCTTTACCCATACTTGAATATGTATAATGTGTAGTTAAAGACGGTAGAAAACTACCGTGTTTTTTTGAAGCTTTTTTTTTTAAATTATGATATTGTACATTTCGAAGATTAATTTGGATTTTAAAATTTTGTTCATAACTAAAATTACTAAATGTTCATGCCACATCAGCAATTTAACGATGTTATTGATAAAATTGACGGAATGCAAGCGCAAGAGCACATTGACCCTGTTGCAAATTCAATGAGAAAATTGAGATTCGAGGCAAAGCCTAGGAAGAAGCCTTAATTTAATGGTTTAACTGTCATAAAAAAAGGGGTTAAATACTGATTATCTCAGACCACATCTCAATTAGTAGTAGATCTCACTTAAACAAATGAGTCTCACCGCTATTTGACATATAGTATTATATAACAAGAAATCACGTACAAATATTAGTTTCATGATCAATTTTGGATAAGAGTGGTTGGATGCATGCGAGAATTCATAACATTGCTCACATCACATATAGCCCTTGTCACTAGATATAGTTTGTATTAGTATGTTTGTTCTCGTGGGCATAGAATGATATTGGTCTTCGGGGAGTATTTGCAGTCACACGTACATACGTACATATCCGTAGAGTATGATTATTGTACCGAAAACGACAAGCATAATATTGCTTTACTACAAAGAAATTGCTATAAAACTCTCTTAGAAAGTAAAGAGGAATTAGATTCTATCGTAAGTTATAGCTAAGCATCTTCCTTTCGTTCAAAGGAAAGATCAAATGAAACATAGGGTTTAGGAGACGTTTCGATTGATAACAAGAGCATCTATTGACTTCAAAAATCAAATGCAAAACGACACATCAAATGCTGATGCATATAATTCATGTGAGATTACCGGAGAGGGAATATTTTAGCACCATCCCATGAATTTTGGACTTTGATTTTGTGTCTCCCTAAAACTTAGTTCATGCAATTGTCCCACGGATTATCAATTATGTCATAATTTTCTGTTCGATTCACACACGACTAATTTTAAGAGCGTGTACATAAAGTTTTATCGCCACCAAGCATTGTCCCCGATTTTCGCCATTGGAAATCTTGTTAAGTAGAAAATGCTAGAGGGAAGATTTTAAGATATGGGATATGGTGAAGGTGAATCAAAACAAGTCCCAGCTCCCTGGAAGTGGATTCCAAGGAAAGCAAACAGAGCAGCGGATGCTGCAGCTTTAGAAGCGAAGAGGAAGATGTGCGATGAGGTCTGGATCAGTAGACCCCCATCCTCCCTGGTTTTCGTGCTCCATAACGATGGTCTTCCTTGTCCTCCACAAGTGTAATTTTTTTGTCTAGTTAGGATCTGACGCTTGCCTTCTGGGGTGGCGTCCTAGTGTGTTTTGTCCTAGCTGGAACTTAGTGTCTCTTTTTCTGGGTTGGCTGGTTGGGCCTGGTACTTTGCTTTGATGTTGTTCTTTAGGTCGTTTGTTTGGCTGCTGTGTTTGGTTTGTCCTTTCCCTTTCAATGAAAGTGTGTTTCGACCAAAAAAAACAAGTCCCAGCTCGAACAGACGGGAATGATCCTTAGTTTCACGAAATTATTACAAATTCAGAGAGTAAAGTAAAACATGATCTATAACTCAGAGGGCATTGCCAAATATTTCCCCCAGTAAAATAAATAATAATGATCCGTAATCAGTTGATAAGTACTAGCTTCAAATTTAATACATCCGAGAGTCCTAGCTAGAGGCCTTTGGAACCCAGAACACACCCAAAAAAAACAAACTTTCTTGTAATAGAAATAACACTATTTTGTTATCTCGATTAATAATACAACAATATGTGAAAATGTTATCCCCTTTCCACGAAAGTCTCTGTCCAAGACAGAGCCACTTCTTCACACCCAACCAATAATTAAACCCCACTACAATAGCAGCAGCCAGAGTAGCTATCCTAAATTAATGACGAAATTAAATTAACTCTTTTTAAAATTAGAAAAGATAATCTTAATTCTAATTTTTCTAAAAGAAAATCATACAAGACGCTACCACCATCATAAATATCTCTGCCACTCTGCTACTTTTCATTTTCATCGAGCCTCCCTCCACCGACTTTTCCAATTTCTCCGACTTGTATGGATACGTGCACGCATCGTAACCTGCCACCCAATTTTTCCACTTTTTTATTATTAAAAAAAAGAGAAGAAAAAAAAACTAATTTTGCTACTTTCAAGATGTCGATAAATAAATTAAAAATCACGAAAGCTTACTTGGATCAGTGGTGGTGATGAATCCAGTGTGCTTGAAGTCACAATTGTAATCCTGCGGCCCCACCGACTGGTAATAAGCGTTCATGACGTAAGCTGCGTGCGACCTCACGGTATTGGGCTGAAAGCAGGGCCCACCTTTTTGTATCGCCTTGCAGTCCACTCCGCTGCTGCACACGTAATCTATGTTCGCCTGCAACGCCGCATCAGAAGCGTTCGATCTGGGCACGCACCACCTCTTCTCCGACGATGACGGTGCTCTTGCTCCATCGGACGCGGGACCCGACGCACCGCCAGATGTGGGTCCGGGCGCCCCGCCAGAGCTTGGTCCGGATGCCACGCCAGATGTAGGACCCGCTGCCTAAAATAAATAATTAATGGATGGTCATTATACATAAACAACAACGACAGCGACGACAGGTGAGCTTATGTCGTAGGCATTGTCAGAGCTCAGAAGCACAAACGCGGAAGCCGAGTGATCCATTGAGTTAAGACAGAGCATACGACCTCCACCACGTGTCAAAAAACTATTGGCAGCACATGAGGAATCAGAATAACTCTTCGATTCTTACCCGCAAGAAGACCAAAAACATTACTAAAATTACCGAATTACCTGTTGGTTTCGCAAAATGCCCACGTCGTAAACCGGGTTCAAGTCGGGCTTGAACAACCCGTAATTCCGCTCCGAAGTCGTGGGTTTCAGATTCTCATTGAACAGCGAGAAGATGTAAGTATCGAACGTCCGGTTCGGCATCAACGGCGTGCCTTTTCCCGAGCTCACGTGCCGCACGAGGTTCCCGTTATACGACGCCGCATTGTCCACATTGACATCGGGCTGGGTCGGGTCGCCCGCGGAGGGCCACCCGGTTTCCGCCACCACGATGTCCACGTCCTCGTACCCGACCTTCTTCATCGCCGAGAAAACCGCGTCCATCTGCGCGTCGAACATGTTGGTGTAGTTCATCCCCGTGGCGTTGTCGAAAACGCCTGCGTTTGGCTTGAAGAGCGCGTAGTTTAAAGTCTCGGGTACGAATCCGAAAAACGGGTACGGGTTGATCAAAAACGGGGATTTGGTCTGGCGGTGAAACTCGAGCATCGGAGTGAAAACGACTCGGTCGTAGCCGGTTCGGAATCGGCCTTCACTCGGTGGGCCCGTGTTGGGTGCTAGTATGCCCAGAGAGTGAGGTGTCCCGACCTGGACAGTGGAGATATTAGCCAGCTGTAGAGCCTCGTGGAGAGACTTCATGGCGGGAAGCAGATGCGCGATGAGGTCCTTGTCCGACGTGGCAAGGATTTCGTTGCCGACGACGATCCGGTTGATGATCGTGCGGGAGTGGAACGGCAGAATGTTAGCGGACACCCAAGCCTGAGCCGCGGAGAGCTTGGCGAGGGCTGGAACGTCTCCGTTTCCGACTGTGACGGTGACGGCGATCTTGGTGTCGGCGAAGGCGCGGAGCATGTCGGGGTTGGCGTCGAAGATTTTGACGCGGTCGATGGTGGTTTTGGTCTTGAGGAAGGTCGCGACCTGGGAAGGCGGCGGGAGGTTATCAGCTATGGTGCCGTAGTTGACGCCGATGGAGTAAGCGGCAGCTCCCATGACGTGGCAGGCGGAGACGAGGAGGAAGAGGAGGAGGAGGAGCTTGGGCGGTGCGGTTGCAGAGGATATCTGCTCCATGTCTCTGATGCAGAGAATCTGAAAGGAGCGAGAGCTAGAGAACACCAGAAAGCATATGTTGAAAGTTGAAACTCGGAAGAAAGGTCTGTGTGTGGGGCCCGCTTAGCATGCTTTGCTTGATGAGTTGATAGGAGCAGTTTTCGATTGTCCACAATCTGGTCAAGACTCAAGAGGGAGAGTTGATGAGCGGAGAGACGTGGGGGTAGTGGGGTCAATTCACAACTGATGTATTGGTTTGTTTGAAAGTTTTGGTTTTTGTTTGCGGATCTTGTCAGTTTTGGTAAAGGTCCATCTGTATTCCATTAACTGGTTGTGATTATCATTTTAGCCCCAACAAAATATTTTTTGGGCAGGAAAAGAAAAAGGTTATAATTAGATCTTTTGGATTATGTCTTACCTTGTGAAGTTTAATAGTTTTCTTATTTTAACAAAAAAAAAGAAAAAGGGATTTTGATAATTTCTTGTATAGGGAATAATGAATTGTAACGTACAAGCTTTTAAAGGTTAAATCTTTTGGTAAATGAAAATCATGTTAGTTTTATACCAAAAGTAGCTTTTACAGCTACAAATGGCACCATAAGTGCCTGATTAATTCACATGGGGGAAATTACAAACGTGATCAATTTACAGCTTATATTAGGAATTTTCTATTGAGTTTGCTAACAAAAATCTGTGTAATTCACATGTTCATCATCACACAAATTTTTTTGTTTATTCTGCTTATACACTAAAATTTTGAATCAAGTTTCAACCTGTTTCGTTAGGGGCTTTGATCTACCCGTGCATGCTAGCATAAGCAGAAGGACCAGCCCTAAAAAATGAAGTCCAATGGTGAAGGCCAACCCGAGCAAGGAGTGGACTCCATCAGTCTGGACAAGCCCTTAGGCAAGACTTGTCTGGACTGCTGTCTGGACAAGCTGACCTAATGCTGACGTTATTGCCAGGTCAGCATCCAATTTAAATAACAAAAAAATAGAAAGAAAAAAATACTAAAATTTTTAGAATTTTTTTTAATAAATACCTAGCCATATTCTTCACTTTCTACACCAAAACTCTATACAAATTCTTCTCCCTCATGTGAATAGTTGTTGCTCTTGGGTTGCCGTGACAATGGCTAGAAAATCAACAAAAAAATTGCAAGGGCATGCACTATTTACATGAATAGTAGCAAGCCTTGCAAAATGCTTGTTGTGTTTCCACCCATTGCTATGGCAAAGGGCAAATACTATTTACTTTTTTTTTTACTTAAACGATTAATTTGGAGAAGATTTTCGGTTTCCGTGTTTCAATATTTATTATACAATTCATATCTAGTAATTCAAATGAATTTTTGGGATAAGATTTTTAGTTGTCACGTGTCCATATTAATTATAAAATTCACCTCTCAAATTTTAGATAAGATTTTTTGGTTGCCACATGTCGATATTTATTATAAAATACAAATATCATATTTCAGATAAAATTTTCACCCTCTAAAATCGCGTCATCTGTCATCTCTATATTTTAAATCCCTTTATAAAACCAGAGGCTTAACTCAGACCTCTCACATCATATCCTCTATATCCTTTCATTTCTCAGATTTTAGATTTCATAGTCCACTCTCAATGTCGAATATGAGGAGATGCTTGGAGAGGCAAGAACGATAAATTAAAGAATGAAGGAGCAGACGAGCTGAAGAAGAAAGGGAGGAGGAATAAGATGATGAACAAGTTGCCATAGGAGTGGGGTATTCTCCCAAGAGGCCTCGGCTCCTTTTGGATTAGTGAGTCTTGATTCATTGGGGAATCCAAAGGCAAATCCGATGTCATTGAATCGTGGAGCGGCATCCCGTTCAACAGAACGGTCGGACCAATGGGAATAATTTTGAATCTCGTGCTTCGAATGTTATACCTTGTTTTTGCCAACGCATTTCTCAATTTCTCCAACTCTTTATTCAAAATTTTCCACCTACTAAACAAGTCGTTTCCGTACGACCGAAACTTGATCTTTCACAAAAGTCGGCATGAATTTTTCTCAACATATGAGAGAACTTCATCTCATAGCCCGTGTTCGGACCAACTTGGACCCAACACTCACACAACAAACCATCTTTCATGGTTGTCTATGCTCCTCCAGCTTCGATGGAAGATGCCATTTGTATTTCAATACAAATGAAATTTAGAAAGTGAAGAAAATTTGGTCTGGAAAGTAAATTATATTGGAAGAATGAGAAAATGTATGAAGATTTGATGTTGAAAGTGAAGAATATTAGTCGGTATTTATAAAAATAAAAATAAAAAATCAGAATTTTTTGTTTTTGTTTTTTTAAAATTTGATTTTTTAACCAAAAAAAGGCAACTATTGGATTGGAGGACAAAAAATTATCAAACAACCCAAGACTTGCCACGTGGCTTCTAGCTGTTGGCGGAAATCAAGGTTGACGCCCACCTGGCGTCAGCGCACGGAAGTATAAATTTTTTTTACTGTTGGCACATGCACCAAATTGGGTTTAAAAAAAATTTGAACCCAGCCACTAACGTCATGCTAGCATCAGCTTTGACATTAGCAGCCCCCAAGCACGAGCACGGGCTCGTTTTGCCTTCGGGCTTGCCCTGTTTGCTAGGACCCACCTCCTGCCCGGGCCACACCTGTGTGCTGGAACGTCGAAATGGGCTTGGGCCACCTCCTACCCGGGCCAAACCCAGCCACTAGAAATGCTCTAACTCAAGCGGTTAAAAATATAAACTGGGCTGATCCGAACAATTTAACCCGGCCCATTTCATCATGGGTGGGCAAAACTAACTTCCGATTCCGAGTTCCTAAAATGTTCAGCTAATTCTAATTCCGAAGAGAGGCAAGGCAACAAGAAACCGCAGGACAATAATGTCTCTAACGAACGAAGCTTTGCTACTCATTCAAAAAATGGTGAAGAGCCCGCCACTAAAAGCCTTCTCAATTTTCAACTCCTCCACTCTCCAAGGCTTCCAACACACCCACCAATCCGTATCCTTCATTCTCCACCGCCTTCTCTCCTCCAACATGCCAACACACGCCCAGTCTCTCATTCTTCAAGTGCTCTCTGGTCGACTTTCTTCCCCGTTCTTCACTCCCTCCTCTCTCCTCCACCATTTAACTCAACCCCACTTGAGCTCTAACCCTCTCTGTAGTCATCTGTTTGAAACTATCATCAATGCCCATGTTCAATCTCAGTTGCCAGAGCAAGCCCTTTACTTTTTGAAGCAGATGGTTGACCAGGGCCTCGTTCCCAGATCAAACACTTTTAATAATCTGTTGGGTTTTCTTGTTAAGTCAAAAGATTTTGGAAAAGCTTGGTGGGTTTTCAATGAGTTTAAGGGAAGGGTTGAGTTGGATGTGTATAGTTTTGGGATAATGATAAAAAGTTGCTGCGAAGCTGGTGATTTGGATAGAGGTTTCGAGCTTTTGGTTCAATTGGAGGAAATGGGTCTGTCTCCGAATGTTGTTATATTCTCTACTTTGATTGATGGGTGTTGTAAGAATGGTGATTTAGAGAGGGCAAAGAAGATGTTTGGTAAAATGGAGGAGCTTGGTTTGGTTGCTAACCAGTACACATATACTTCGTTGATTGATGGGCTTTTCAAGAAAGGCCATAAAAAAGATGGGTTCGAGCTCTATGACAAGATGACAAGTAATGGGGTTGTTCCTAATGTATGCACTTATAATTGTTTGATTAATGAGCGTTGCAATGATGGGAAAATGAGCAGAGCTTTGGAACTGTTCGATGAAATGCGTGAGAGAGGAGTGGCCTGCAATGTTGTAGCATACAACACCGTAATTTGCGGATTGTGCAGGGAAATCAGGATGTGGGAAGCTGAGAAGTTTTTTAATCAGATGATAAGGGAAGGTATTAGTCCAAACACAGTTACTTTTAACACACTAATTAACGGGTTTTGTAACCTAGGAAAGTTGGACAAGGCTTTGAGTTTATTTGATCAGTTAAAGTCAAATGGACAATCACCATCTTTGGTGACTTATAATGTTTTGATTCAAGGCTTTGCTAGAGCCCAAAATTCTGCAGGAGTTGCTGATTTAGTGAGAGAGATGAACGACAGAGGTGTTTCTCCTTCTAAAGTGACATATACAATTTTAATGGATGCCATAGTTCGATCTGGTGACATGGAAAGAGCATTTCAGATATTCTTTTCCATGGAGAAGGCCAGTATGGTGCCCGATACTCACACCTATGGTGTCTTAATCCATGGATTATGCATGAAAGGCGATATGAAGGAAGCATCGAAGCTGTTCAAATCAATGAGTGACACTAATTTGGAGCCAAATGATGTCATATATAATATGATGATTCATGGTTACTGCAAAGAGGGTAGCTGTTACAGGGCACTGAGGTTGCTCAAAGAAATGAGAAAGAATCGAATGATTCCCAATGTGGCTAGCTACAGTTCCACCATTGTAGTGCTTTGTAATGATGGGAAGTGGGAGGAGGCTGAGTTTCTGCTTAAAGAGATGATAGAGTCAGATTTAAGACCATCAGTTTCTTTGTATAACATACTTTCTAAAGCGAAAGGTAATAGTACTGGTGAAGTTATGAATGTTTGAATGTGAATGAGAATCCCAATTTCTAAAACTTTCCATAAGATGGAATCGTATGTCTCATTCATAAGACCCGGACACCTTGTTTGGTGACCCGGACAACACCCATATGTATTGACTAAAGAGCTCCCTTGAGGTACAAGAAGTCTCACGGCTGTACAGCTTCATACTCCAATATCTTGCCTCACCCAGTAAGGATCTCAGTCTCAAAATTTTTTTTTTTTTTTTTTTTTTTTTTTTTTTTTTCTTTTTCTTCTTACATTGTTGTTCATGAGGTTCTGTATATCCCCCTTTTTTATGGGTTTGCATTTTTCTTCAGAGTTTGGCCTTTAGAGTGGCACTCTCTCAGTTAACTTAGGTTTCTCTCTCTAGGTAGTAGTAATTCCAAAAGGATGAAAGTTAATGGAAATATATGACCATAATACACATTGTTTGCCTCTCTGTATTGCTCAAGTTTGTTTTTGCATAATATACATTCAAAGATACATATCTCTGTCATTTTTTTTCCTGTTGTAATACATTTTTTGTCCATTTTTTTATTGCTCAAGTGTATGTAGTAGAAATATACATTGTAATTCAGGACGAATCGAAGCTAAAATTCTTTCTATTTGGGAATTGATGTCAGTTAAAAATTGTAGTTGGATGAAAGCCATAGGCCTTGTGCAAGAAAATCAGAACTTGAATACTTGGAATGCAATTTCATATTTCAACATAATGCAAGAGGGGATTTACTTCTAAAGGTACGAGTAAAATTGATAGTTACATGCTCTGTGTTTGTAACATCAAAAGTAATCAACTGAGAATTACAGAAATCCCCCTAATTAAGATACATTTTGAGCAGGAGCACGGCAAAGAGGACAGTTGCTTTCCGTTATGGCTAGCCATTGATCAATGCAGGACGTGTGATACGAATGGTTACAAATAGCAAGCAACCGACACTCTTGCCCCTCCCTAAACTCCTCCAAACAAATTACACACTCAGGACTAGTAGTAACAGTATATGTGAAGACGATTGAGGCCTGCTGCGGCGGCTGTACTGCAGCAATATTACGACCAAGATTTGACGGCGGTCGACCTGCTTCGAGATCATCGTGCCGTGCATCATCGCTCGGAAAATGATCATTGGGCGTGCGGTCTTTGCAACAAAAAAAGATCGTGATTGTGAGGGGGCCTCCCATGGCGAGGGCAAGGGTTGAATAGACATCATCAAAAGCAGGCATGATGTCTATACGCGCGCGCGCGCGTATAGACATCATGCCTGCTTTTGATGATGCGCGCGAGAGAGAGAGAGAGAGAATTATTGAAGAGCTTGTTTAGCTTAATTAATTAGGTTATTATGTACAAGCTTTCAGAAAGAAGAATGAGTTTCTTTTAATTTCAGAAACAAGAAGTTTTTAAATCCAATTAGAATCAGAATTGTAGAGGTTTCTAACTGTAACCGAAAACAACGGCAGGGTTGTTTGCCCGTCCATAAACTGTGCTATTAATTATAAACATATAATTTCACTTTTCACCCAAAATCAGGTTATTTTATCTAATTTACGAGGAGAGAGAATCAAACCTAGGTGCAAGGGCGCGGACTTACTAACCTGATCAACTGGCCTAATCCAAATATTTTAAAATTTAATTGTCAGGTTATTTTAAATTTTAATTATCAAGTTTTTGGGGTAACATAAGATGACTATAGAAAATTGCATGAAATCGATTACTGCAGCTCAAAAATACAATAACAATAATATTTTGTTGAGACTGAAAAAAGGGAAATACTTTCAAATCCTACCACTATAATTATTCTAGCAAATAATCCCATTATATTAATATCATGTCATATTTCGACATCAAACTGTCCCGTATAGTCTTAATATTCATAAATAAAATACCAATATTCAAGGGAAAAGAGGCTAAAATTCTTTTTATCTGGGAATTTCTTTTTTTAGCACAAGTTATAGTCTAAATTACAAAGAGAAATGGGGTTTCTCATACACACTACAAAAGTATCATGGACAGTGATTCGAACCTTACACCACTGGTTTGCAAGTTTTGGGAATTGATGAGTTAAAACTTGCTTGCAGTTGGATGAAAAACCATAGGCGCTGTGCAAAGAAAATCAGAATTTGAAAACTTTCAATGCTATTCCATATTTTTATTTGTCTGCTAACATAATGCAAGAGTACATGACTGTGATTGAAATATTCTATCTATTATAAGAGCTTTGAACATCACAAGTACATAACTAAGATATATTTTGAACAGGAGCACGGCAAAGGGGACAGTTAGTTTTCCTTTTGGCTAGCCAGTGATCAATGCAGAACTTGTGATACGAATGCTTACAACTAGCAAACAACCGACATTTCTGCCCCTCCATAACATCTTCCAAGCAAATTGCACAGTCAGTTCCAGTAGTACCAGTATACGTGAAGACGGTTGAGGCCTGCGGTCGACCTGCTTCAAGATCAACATGACATGCATTATGACTCCGAAAAGAATCATCCCGGGTGCGGTCTGGCCCGCAAAAACCAATGATAATGAGGATTAGAAACACGATGATGAGAGGCATTGGAAAATCAAAAGCAGACATGATGTCTATACGAGAGAGAGAGAGAGAGAGAGAGAGAGAGAAGATTTGTAAAGCTTGTTTAGCTTAATCAACTAGGTTATTATGTGTACGCTTTCAGAAACAAGAATGAGGTTCTTTTAATTTGAGGAGGCTATAAGCTACTACTGGCGACAATATATTTATAAGAAGTTTTAAAACCAAATTAGAATAGGAATTGGAGAGGCTTAATTAGTCCCCCCGTACTTATCATACATGGTTTCTAACTGTAACCGAAAAAAAGAAAAGAGGGTTTCTAATTTCGAAGAAGAAGAAGCGTGGGCAAGAAGTTTCCAAAACCAAAATTGGACAGGGTTTGTATAGATAAAGACAAATCACCTTTATAACGGAGGGGTTTGTTTGCCAGTCCTTCATTAAAAACATATATAATTTAACTTTTTACCCAAAAGTAAGTTATTTTAAGATATATATATATATTTTTAAATATAAGCGATAGTCTAAATTATTTTACATTAATCCAATTAATGAAAATGGGGAATCGAAGTTGGTGTAAGAGGAGTTCTGTATTCAGGGTAACTTAGTTGTAAATCTTCTGCATGTGGAAGAAAAATGGGAAATACTTTCAAATAGTACAACTATTTTGGAAAAAAAAAAAATTTAATCTATTATTATTTTAGCAAATAGTCCCATTATAGATATGATTTTATATTTCGATGACAACTAGTCCGACATAGTTTTGCTTTGCATAAATAAGTATCAATATATTTTGTTGATTTACTATGGCAATTTGAGAAGTTTGCAGGTGAGTAGACTCTCATTGACACATCAAAAAAGCCATCATACACTTCTTTATATACAAATTCTTACTTGCGTTTATTAGTGGATGACATTTTTTAAAGTGCCAATAACAAATTCCCTTTGGCGAATATAACTGAGAACATCATGAGTTCATAATTTCTCACAGAATTGAGTTGTAGATCACCTTCGGAAATTAAACGGCATCAGCGAAAAAAGACATTCAGAAGGACTCACCTTCGGAAATTAAATCGGCCAAAAAACACATTCACAAGGCAGCTACCTACATTTTTTGGGAAAATTCATTAGTTTTTGTTTCCGCTAATCTTCGTTGATGCGAAAAAATAGTGTTCTTTACCGTTGCCCACTTCTTTACAAGGATGAAAGAGAGTGCTCACTAAAACACAAAAATCACATATTCCTATTCAATGAACTGTCAAACACAAAATTCTGAAGGGAACAGATATACATAGACATGAGTTACATGTAAAGAGAGAATTAACGGAGAGATGTTATATGTACTCCAAAATATGCTTACACCTCCATAAACTTGCAAACGAGCGCAACTAGCTTAATGACTATTTTGGAGTGCCAATAACATTACTTAGAAAAAAAGAAAAACTTGATCAAGAGCAAATATAAGACAGTTTTGAATAGCTCTGTACCCAAAATGACTAAATACCAAAAAGCAATGTAGACTAGATCCGCTGTCATATGATATGAGTCCGTATGATTCAAAAGATTCCAAAAAGATCAGTAGGGAGGAAATATGGAGAAAGATGATCTAATATTGGTCAGTGTAGTCTGTTGGCAAAAAGAATAACCATTTTTCGTGGTGCATCCTCGTGATATGGAAAGAGGGTTCAAAATATTTTCAATGAGAATGATCAATATTTTCGGGATGTGGCAGATGTGAATGCAGCGGCCCATTCTTGTGTAGTAGATTCAGGCACCTCTTTGTTACCAATAAAGGGTGTCCAGGACCCTGCAGAAGAGTCTGTAAGAACCCATACGACGTTCTCAGGCACATTGACAAAATCAAAGTTCAAAGCAGAACTCTTCGGCTTTGTGCTAGACTTCTTTTGTTTATGGCTTCCAGAACCCTCTACAGACTGACAGAAATATGGTAAATGGAAAAAAATATCAGTAAGAAAAATAAAAGAAAACCTTTAACCACTGTCGGCCAAATAAGAAGTCATTTTTTACTCACTGTTTTGTCACCACTGGCATTCTCTGTTGTTTTCTTCCTTTTAATTGTTCCCGTTTCCAGAAAGTAGAGAACTTCTACCTTTGACCGAAACCGGCGGCCTGAAACTGGATCAACGTAATACTGGGCAAAACAGAGGATTTAAACCTTGCTCAGACTTGATTGCTGCAAAAGCAATCTTCAATGTTCTTATATTTTTGGGATTTTATTCATTTAAATGGAACTGATGCAAAGAACAGAACTGTAAAAAAAAATTTGAAGATCAAGTAGCAATTAAAAATACAAGCATCTTATGCCACTTGCAAAAAATCTTTCACACAAAAAATAAGTGCAGTTTCTTTGTATAAAATCAATTGTTGAACTCTACCATTCCATTTAGTTGTTGGAACAAAACTTGCACACAGGGAAAACTAATCCACAGGACATAAGTCTTCTTCCTTTCTGGTTTCCCTACCCTTTGTCTTTCCTGGTAAATCTGACATGTAGCTCACTTATACCTTGAAGGTTTTCTTGAAAAAATGTTGTACATGCATTGGACAATTGTTTTTGTTCATGAGCTAGTGACCGGCGAAATTTGAACTACAGGGACACTAACTTGGGAATTTTCTCCCTTCTAATCATACTTCCCTAAAAAGATGCAGATTAGGGAAATCAATGGGGGAGTCCTAATGTTGTGATACGTCAGTTAACTCCTTAGAAGCAGGATCAATTACACTTTTGCATAACTAACGTGTTCTGCACCACTTAATAACTTTTTGTTGGACTTTATTTTCCTGATCCAACCGTTGTAAGAGTACCCACCATGTATGTCAAACAGAGCATCTATACTAAAATTTTAACCTTCTTCATGGAATAGTTGCCGATCTTGCATCGAAACAGAAACAATACGTGTGTGATAAGAAAATTATATCTACAGGTTAAGTTGGGGAAACAAGATCCTATCACATGCTAATAACTGGTGCAAAATTCTATATATTTTACACTAGTGTCAACTGATCTTCCCCCCTCCCACTTTTATTAATATGTATTTGTTTTTGCAAGGAGTTGTACACCACTTCCTATATCAGCGCCACAAGTAATGTGACTTTTTTGGGCAGTGGGTATTGATATACTTATCAATTACTAAAATAGCACCAAAACACCTTAGGGAAGAAAAACTGTTAGACTTTTAATGTCAGTAATTACTAAGACATGATCCTGACCTTATACAAAATATTCATTCCAAATGCTATAACAAGTGCAGGGCACCATTTTCACTCACTCTTATTCAACAGAATGCACGGACCCCTCTATACAGCATTTATAAAAAAAATTATTCCAACCATTGCAAACAGTGTCACTAGGACTGATTGAAAGAAGACCTTGTGAACAGAACGGAAATAATGTTTTGAAAGCTCTGATTGTCCAAGAAATGCTAATTAGTAGCTTGAACCAGTAGGTGATTATTTTACCCCAAACCAAATTAAAAACAGAGAAAAGTGTTTCCTTTGGATAAAGCATAACAGCGTTATGCAACTGGGTTGAATTCCAAAACAAAGAATTTGTCCAAAAACAGTTGGTTTTCGGAAAGCAAACCACCAAAGAGTCCAAAGTGTGTGAGAAGCATTCTTGGCAGTGCGAACATCACATAAATGATACCCAAAATAGGATAACACTAATGTTTATAACTTCTTAGGAGTTGTAGACGAACTTGAAAGAACAACACTAAGCTTAAAGATAGTGGATATGAAGATTTTCTTCACCAATTTACAGTTCATTTACAGCTACAAACTACATTGCGTACCCTGGAGCAGATTTGCAGAATAACCACTTTAGTGTGTGTGCAAAATAGGATGAAAGGTCATCAACCTTTAACCCTTGCAACAATATGGTAAAAGCATACCATCTTTAACACAAAAATAATTAGCTATCTAATATAAACTCCTATAAACAAAAAATATATAAACCATAAATACCAAACCCTACACCCTAAACTGAAGTCGTTTTGGTTATTTACACAATATCAGCTCAAAAATAAATAAGTGGATCCTATTTATTTTGTTTGCCAATACGTTATTTAATACTTTTTTTTTCTTCTCATAATGGGAGACAAAAATGGGTTTAAAACAGAGAATCTAATCAAATCTTATAGTTCCTTCTCTTCCTTCATTTCTTTCACAGAGTGACCAAAACAAGCATTAATCATCAACAAACCAACACTTACTAACATAAGAAATTTCTATTTCTGAGCTCATAGAAAATCTAATAATAATCTGTAAAACCGAAACTTACCCTATCTGTACTCCCAGCTGTTGCACCAGAGGCCCGAACTCTTTCTTCTACGGACCAACCTTGCGGCAACCAGTTCTCCAGAGGCTCCACAAACCCTTTTCGCTTGACTCGCCCGGCCCCACCATCTGGATTCTCCATACCCGACCCGGACGTAGCTGGCTCTGCACATTTCGATTGCTCAGGCGCTCTTCGGGGCTTTTGGGCTTCTTTTACGTTTTGACCATTGGAGGTTCTGGTGGTGGCGTCGATGAAGGAGCCCGGTCGGAGGAGAGGATCAGGGGGTATATCGGAGTTTAGGGTTCCAGCGCGAAAGTCAGGATAGTTTGGGCGCCGATCGGGCGTGCTCCGAGTCGGGTTCAGATTTTGACCCGACGATTCGCGGACTGACATTGAGTGTCTGTATCTGAGGTCCTACTATGTTGGACTGTTAGCTCTGTGTTGGTATAATGAGACAGGATTTCGGATTGCAGGCTGGGCCGGGTCAAGTTTCAAATCAAGGCGAGCTAAGTTCGTGGGGCGTTTTTATCATTTCGAATTCAAACGGGCTGAAAAAGGAGAGTCGGGCCGAATCCCTCGGTTCCCGATCAAATTTGGGCCGAGGCTTTCGTACCCAACGCTTTTTATTTTTTCCTATTTTTTTATTTTTTTTAAATGATTTTTCTCTTAAGTTTGACCTAAATAAATAAGTATTGCATAATGAGTAATTTCATTGTGTAACGAGAACCACCACATGAAATTAGGCATGAGATTTTTAATCATTAAAATGCAAAACTATTACGACTCTACTTTACTAATAAGATATTGTCTGCTTTTGGTCTAAGCTCTCATGGTTTTGTTCATGAACTCAAGCTTATACTATCTTGCTAGGAAGTCAAATACCCACATATATATATATATATATATATGAAACTTCACATTTCCCTCCCCAAGTGATGTGGGATTTTATATTGATCTTTCCATTTCTCGTCTTACATCTTTCAGGGCTCACAGGTCTTACGATCTACCTTCCATGGGGACCAACATCCAATGTTTTCGCTGGCACACTTCCTGTTGGGTCTAGCTTTGATATCATTTTGTCACGACATTTCTTCACTAGTAAGATATTGTCTGTTTTGGGTATGGCCCTCATGGTTTTGTTCCCTGGCTCAAGCTTATGCTATCTTGCCCAAAAGGCCTCTTGCTAGGAAGTACGTGGGGAGCAAAGGCCCAGGGGTGGACATGTGCTCTCAAATTTTCTTTGCGACAATGGTCTTACTAAAACCTTAGTGTGTATCTTTAATAAAGAACATTTCCTTTGATTTTTTGCTAGTATCGATGATAAGTAGATAGTTAATGTTACATGTCAAATAATATAGTATAACAAATTTAAATTATGAATTTTGTATCAAGTAAAAAGTATATTTCAATATATAAGGTGCCCTATGTATGAAAATTTTCTGGCTCCGCCACTGCAAGTGCTGAAGGAAACATTAAAATCCTAGTTATATTTAGCCACAAAGATGAGGTTACAAATAACCTCTAGGCAACGGAAGCTTTAAAATTAAATCTTTGAGCTTTAACATAACTAACCCCAAGTATCTTAAAGGCTTGGTTTAGATTGTTCCTCTCCTAGACATTCTAGACTAAGAGAAAGAGAGAGTAGAAGTTTTACCATTGAAGCACTACTCAAGGTTGACATCCTTTAAGTTGATCACCTTATGAAAGACCTTCTTTATTCACCAAGTCACCAATGGAGGTGATCTCTAACTTTTCCACGCCAAGAAAGATGGAGGATATGATGCAACTTAGGTAGGAGATTATGCTAGTGCTCACTTCCTAGGGTGGCCGATTTTGGCTAGTGGGAGGAGCTTGATGGTGGTCTAACTCCTCTCTTAAAATTAGTTAAAAAAATCCTAACTTTTCTCAAGAGAAAAAGTTCACTTATATAGACTTGCAAGAAGTAGATCGAATTCCCTCTATGTAAAACCGGCCATGGGGTCTCTATTGGGCCTCTTGGGCTTATGTGGTCATCCAACTATGCCCACATGTCTTAACTAACCCAATGGGCCTTGAACTTGATGTTATAGTTTAGGCCCAAAGTACCATTTTCCCCCCATTCTCTTAATTAATTCAATCTCTATTAAATTAATAAGTCTATGCACATCATATTTATTTCCTTTCATCTATCCTTATCATATTTATTTCCTTTCATTTATCCTTATCGGTATACGATCCATTAGGTTCTAATCTGCAAGGTAGTGAGCGATTCAAAAATCTTTATTGATTGATTGTAAATTAAAACTCCCTTTTAATTCTCTCTTTATGAGAACTAGATTATATCTTGTTTTCAGGGCTTCCATAAACCGTGAGTGATGTCTAGCAACATGTCATGGTTGCCTAAGCCAATATAGAATAGGGTTGTGAACATATTCAATTGAAATTACCGTGTAGTACGATTTTTCTCTAAAACAATGCTCTTGATCATGCAATTGGGGCATGTAATTCATGTCAAGCTCATAATGTGATTTATAGTCTCATGTGATTCATTAAAGCATGATCACAATCTCTATTATTGATCTAGCTCGTTGCTTTGACAAAAGACTTCTGAATCACATCTTCTGAGCATTATCCTCATTTACTAAAGGTATAGATCCCTTGTTGTATATTCACATGTCTCCATGAATTGATCATGAACCCTAGTCATATCTTTGGGTTATGCCCAGAGGAACACAACGATTCAACATGGTTAAGGGCCCACAATGCTTCTATGACATAACTCGTGGTGCCTCAGGTTAAGGAATTTACGTTATTCCGACTTGAGAGATCATGATTGACATTAAAGTAAAACTTTCATTCAAGTTCTCTTTGTTGATTGCGTTCAATGAATTCATTCTCAATTGAACACCCATACACTTATCTAAGTGTCTCCACACGAATGACTTGATACTAGTCATCCTCATGATTGAGCAGATATAGTGAATGATGGTCTTTGCGGATTATCAATACTCAGTTGATTATCATATGACCACGAACTCTTTAGGATGTGGACATGGTACAAAAAGGTCTCCTGAACTTAACTTCTTTAAGTCACTTTCTATGTCTCAAGATCCATGTACTTGTTGGTTAAGTAAATAACTAAGACTATTACTCAAAACAACATCATGCCCTTAATTAATTAAGTGGAAATATCCTTAGAGTTTACATCTCATGATTGGCTCTAAGGCATGCTTCTAACAAGTGCTCACACATATATGACACTTCACATTTCCTTCTCCGAATGACATGGGATTGCTCACTAATCTTGCCCATTCCCGCCTTGCATCCTTCAAGTCAACTACAACATTGATCGTCATGTTAGGTCGATGCTAAGACTCAACTTATCTTAGACCCAAAAATCATCTAAGAGATAACTGCAAAATTTTGAAGGATCGGAGGTCAACAGCTAATTGTTCGTAGTTGGGATAATTTATATACGTGTGTTATAGGAAACGATTTATCATGCTTGTTGTTGAAAAGTTTGTGCTTTTAGACATTGGCGCCTCATCAGTTATGTATATGAGACAAAATGACTTTGAGACAGACACGTTTCAATTAAGATGCTTAATACATATGTTATCAAGTTGAACAAGTGATTTCGAAACCAGAGTCTGACACATGAAATAGATAATCAACACGGTTTCTATTAGATCAAATTTCTTGAGTAAATCTCAATGAAATTGACACACCCATTAGATATAGATAAAGATATAGCCAAAAGACGTAACATCCAAAATGGATCTTGGTGATGGGAAAAATGCACCATATAAGATCTACTAAGAAATTAGTATGATAGTGAAGTGAAACCCCTTATTTTCTTTTTCTGCACAAGATCTAAGCTATAATCAACCTCATCCTTATATACAAATAAGGATTAAGGGATCTTAACAAAGGAAAACGGCGCCAGATAAGATCTACCAATAATACATCCCAAACACTGAGTGAAGTCTACTATAGTCAAGCTAGAATTGACACATCATTATATATCGCTGAGGGTGGACTCGAGAGTGGTAGGTAAAGTCCAGAACAAAACGCCAGATAAGATTTATCAAAACGCCAAATACCATATGACACGTGCCCCTTACTTTTACCAAATTGTCATTCTGGAGTCCTCGGTTGTATCTATAAAACTGACCTAAGCTATTCGCTAGTATGTGTGCAAACTCGCCGTAAGCTAATTACTGTAGAGTGTTCTAGGGCATTTCTAATTACCAATTAGGTATTTGCTTCCATTGAGAGAGAGAGAGAGAGAGAGAGAAAAAAAAAATGGTGAACTCATCAAATGCATTTGAAGGCCAAATGATGAACGAAGGAGGTATGATTATCAAGAACCCTAAATTTTGATAATTTTTGTAATTATTTATTACTTAATTTCGAGCTTTGATAGCGTTAATCGAGAGATTTCTCTTTAATGTATTTTCCTATGTAAATCATGATGAAGCATCTTGATCTTTTGCTTTTCATATTGTCTTAATTAAGGAAATGATTGAATATACATATATTGATGTGTTTGTTTATTAGAAAATCAGAGGGAACATTTTTTCATTTCTTAAGCCCAAGGTATTTTTCATTTGATTTCTTTGCTTGTGCATGTTTTTCAAAAGCCCACAAATTGATAGGATGGACAGCCATGAGTTAGGACACAATCTACATGCCTACAAATTAATTTGAAAATGGTATAGTAAGTTTGACACACCCAATTTGTCTTATGGCACTCCAAATTGAGGATTTGTATAATTCTTATACATAGTGAGAGGGGGTTGTGCCAAAAGTTAATATGATAGTGTAAAATTGAAAGGAAAATAAGATATGTAGTTTTTTTAGGGCCCGTTTGATAACAATTTCAATTTTAGTTTGTAGTTTTTATTTTTTGTGCAGAGTATAGAGGAAAAATATGGAGAATGAAAGTGAGAATGAGAGTGAAGATGAGATTGAGAGGGAAGATGAGAGTGGAGGAGGGAGGAAGAAGTAACAAAAGTGAAAACAAAACTAAAAACTGAAATCTATTTGAAATTATTGTTTTCACTTTTACTACTCTTCCCTCCCATCCTCTCCTCTTATCATCTCTCTCAATCTCATCTTCACTCTCATTTTCCTCTATATTATTCTACCATAAAAAATAAAAAATAAAAACTAAAATTGAATTGATTATCAAACGGGCCCTTAATGAATAGTACTCTTTTTTTCTTTATACCATACCCCAAAAAAAATTATTATTATTTTATAATTTTCCCTTATTTTATTTTTCCAATACTGGTTTATAAAGAAGTATATATATTATGTGATTTGTTGTACTTGATACATTGTATGTAGCCTTACTGTATCTACATTAGTAAACATTAGCAGTTTATATGCAAACGAATATAACAGTCCATACATAGAAGGCACAAAAAGATGGAAATATTTTTTAGGTAATTATCTATCACATAACATCACATATTTTCATGTCAATAGTGTAAACCGTCCATAGGCCATGAACGACCCAAGATTATATGACAAGTAAGCAAAAGACTTAACCATTTTTTCCTTTTTCATTATTCCATTGCTTGTTATACTTGTTACATTGTATGTGTAACGTGTCATACATGGAAGAGAATTTTGATTTTTAAGGTAATTATTTATCACTTTTTTTTCTTCTGCCAATTGTGTAAATTGTCCATAGTCTTTGAACCAACCTAACGTGATGTGGCTAATGAAAACGTATAGACCTACATTTTTCTTGTATAAAAGGTATAGCACTACCTTCACTAACACACACATTAGAAACTTTTCTATCACTTTCCTGATCACTTTTCTAAGTTTTTTTCTTGAGCAAATTGAAGTCCGTATATAGCTCTTGTAAGAAAATGAAGGATGATGATGATGATGATGATCTTATTGACTATGATGTTTGTACTTGCTGAACTCCAGTGTGCAGTGGCGTGTCATCTCCCAACCGAGCTCAATCAACTCAACAAGCTATACCGCAGCCAATAGAAGCTCAAATTGTAGTTGGTCGCTTTGACCTAAATTCATTGCCTGAGGAACGAGATGACCAACTAATGGCGGTGGTTTTTTATCAAGATCAACCACCATCCGCAACGGATCAAGATCAACCACCACCTGTGACTGATGAACATCAACCATCAACTGTGGTTGATCAACATCAGCCACCAGTTGTGGCAGATCAAGATCAACCAAGACCGAAACGCCATCGGGGAAGATTTAGAAACTCTGGTTCGAGACCAATCGAGGTTGAATGGCCTGACTGGTTGCCTTCCACGTGGAAGTTCATTGCCACAAAACGCAAACGTGGTAGGACTAAGAATATGATTGACAAGGTAATGAAACAAGTACTAGTACTCTTCTGATATTTTATAATCAATATATGTAATTGCTTTCATAAATGGACCAAAACTAACATTGGTCATGCCTTAACTTCTCTTGCAGCTGTATATAAGCCCGGAAGGACACCAGTTTCGGTCCAAGAAGCAAGTTCTCGATTGGATTAGAAGAAGTCATGTTGAAAATGATAACTTGTAATCAGAGGGTGTATAGCTTAGAAACAGACTATTTTCAGATTAATGCAGTGTTCATCTCCTGATCTGAGTTAACTCCTTAAGTTGGGATGTAATTGATTTCTTTTGTTGGTGCTTCCCTTCTAGCTTTTACTCAGACTGATCTTGTACCCTTGTATATTTTGTTGTTGAAATTGTACCCTTGTATCTTAGATTTTCTCTTTCAATTACATAACAAGGCTTTTCAATTTATTTCCAGCAAACTTAATCTCAAGGTCAACTTCTGTGATTCTCAAAGAAAAAATAAATATTTTTAATATGAATTCAAAGTGTGTGGCTATTAATACGGCTGAAGAAAGCTTCTCACCTGTCTTAATATACTTTGTGCTTGTGAGCAAAGTATCACAATTATTTTTCTATTTGCCAGAATTTTTACACTGAGTCACTGAGTACAGATGGTCATGCAAGTGAGTGATACGGTGATGTGGATGGTGAGTGGTGCGCTTAGATCTAGACTTCTTCAAAGCAATTGTGGCTGAAGAAAGAACAAATCACGGCCATAGGTTCTCCTCCCTCAGGAACGAGACCTTCTGGGTGTTAATCATAACAAAAACAAATTCGGCGAATAAATTAGGAGTCTCTCATAGAGTCATGGTAGTGCTCTCACAGAGTTATGGTGGTCAAAATGGTGCTCCAACAAGAACTGGGATGATATACTAAATGAGCGGATAAAATTGGATGATGCACATGATCTTCGAAGAACAAAGATTGGTGATATCACTACTTGAAAGGCCTAAGAAAAATACATGAAAAATTTCAAGGAATGCTTTGGCAGCATGTTGGGTAGGTTTGTTTTTGAGTTGAGTGTTGTGTCTTTGTGAATGAAGTTTTCTCTATCTATAGGGAATGGTTGCCGCCCTAGTCCTTTGAAGAAAGAACCCCACTTCACGAGTAAAAACTCATGTGACTTGAAGACTTGGTCAATTTTCGATGAGAATGAGTGGTGGTTGTCTAGGGAAGTGGAATAGACACAGAGAGACACGCCTAGGGAAGTGGAATAGACACACATAGGCATGCCTAATGACAAGAATAACAAAAAAGGCTCCTCCTGCAGCCTTCTTTTCGTCATCAAAATTATTTTTATAATAAAAAACTAATGGATTGTCATAATCGTACAACAAATATATAATGTAAGAGCCTTATCAGTCGATTGACCAAAAAGAAAAATTAATTTGTCAGTCCCCCAAAAAAAAAACCAAGAGCCCTGATTTTCAATTTTAGCTATTAATCACGGTTAAAGAGAAGATGGGCAGAAAATTCTTCGTCAGTGGCAACTGGAAGTGCGTATGTCTGTTATTTTATGATTCCTACTGTTGGATTTGATTCTGTGATTAAGCTGTGATTTTTCGTTTTTTTTTTCCTTTTTTCTTTTGTTGCAGAATGGAACAACTGCAGAGGTGAAGAAGATTGTCACCACTTTGAATGAAGCTGAAGTCCCTTCAGAAGATATTGTGGGTAAGTTTTAGACTTTAATTTGTTCTTGTAATCATTTACATTTCTTCACATAAAGTAATTGTAGGGATCCTCCATATCGTAATGGCACATCCGCAGACGCCCCTGGCACACACCTAGGCACTCAAAACTTTTAATGTTGTATTCGGGTTTATGGAATTGAACGAAACGACATAATTCATTGTTGACGACAATGTCACCAGTAGTAGCACCGGTTGAAATACTGCTGTTTGTGTTGTTGAACGGATCCACCCCAATAAGAATGCCACCATAACACAACCAGTACAACATTCCATTGTAAGTAACGCCCGGAGTACAAGCACAAGAAGTAAAATTAAATTCTCGGGAGCTGGATATAAGTGACTCTCTCCATTCACCAGTCTCAGAAGAGTAGATTTTCACTGTGAACTCCAAGCAATTCTCTTGAACTGCAGTAATTCGCACGACCCTGTACCTATACTCAGCATTAAGCTTGATGTTATTAGAACTTGTTCGATTACCGACAAGTTCCTCATGGTTATAGTAGGGATGGTCGCACGTGAATCCCCTTATTCCTGATCCCTTATGAACTTGAGGAGTGGGAGGAAGAGCAATCCATTGCCTGGTGTATGGATTGCAGATGTAGTAATCTCGTTTGAAAGTGGTTGAGCACAAGATTAAGTCATTATATGTCCCTAAAATGCGTGGCTCTATTTGTGTGGTTCGATAAAAACAAGGAAGGAAACTGAGAGATAAATTGCGTGATTTGTACTTGGCCGGAAGCGCAACCATGACAAAATATTCCCAAATCAGATACCGTCCATATATCATATTATTGGTTTTGGAATAGAATAATATCGCATCCATATCAGCGTCTCTTTCAACCAATACATCATCAGTTGGGCATTTTTGCAGAGATACAAAGCGGAGGACAAAGTAAGGATCTGAGATTAGAACAAGCCAACGTCTGGACACACACTTGCACTGAAAAACGATTTTACTGCAAGGAAGTCGACAAAGGATTTCAACCAACAGATGCTGAGGAAGATCATCAATATTCATCTTTAGTTTACTATTACTTCCTTTTGGTTGCAAATTCGTGATCGCAGTGAAAACGTGTTGGAGACAAAAATAAAAAATAAAAATTCAAGAGGCCTAGTTTGGGTTGCTGTCACTTTTAAAAAAAATTGCTTCTGATGTGCTTTAAAAATAATTAGCTGTAAAGTAAAGCAGCTTCATGTTTGGTAAACACTATTTTAAAAGTGTTGTTAGTACAAAAAGCAGTGTTAAAACCGTTTGGTAAATTTTAATATAAAATTGTTGTAACTGTAAATAATGACTAAAATAGATATGATGTTAAAAGTGTTATGTACTAATCATGTGGTGGTAGTGGTAGTGATAGTGATGGAGTGGAGTTGGTACTAGAGATGAAGGCAAAGTTGATGGTTGTGGTGGTGGGGATGGCGGTTGTGGTGGTGGGGATGGCAGTTGTGGAGGTGGTGGTGGTGGTGGTGGTGGTAGTGGCAACATGGTGATGGTGGTGGATGTGGAGGTTTTGGAGGAGGTGGTGATGGTGATGGTGGTGGTGGTGGTGGTGGTGGTGGCGGCGGTGGTGGTGAATGAGGAGGAGGTGATGTTGGAGGTGGTGGTGACGGAGGATGTGGTGGTTGTGGTGGTGGTGGTGGTGGTGGTGGTGGTGGTGGTGGTGGTTGTGGAGGTAGTAAATGTGATGGTGCAAGTGGTGGAGTTGGATGTAAAAGTAGAGGTGGTGTCATTTTTTTTAAATGAATGATGATATTTTGAGAATTAAAAAAATTCATTAAATGTTCATCTCTGCTTCTTTTGAAAGCAGCTTTGAAAAGTAACCCAGAGTCAGCTTTTAAAAGCTGCTGTCAAAAGGCCACTGCTTTTAAAATAATCGGGATATGTTAATTTTACCAAACACCTTAAACTGCTTGACTTTAAAGTTAAGCAGGTTTTTAGCCAAAAAAAGCAATCCCAAACGGGGCCTTAGAGCTCGTTTGGGATTGGGAGTGATTCAAAGGAGAGTGACTTAAATAGTAGAATCCGATAGGAAATTAGAAGGGAAACAAAAAATTTGAATAGGAAACTACTTATTAGGTCACAATGAATAGCGAAAAACAGTTGTTTGCTTGTGATCCACGGCTTTGACTTTTAAACCCCAAAAAAAGCAAGGTTTGACTTTTAAACCCCAACCTAAGAAAACATATAATGGGCTTGCCCGTATTGTACAAAATCAGAATATTTTGGCTTGGGCTGATACTGGATAGGCTCAACCCGACCCGATTCCTAAGTGCACGATGGATCTTCTTGTACAGGCACAGGCACACTCTAGAACAGTGGAACAACAAATATAAAAATTAAAATAAAAAGCAAGAGCCTTGATTTTCAATTTGAGCTGTTAATCAAGTTAAAGAGAAGATGGGCAGAAAATTCTTCGTCGGTGGCAACTGGAAATGCGTAAGTCTCTGTTATTTTATGATTCCTACAACGTTGATTTGTTTAGGTGGGTTTTGATCGATTTCGCGTTTGTAAAGATATTTCAATTCATATTTGATTATTGACCGCAGACCAGCCCATTAGTATTGGAAATTCCCAGTACTAAGTTTGTGTGAATTGTCTGAAGAACAGTGGCTTTGGAGTTGATGAGTATCAGATTGAGTTGTGATTTTTGGGTTTCTTTTGTTGCAGAATGGAACGACTGCAGAGGTGAAGAAGATTGTTACCACATTGAATGAAGCTGAAGTCCCTTCAGAAGATATTGTGGGTAAGCATTTAGACTTCAGTTTTTGCTCAACTTGTTGTTTTAGTTATTTACAGTTCTTCACATGAAGTAATTGGTACTTTCTTAACAAGGGGTAGCTTTTTTGTTTTTTAATTTTTGCAAAGCTCATATTTTTGTGCAAATATTTCAATGTTTGATTTAGTTGTGCTTTCCTTTTACTGCAGAGGTTGTTGTGAGCCCTCCATTTGTGTTTCTTGCTTTTGTGAAGAGTTTGTTGCGGTCTGATTTCCATGTTGCGGCACAGAATTGTTGGGTTCGCAAAGGTGGTGCTTTTACCGGAGAGGTTAGGTATGTTTGTATCTAATTATCAACAATCCTGTCTATTGTTAAACTGCTAGGCATGAAGTTTAGAGAACAAGTAATTGTTTACAAAATGACCAGTTTCTTGTTTGCTCAGTGCGGAGATGCTGGTGAATTTGGGCATTCCATGGGTCATTCTCGGTCATTCTGAAAGAAGACTTATTCTAAATGAGTCCAATGAGGTAACAAGCGATCCAGTTTGATCTTTATTTCTTCACTTTCTTTGGTTGACTATCTTGACACAATCAATTATTGTTCTTGCGGTTCTCTTTGTCCATGCAGTTTGTCGGCGACAAGGTTGCTTATGCACTTTCTCAAGGCTTAAAAGTTATTGCTTGTGTCGGGGAGACTCTTGAGCAACGAGAATCAGGATCGACAGTGGCTGTTGTTGCTGCACAAACAAAAGCAATCGCAGGTACTTCTTTGCCACTGACAAAGCAACATGTTCATTATTTGGTACCCTATGTTCTTCATTTTATTATATTTTCTTTTTTGTTTCTTTTTTGGGGTGTGCCAAGGCATTCCTATTGTACTGATTTGGTTCTAGGATCTCCAGATTATATTTCTGCCAGGTTTTAAAGTTTGCAGGATTTACATTGTCTGACTTTTCCTTTTTCATTTTTTCCTGATTGGGATGTGTACCAGCTGACTAGCCCTTTCTTTTCTTTCAGAAAAAGTATCGAGCTGGGAGAACATTGTTTTGGCGTATGAACCAGTTTGGGCAATTGGGACTGGGAAGGTTGCAAGCCCTGCTCAGGCTCAGGAAGTAAGTGTGGTGGGATGGGTGAAGCATTGTTATATCTTATTCTTTAAAGTTAAATGTTTTATTGTTTCAATGAAAGTTATCTTTTGTTTGATCAGGTAATGTAAATGTAGTGGGGAACATTTTCATGACTTCTTTTACAGTTGCTCACTTTCTCATTGTGATGTCTATGATAGTAGAGCTTAATTTGTATATTGTCTTCTCTGTACTTTTCAATATTTTTTATTGGGGAACAAATGAATAATGGAAAATTTTATACTGCGGAACAAATGAACATTTTACATTATGAGTTTACTCATGTGTGATATCATTTGTAACCTTGTCTCCACTACGCAGCTCAGTGAAACAGTTGTGTTTCATGAGTGTGGCCTTCTTCTATATTTCATTAAGTTTTTGTATGAACAGTCTCATTTCTCATAAGTAGTTGTTAGTTTCCTTGTTACTATGTCAAGTTTGTTAAAGAGGTTTTATTAACAGGTCCATTTTGAGTTGAGAAAATTGCTTCATGACAATGTTGGTGCTGAAGTCGCTGCATCAACCAGAATTATTTATGGAGGTACGCTTCAACTTTTAGTCATGAATACCATATGTGTCCTATATTTCTTTGATTTGGACAGAGCATAAATTTACGGACTAATCATCAAACAAAGCAAGTTATGTGCAAGTGTTAAGCCTTCATGACTTATCTTGTTATGAGTGAGAAACATAGCATGCATGTGGGGGTGGGGGTGGTTTGCTATTGCAGTGGCTTCTGCCAGTAGCCTGGTTGTCTAAGTTGAGTCGCCTGATTAGTTGGAATCTGAAATATATTGGTCTCCAAAAAAACAAAATATTTAATCCAAGCTCAAACCAGAACCAACCTTTTGTTAGTTGAGTTGCATCAACTATTGGTCTGAGATTCACTAAAGATGCACCCTTTCCGATTCCGAGTTGAGTGCTTATACTTCACTCTTTAGTTCTACATGAATATGGAATACGGAACATAATCTAGTTCCAAAATGAACATTATAATACCAATCATAGAGAGGAGAGAATCATCTTACATGATACCCTGGTTGTGTAAACTTCTGTTTTAATCACATGCAATCGCCTTTAGGTTCTGTAAATGGAGCAAACTGCAAGGAATTGGCAACACAGCCAGATGTGGATGGATTTTTGGTCGGCGGAGCTTCCCTTAAGGTGATAAATGAATATTCTTCTTTCTGGCTTGTCTCAGTTATCTGTCTGGTTTCTCTTCAACTTCGGTCACTGATTCTTTTATGCTCATTTTCTTTGATTAGCCGGAGTTCATCGACATTATCAAGTCAGCTACAGTGAAGAAGAATGATTGAGGTCAGAGAATGTCCATCTAGCTTGTTGCCCAACTTGAGTTATAAACTTCTGTTGTTAATACTTGTCAAAAAGGACTTTTACTGTATTATTACTTGCCAAAAAAAACCTTGTAGTTGTGTTGCCCAGCACATTCTCGATGTAATAAGTAAGAATTCCTTGGTGCTGAGTTTACTTTCAATTAAGTGGATATATGATTGTGAATTTGATAAGTCAAGTGGGGTTTCTCTTATTTTCTCTTTTTTCTCCTTCTGATAAGTCAAGTGGTTGTTTGGTTCCTGGCTGAGGTCTAAAGAGAGTCATATTGATATAAATTTTAAATTCAATTCTTTCTTGTTTCTCCCTCTTTTCTTGTTCTCCTTTTTCTTCAAATCTTCAACCACTTTCGGCTCTCGTTTATTTTTATTTAAAAAAATTATTAATATTTTTGCACCCTCAATTAGTGGGTGCTGAAAGTGTAGAAGGCATTCTTTTCCGACTCTTTTGTCAGAAATTAAAAAACCCTTGTCTTCTACCTCATCGGCATGGTTGGCCACTCCACGGGGCATGGCTATTTCAGCAGAGGTATGGGAGGCATTCTACGACATCATCTGTGTCATGCACATCGCATCCAAACACCTTTCTTTCTGTTTCTCATTTTTGGGTTGGAAATAGCAAGTGTCAAATGGAGTTGTTCTGTTACTGCTATCTGAAGTCTAGTACATCATATGCTTCTTCGAGCTATGAGAAGTGCTTGGAATAGTCGCCTGAGCATGGCTGACGTTGAACGGTTTATGTAATGTAATCCGCACTTGCATCAATAGTTGAAAGTCAAGTATTTGTGGGCAACTATACCTAGCATATTTCTTGGTTTGTATATAGCTTGTTGAGCCATGTATGCATATAAATATACTGTTGCCAGTATGCCACCCAAAAGAAAATTAAAAAAATTTAGGCTGCCATACAAAGTATTAAAGTAAGGGTTTGATGCTCGACAATCATACTCTACTTTCATTTTCAAGATTATCTTTGACCAACACAATATTCCTACATTTCCAGCTGAGCTTTCTTTTTATTTTTAATTTTTTGGGTTAGATAAAACTTTTTATGTCTTATTTTTTATTTTTTATTTTTTATAATAAAAAATCCCCTTTCCAGATTGAAGTCTACTCTAGAGTCTACACTGAACTCTTTTCTTTTTCTTTTTTTTTTAAAAAATTTAATAGAAGCATGATTAGGCATGACTTATATTAGACCAGTGTGCTATATGTTGGTCCAATCACACTGGACCAATTATCAAACAAAGTAGGCGTATCAACATTTTTCTAACAACCAATGAACCATAGTTTTTCATCAAAATGCACTTATTAAATGGATTAAAAATTTATTTGATTCACTTCAATCTCTGTGCTTAATGTCAATGCCATTGACCTAATGGTGCATTATGTGGGTTGACCTGTGGTCATTTCTTTTATAATAATTCATTTAGAGATAAGATCGACCAATACACCGTTTACTACGGTCTCAAAAAGATTCGTTTCAAGCAAAACTATCAAAGGTCGTGGCTCATTGCTGGTCGCATGAATAATGACTTTTGCAACTCTGCAAAATAGCATAGACTGACTATTATTATTCAAAATATTGTGAGTTGTGATAGCAACAGTCGCTTCTATGAATATAATGCAGCACCATTCAATACTCTCATTAATTGCATTACACATCAAACGTATGCTGCATGAACGACTGATGTTGCCATTTAATAAACCGTCAATAGTTTGTTTATCTTAATTATTTACATGAATATAGGTTTATGTATTTGTGTACTGTAATTTACATATACAATACATCATTGAAGACTTTTATGTCGTAAGTCTTATAGGATTATCCTGTTTAAATGTTGATTAGCATGCTAAAGTCAATATCTTAGCACCACCACCAACCCCTATCTGCTTAGACCAACAAAAGGTACTAAAAGGAAAGCACATGGAATTGAAAGTGTTTGTTTGTTCCACTAGTTTGGTAGATCCCCATGTAGCAACCTCTTTGTTGGCTAATCACTAAAGCTGTGCCCTAGGTGTAAGCAAAAGATAACAATCACTAAGCTCAGATTAGTCTCTTTTTGCTTATTTGTTTTAACAACCAAGCAACAAAGGAAAAGCCCCGCAGTCCTTTTTCCACAAAACTCTCCCTCACAGAAAAAGTCACCGAGCAGTTTGTGACATGTTTTGATAACTTGCAGTAACTTTCGACACAGTCAACATAGTTACCTCCTTTTTTTGGTTAACAAGTAATGACATAACTGTCTGCGTAATCTTGTAACATGTTTTTTAGTATAAGATATAACTTAAACTACAAGAAATGGATTTCCAACACACACACAATTAAGATGTTATGGGATTTTGAACCTGAGACTTTTGGTTTGCAAGTCAATATCTTTTTCCACTGAGCTAGACCCCGTTGACCATAATCTTGTAACTTAAGATGTTCTTAGAAGAAGAAAAAAATTAAACAACTATTATTAGTGATGGCAAGTTGGAAACTATAATAAGACAATGATTTAGAATTAAAAAAAGAAAGGGGTTAGTGGGTAACACCTTTTATGAAGCATGATCGTATTTAGTTTAGCTAATGGTGGGTACTAGGTTAATTGGGTAACGAGAAATTATGCACCCAATTGAAGCATAAATAATAGTTTAATTAGCTCATACTCAAAAAACTAAGGCACACTTTGGATCCTCCTTGAACAAATACAATTTCATACACATGCCCACTTAAAATAATGCTATGAGAATGTACGGAATCTGACCCTTGAACCCGTCAATCTTGTTTACGAGTTTACAAAATTGGCACCAACTTTGACAACTTCACATTCTTAACATTATTATGGTACATTATGATAATAGTGCAGAGCACCACTTGGGTGTGACGCATCATTCACCGTGTTTTGATTAACGGGTTTTTATCATACACATGTCATATTGAAGATTATTTAGATTTATTTTTATAAAAAATCAATTAAATTGGAGATCATTTATAAATCCATATGTGTCGGCTTTAATAAGAATTAAAATTCTCATGATGAATTGTTCATTTAATTAAATGATATTCAATTTGATTGATTTCTTTTTTCAAATATGATCGTTAAATGATGGTTTAGAGAATGAACCACCCTGATATAACATGTGTACAATGAATATTCGTTAATCACACTAGAATAAACAAACATATACAACCAGGTGGTACATTGAAAGGTGAGTGCACCTAAGCATTATGCTTATTATATAATGTATCATTTTCATTCATCTCTATTAATTTAGGGTGCTTACTTTAACACACTCACTTTTTAGAACTCTTTTTTTTTTTTACCTCCAAATAATTTTCATAACTTAATACTTTTCCAAGCTCGGATATGCTTTCTTATTACTCTTCTAATTTGGTACGCAAAACCTAAATTTAGTTTCTTTTTTTTTAAACCAAAAAAGGCCTAAATTTTTCGACACCGTTTCAGACACGGGTGGCTCGGCTCTCAAGGCTTATACACGGCTGGCTCCCTCCCTCCCGCCAGCCGGCTTCTGGGCCATGCTCCATATTGGCGGTGTTATGTTTGCCACTTGGCAAACATGCCTCCGGGTGGGTCCCAATTCAAGACTTTTTGTGCGAAATCCGAACGATGTGGTGGGACGATCACAGCTAAGATTTGCTGGGCATGTAGCATGTGAATGCGATAAAAGCAAAATCATGATGACAAGTGTGAAAAAAGTATGCATAACCAACGGTTGTGATTTGATCAGAGAAATCGGGACTTCAAATCGGGATTATGATTACGTTTACTACAAATGGAACGACGCCATATTTGGCCACGGAAAAGTACAATTTTGGAGCAACCTAAAATTGCAAAATTGGTTTGGTACGTGTCTCTGCCTCACGGGATGTTTGGTCTCCAAGTCGGGAAGAGAAAAAGGAGGGCAAGGGCTCTTCCGACCTCAAATTTGGCAGTTTTTACCACCAACTTGGAATTTCTTGCTTTCTAATGACATCAATGTCAGCGGCCATCCATGTACACATGCTAAATTCTTTTAAAGTAACAACTTTTTATCAATAGGTCATCATACCAACTATGTGATGAAAGAGATATATACACACTGACACGACGAATCATGCATTTTGTTTTTGACTCGTAGGCCGAATTGCTATTTATATGAGGTTATATTATTCCTATTCGGCTCACTTTTGTATAATTTACGTTCTTAAAACTTGGCCACAAATTTGTGCAGTGTGAAAACATGCCCATACTTAATTAGCCTTATGTGGGTTGGCTAATGTGTACGCATCAGACACAGTGGCCAAGAGGAGTGCTCGCCAGAGTCGCCCTCCAAGATTTTCATGTGGGTGAAGAAAAACCAATAAAGCTTAGAATACAACAACATTTTTCCCCCCTACCTCATAGTACATAAGTACATATATGGTTGGGAGCTGCATGCCTCTGGTGCCATAAAATTTCAGATTTGAATTAGCAAAAGAAAAGAAGAAAAAAACATGGAGTCACGCAATTATGATGATCTCCAGCACTTTACAGCCAATTTATGTACTGTTTGCTTGATTGGATCACATTCTCGTATGTGATTATTTCCAATCAAAGTTGGTTCTGTTTTGTGTCTTGTGTGGTTTTTGTTTTTTGTGTTTTGGTAAGCGAGGTAGATGTTTTTTTAACTTTTGATCATGCATAGTGTGTCTCACAATTATCACAAGAGATCCAATGAGTGAGGGCAATGTTCACAAGAGAACTTTCCACAATTAGCAAAGAGCATCCACTTTTTCCCAGTTAGATTAGATGGGGTAATTAGAACCACAAGGCTGATGATTAGAAAACCATGTACATGTGGGGGGAGAGAGAGAGAGAGATTATGAGAAGGTTACATGATTCCAAGAACCAACGTATGGCATGGGCTCATACTTTAAAAAGTTGTGGCATAGGATTTACGGTGATTTCCTCATCATGTGTTAAATTAATCACTAACCACTTATTATAAGAAAAACTTTGTTCAGATAATCAGAGTTACTATTGCACTCTATAGAAGTAATCATAAATTCTTTTAGGACAAAACTTCCCTCATTACTTTTTATTGTGACTTAAACACAAAGTGACATGTCTCCTTTCTGTTTTTTGATCAAAACAGAAAGATTTTTTTTCCCCTTGGTAACATGATCCTGTATTGGAAAAACCTTCATGTAGAAACTATGTCTCCAATTGTTGTATGTGGAAACTTTGGTTGTAAATGGATTATTAAAGTTAGAGTTGGAAAGGGGCCACAAAGACTTAAAGTTTTGACTAAGGAAGGATATTTTATTTTATTTTTAAATGGTTGAGAAAAATTAAAGTGAAAAAAAAACAATGGGGATTTTGTTTTTTGTTTTGGTAAAAAACTAGGGGTAGTAAAAGTGAAAAAAAGAAGAAAGAATTGTTTGAACAACTAAGAAAGAGATGGCATATGTCACTTTGTAATTGAGCCACAATAGAGGGTAACGAGTAGTTTCTCTTTATGAGTAAGCAGGGAAGTATTATGCTTCTTTTTAAGTGCAAATTTTGAAGATAGTCGAAAAATCTATGTTTTCCTTATATATATAAAAAAAAAAAGGTTCTTGCAAATTTTCCATGTAATGACTTTAAAATGTTCCCTTGGAGCCATTCATTAATTTAAGTTAGTTACTAACTAACTATTGTTAGAAAAACGTTATATCCATGGATATTTCAGTATAGAAAAAGCAACTGTAATCATCACTGTTAATGGATAGAGACCAAAAATAATTAAATAAACATAAACCCAACTTGTATATCCTACGTAGGACCCTATATTGATTTAACAAGTAATGGTATGTGTTGCCCACTCGAGCTAAGTAATAAGAAGTTTTTAATTCATGATTCAGAATAGCATATGTTTACATATATATTAATCTTCGAACGTTAATTAATGTGACAATATTTCATTTATTTCATTTACGAAATCTTATTTATTATGCGGTATCAGTTGATGTGTAAGATGTAATAAGGTAATGTTCTAATGATTGTGTATTTTCACGGGATAAGATATCCATTACTTCTTACGTGTGCAAAGAAGGCTGGATTGAATCTAAATTAGAGAAAGAAAAGTAAACAAAAACTTGAATGGCTAAATGTTATTGCAGGAGTCCCAGAGCTGCTAAAAAGCCTAAAGCTAGCCAAGCCATCACTCATCTCATGCATAGAAGATTGGGCTCTTTGGAAACCAAATCAAACGGCTAAGAAAGGTAGCAGAGAGTGAGAAGGCTTATCCGCTGTCTGACTTCACCGAATGAATGTAGAGCGAGAGAGAGAGAGAACAAAACCAAAAAACAGAGAGAGACTAGTACAAAACGTTGAGCTGAAGAGCGGGGACCAGCCTGCCATTAATGCAGTACTACCCACCTTCCTTCTCAGCCAACCCTCTAATCTATTTTAAGCATCAAACTCAAACGAAAAAAGCTTAGTCAACTTGCTCTTCGCTGGGAAAGTTCTTTATTTGAGCATCGTGGCCATTCGACCAACGCTAAAAGCATAAACCCACCTCACTCTTTCTTTGTCTCTCTGTGATTAGATTTTAGTTTTGGAAGAAAAGAGGTTGGTTTTCGGATTTCCTTTATGTTTGAGTTCATGGGTTTGTGTTTATTTTCTGTTTAGATTTAGAAAGTAAGTTTTTTTTCGTTTAAAGAAAACTAATTTTAAGTTGCAGTTAAAAAAACCAATCAAATTTGGGAAGTTTTATCTTTTGTGGATGATACCCAACTGCTTTTTGGTTTGGTTTCCATTGAAAAGTTTCTGCTTTTACTCTAGATCTGTCTGGTTTCACTGTTCAATTTTGAAGTTCATTTCAAGTGTAGTCAGCTGATGCAATCTCTGATCCTGCAGGCAGAGAATTCAGAAAAGGCGGTTGGTTTTCTAGGGTTGGTGTTCATGGGGGTCTGCTTAAGCGCGCGAATCAAAGCTGAGAGCCCTTGTAATACAGGTATATAGACTTCACGGCTTCTAATTATAACCCATGTGGCTGTACTTTTTTGTTTGTGTAGCTCTAACCATTAGTGTAAGTTGATCTTAGGAAATTTTATGGTTTAAATTTTACTCTCTCTCTCTCTCTCTCTCTCTGGTGCGAGGGCAAATTGTGGTTGAGCTGTGTGTTGGGAGTTTTGGGGTTTTATCTAATTATAGGGTGCTCAGCTGGAAGGTGTTGATTTACTAGGTGGGTGTGGTTTCCTGGGAACACTAACCTCATTTTGATTCCGACCCTGTTTTGGAAATTAGATTACCTCGAATGGTAATTAGTTTCCCATGTTTACTTTGCTCTGAAAGAGTCTCTTTGGCTTCCTTCAAATTGCAACCAAACTTTTATAAAATACAGCCAGACAGAGAGGGGAAGTTAGAATTCCTTTAACTTCTCACTATTTTTTTTAGCAAATATGGTGCAAAGGATTGAGTTAAGCGTGAATGGGCAATCTTATTCATACCTTGGTGGTGACTGTAAATTGATTTACACTTCACATTTACATGTGCAGGTCTGAATTCAAAAATCGTCAGCACTGATGGGAATCTCAGCACAAGCAGCAAGGTCTCATCATTTTCAGCGCCTCCAACTCCTCGGAGTGAGGGAGAGATCTTGCAGTCTTCCAATTTGAAGAGCTTTAGTTTTAACGACCTCAAAATGGCCACCAGGAATTTCCGTCCTGATAGTGTGTTAGGAGAAGGTGGCTTTGGTTCAGTTTTTAAGGGGTGGATTGATGAAAACTCATTTACTGCTGCAAAGCCTGGGACTGGTATAGTTTTGGCTGTGAAACGGCTTAACCAAGAAAGTTTTCAGGGTCACAGAGAGTGGTTGGTGAGTTATTTTCTCCTGATTATTTGATGCGCATTGTCGTACTTGATTCTTTGATCTTATGCTTATAAGCAGAACCTCTTAAACATTCACTTAAGGTAGAGTTAGCTTACAACAAGCTAGGCATTGATGCTTTGAGTTTCAACAAATTATCTTATGGGCGTTGGTGCTCTTAAGTGCCTACTAGAAAATCTTTTGAGTTTAGCAATTTGAAGATAAATGTTTACTCCTTTTCTGTTCAAGCTTGACTTATTGTGTGCTTTTATTTGGGTTTATAGGCAGAAGTGAATTATCTTGGACAATTCCATCATCCTAATCTCGTGAAACTAATTGGCTTTTGCTTGGAGGATGAACACCGGCTTTTGGTGTATGAATTCATGCCTCGAGGCAGCTTGGAAAATCATTTGTTCAGGAGTAAGTTCTTTCAGTGAAAGCTCTGGATACCTTTGAAACAAGATGGTTTGAGTTATTTATGTATTGAAAATTTAAACCGCTACTGTACCAGGGGGCTCTTATTTTCAACCTCTGTCTTGGAACCTCCGGATGAAAGTTGCCCTTGGTGCTGCAAAGGGGCTTGCTTTTCTTCATAGTTCTGAAACAAAAGTGATATACCGAGACTTCAAGACGTCAAATATCCTGCTTGATTCGGTATGTGACTACTGAAGGTGTTCAATACAATGTTATGATTACATTTTTATTCAATGGATTCTGGAGATCTTTTGACTTCAATGAGACCCTGAGTATTTCCTTCATGTGTGATATAATTCCAGAACTACAATGCAAAACTTTCCGATTTTGGTTTGGCCAAGGATGGGCCAACAGGTGATAAAAGCCATGTCTCTACTAGGGTGATGGGGACCTATGGATATGCAGCACCAGAATATCTAGCCACAGGTATTGTAAATTTTATATTAATTTCTAGTCCAAAACTGATTGAGAGTCTTTAGTCATCTGTTTTCGTCATCTTTTTCCAGTTGCTTTTGACCATTCAACTTAGAATCTTTGCCATGTTCTTTGATTCATTATTCTTCATTTCCATATGCTAAAATTGACGCCTGTATATCTTAATGATTCCATCTTTCACTAACTGAAGGTCATCTAACTGCCAAGAGCGACATTTATAGTTTTGGAGTCGTTTTATTGGAGATGTTATCTGGCCGGAGAGCAGTTGACAAGAATCGACCATCTGGGGAACATAATCTAGTAGAGTGGGCTAAACCCTTCCTGGCAAACAAGCGTAAGATCTTTCGCATCATAGATAACCGTCTAGAAGGTCAGTATTCAATGGATGGAGCTTATAAGGCAGCTAGCCTTGCCTCACGGTGCCTATCCACAGAATCCAAGCTCAGGCCAAACATGGATGAGGTTGTAACAGCACTGGAACAACTGCAAGACAATGGAAGCGGTCAAGGCAATGCAAGCAATGGGCAGAGAATGCGCAGACGAAGTGCAGATGATGCTATCAAAGCAAAGCGTGCAGCAGCAGATGCTAACAAGGCAGCAAACAAGTCAAGTAATACTGTCGCTTATCCTCGGCCCTCTGCTTCCCCTCTTTATGCATAAGAATGGAGTAAAAGAAAATGGCAAAAGCTGCAATATAGAAATGTTTGCCCAGTGACTGTACAGTTTATCCTGGCAAATGTTATTCAAATTTCAACCCTCCCTTTGACAAATTATTAGGTGAGCTTGTAAAATGAGCAATGCCACGATGTTGTGTCTTCCGAATCACCAAATTGTAACAGTAGCTTCGAAAAGTAGGGATGGAAGTGCTTTTGTATGACTAGATGTCCATTTTTCTCCTGCACAGGGTTGCATAAGGTTTTATTTTTTGACCTTTTCTTTTATTATAGGTGTTTGGCGTCCTACCGGTGTGTGTGTGTTGTATTATGTTTGTGTTTCTTTCCCAAAAGGAAAGGGAAATAAATTGATGAGCCTTTAATATTTGTTAAATTGCGAAGAGTTGTCAAAATAAGCACAACGTCCGTTGGATAGAGAGATTATATAAATTAAAAATTACTTTAAAAAAAAAACCCCCCAATGCATGGTTAAATTGCTTGATTTGATGATTAAGACCACAAATTTGTGAGAAGAAAAAGAAGCAATGCATGGATTTCAAATGGACTCATCAAATCCAATGTAGTCCAAATTCTTTCTTATACATATACATAATTTGAATGGCCAAGAATTCTATAGTGAGGGTATTATATATAGCCCATAGGTGAGGTCTTGTCTATTAATCGTTAGATCAAACTAACCAATTTGATTCCAACGACTGAAATAGGGCATCACCTAAAGGTCATATATAAGCCCTCACTATAGAATGGCAATCTACTACTAGCTGATGATTTCTTGGGCTTAGTTAGGCCCAAAGACATTGTCTCTTAGCTTTACTGATTTAGGGCATTCGGCCCTCTTATTCGGCCCTCTTATGTATCCAAAAGAAATTGAAACCAAACAATCAAAGATAGTAGTGCTAAAAATTGTCGCTCTCTCGCGCACATGAGTAATCCCTAACCGTTCGTGCATGCACGAATGGGTGATTTTCAGCCTTTCATGCATTGTGTGACCCACTTACATGGACGGTTAACACCCTACCAAAAACTCTTACATCTCCCACTAAGCAGAAATTATAAATATCGCCACATCTGCTTGTACTTTGTAAACCTAAATAACAGAACATTTTGGATTACAAAACACATTTAACATTGGATTGCCTCTATTCACGCTCATCACTAGGACGGTGATACTCATTACAGGGGAGAGAACATGAATTTGCGCCCCATTTTGTGTAATACAGAAAAGGATGCATGCCTCTAAAGTGCAGCCTCCTTTACAAATTATATTTACAACCATCTGGCAAAAAAGAAAAAAATGGAGAAGAACCTCATACCTCTATTAGTTTTGAAGAACAAGCATCTATTGTCTTCAATGTGAAGGTAGAAATGCACCCATCTTTCATTTCCGACAGGGACCAAAGCAAATGGATGAAGCTTTTTTTTTTTTTTTTTTTTAAATTTTTTTACATTTTAAACTTGGCTAAATGGCTTAATCACCAAGTTCTTATCAACCCAGGGGTCCAGTTTCTCCAATCTAGCTTCCCAATAGATTTGTTTCTAAAGTTTACCATTTCTCTTATATCGAAAACCCTTTTTTTGTTTCCTTGTTTGGTAGTCTCGATCTCGTTCTCCTCCACAGTTTCTTCCTTCGCTTCTTCAGTTTCAATAACAGGTTCTTGGACAACCTCATCTTGAGATGACAGCTCATCTATGATGCTTCCTAAAACCACAACCACCTCACTCATTTTTGGGCGAGACTTTGGTTGTTTTGATAGACACCTGTTAGCTAATGATGCAAGTTTTTGAGCTGATTTGATACAAAACTGTCCTTCAAGCCGAGGGTCCACAATGAGGTGGAATTTCTTTGAGTCTGAAACATAAGGCCTGACCCATTCCAAAAGCTTCTGCTCACTCCGTGGCAAATTTCTCTCCACCGCCCTCCTTCCTGTGATGAGCTCAAAGAGAACCACTCCAAAGCTCCATACATCACTTTTGGCAGTCAACCTCCCTGTTTGTACATATTCTGGCGCCGCATATCCTATGGTGCCCACAACCTATAAAAATGAATGTTCATTGTAAGTAATGCACTGCGCATAATAGCAGACTTACAATCCGCAAAAAAAAAACACAAGCAAAGAAGTCAGAAGTTATCATTAATAGGTTCCATTTCAAAAGAGGGCCTATAATATTCAGACAACTATTTACTTTTTTCCAATGACTTTGTGATTGTGTCCCAACATGTTAAGATGATGATATGCCCAAATAAACTGTAAAAAGATAAACCTTCTCTGCTCAAAAGATAATACAACTTACGGATGTAGAAACATGACTCGTTCCCTGTGGAGGTCCCTGCCTTGCCAGTCCAAAGTCCGAAAGCTTTGCATTGAAGTCCTCATCTAGTAGAATGTTTGACGGTTTAAAATCGCGGAATATTAGCTGCACCAATTATAAGGCAGATCCAAATCATATTGACTAGCGAGCAGTTGAGAAAGTAACCTAAAGAAAATATAGGCCACCGAATATGAGAAAAGTGGCGGAGGCATTTACTTGCAGATATAATCTGTTATTAAAAAAAAAATCAGTAAATTTAAGTACACAAGGGAACAAGGGAACAAGGGAAAAGACTACAGACAATTGACCTATATCTGTACTTTAGATAATGAAAACGTGAGCATAAATATGTATACGATCCAAACATGGAAACAAAATTCGGTGGCAATTTTGTTAAAACATACAAGAAGGTACCTGAAAATCCATTTCTTCATGCAGATATGCCAATCCACGTGCTGCGTCTTGAGCAATTTTTAATCTTGTCATCCATGGGAGAGATGATGGAAATCGAACCAATAGATGGTCCTCCAAGCTTTTATTACACATAAGTTCATAAACCAGAAGCCGTTGAATCCCCCTTTCATCATCTTCTGCACAGTATCCCACTAACTTAACAAGATTTGGGTGCTTGACAACGCCCAATAAGTTTACTTCATTAATCCACTCCTTATGCCCCTGAACACTAGAATGGAAAATAGCGTAAACCTCAAAAAACTTGGACAACTACAATTCTAAACATAAAACATGTAAAGTAAAACTGCATCTGGAACTAGCCACTAATCAGATTCTCCTATGAGCAAAACATACTTGTAAATCTATACACGGTTAGTTAGTACAGAATCTATGCTCTAACAAGCTTTACACTTTAACATCATATTTCTTTCTAGAACAGTTGTTTATTGTTGAAATATGCCATTTCCCAGCCTGTATTCAAGCAATGTAACTGAGATGACACCACAAATCCACCTTATCTAGAATTCAAGCAAACTTTTCCACCCCAACCCCACAAACCAACAAAAAACCAAAACTAAAAAGAACCAAGAAAGCAATAGTCCCAGAAAAAGCAGAAAGTGAACACTGAACAAGATTGATTCCCAAACAGTTGAAATTAAAGGCTTCAGCAATTCAAAAAAAGTTCTAAAATTGCTTCATAAAACTCTGTAAAATAATAATCCAAAGCAACACTTCGATTGTTCGAGTGAATAAAAATCGAAAACTTTCACAAACCCATAATTTTTTTTTGACAATAACAAAGCCAAAAGTTCAAATTTCAATATAAAGAAGAAAAAAAAGGATCAAGGGGCATGCCTGGAAGCCATTACGATTCAACTGTTTGATAGCAACGTCCATTTTAGTGGCATCGTCGTCAGAGCCCTTGACGACCCCTCTGTAAACGCACCCAAACCCTCCTTCCCCAATCAGCAGGGCCCTACTGAACCCTCTGCTCGCCGACTTGAGCTCCGAGAACTTGAACACCCTCAGATCATTGGCTCGCCGCAGGCTCAGCAACTCCTGGAAGGCGACCGAGTCGGACAGGTCCCTCGAGTCCAAGTCGAACTCAGACCGCCGAGTGGTGTCGTAGCTGCTGGAGGCCACGCTGAGAGAACGCGCCCACGACACCTTCGACGCCGCCCGACAAACGACGCCGGGTTCCTCGTCGTCCCGCCTCTCCCCATTAGTGAAATGGAAGCACTTCATCTGCCCCAAAAAGTCTGAACGAACTTCCCAAGTCGCAGAGAGAGATAAAGAGAGAGAGTCAAGAGAGAGGGGCTTGGAATTGGATCACAAGTCACAAATTCACAACGACGAAGTTGGAAATATTTTTTTTTATATATGTTATTTTTCTTCAGACCAGAAAAAGAAAGTAGGAAATAGTTTGTCTCTGTATTAAGCAAAATTAGGCGGCGATTTTGTTGTGAAAAAGGCGGAAGCAAACAAAAAAGTCGGTAGTTTTTCTTGTTTTTTTTGGGTAAACTTTGTGTTTCATTTTCAAATAAGGGAAATATTGGAGCAAAATAGTTGACACCATTGAGTTTTAAGTTGTCAAGCCATCATCGAACTTTATTTATTGTCACTCAATTGTACAGCATACTTACCTTTTTTAATTATATGAATTGTATAGTTAATTAATGTCCCGATCTCTTGGATCACAGGGGTCTAAGAGATTGTGATCACCCACCGTTGGATGTTAATTTAAGACCCATGTAGTCAAAGAGATCGGGACTGTAGTTACTTATTGCATAAATACACTAACACCTCCTGAGGTTTTTGGTGTTTTTACAAAATTTCTTGAGGTTTCAAAATTTACTCGAACGCCCTCTGAGGTTTCAGATTATTTTCACAAAATTCATTTTCGTTGATTGCTCGTCCAAAAATTGATGATTTCATTACCCAAAAAAAGAGGGTATGTAAATGACAAAATTAACCTTAATGAATGAATGTGAAATCTACTTTAAAACGTTAACTTTGTCATTTGGAGATTATTATTTTTATATAAAATTACTAATATTTAGATGAAAAATCAATGAAAAAGATTTTGTGAAAACAATTTAAAACTTCAAGGGGTGTTCATGTAATTTTTGAAACCTTAAGAGGTTTTGTGAAAAGCCCCAAAATCGTAGGGGGTGTTAGTGTAAATAACACTAAACATAATAATTATATGCAAGATGCTTGTAGTTCAAGTGATTAATAATAGTTATTTTAACACCCGACATCTTCAATTTGAATTTGTGTCTCTAATATCACTTGCATAAAAATATATATACAAATTATCTTTTATTATTACCAAAAAGGAGTACAATAACACAAAAAATAAACACACAATGTCCAAGATAAAGAATCTACAAACTCAAATTCATGGTGTTGCATAATAATAGTTGTAATCCTGGTGTCAAGAGACAAGAAAAACTCGGAAGCTTTCTAGCTGAATGATCAACACACTTCAAATTAAAATTGAAATAGAAAATTAAAACTAATGATCATTTATTTGAGAGGGATCTAATTTTTAATTTGTTTTGATGTAGTCTCAAGTTCAAATTTCATAAACGAGGATTGTTAAATAAGAAAAACAGAAGATTCAAATGGTGGTATGTTTTCGAGAATAATATAGTGTGTGTGTAAGCCGTACAATGATTTTATCTCTCTTTTTTTTCTTTTTGTGTTTTGTGTTTTGTTTTGTTTTGTTTTGTTTTTTGTGTTTTGGAATTGAAAGCCCAATCGAGCGCCCATTGTTGCTTTTGTGGGACGAGTCAGAGTGGATCACGAGCGACTGCAGATTTTGTTGCTTAGTACGATATTGGTGGGCCCGCGTGGCCGTTGAGGGGCAAAAGAGGAATTTTACATGTCTGCTCTTTTTGTCTTTTTGATTGGGTCAAGTTGATTGGTCACCTCTAAGTCTAACCACGTCATTGTCCTCAAACTTGTCAAGCTGTCCATTCCTTCTAGAAATGTATGCCAGCAATGACCAAACCATATTATTTCCGTTTACAATATAAGCATAAATTCATCTTTATTTTATTTTCATACCATGGATGGATGTGTCTCAACGACACTATCACAACCCTAGATTTGAGTGTTCGTGTATCAGCTACTTAAGCGAAAACCGACTAACGCTAACATAATATTTAAATTAATAATCACATAACATATAGTATGTTGTATGTCGTATGAGGAATGCTAATGACATTTTATTTTGTAATTTCCATTTTGGAGGTCATCTTTCAAGAATCATTCATGTTAAAAATCAACCGAGTCGTTTAGTCATTTGATTGACAATGTGATAATTCAATGTATAATCAAACAACTGGTTGGTTTATTTATTTGATAACTAAATGATTTATAATTTAGTTAAATTTTTTTTATTAAATAACATTGCACGACAAGAACGAGAAAAAAGAAGGTACATAAATAAATACAACTATAATATTCCTCATTTTAAACTTGTCCGTTTGTATCGTGTACCATTATCGATTATACCTTCTACAAAATCACCAAATTACTAGATCAAGATTGCTTATATCACAATATTCTACTAGAAATTCCATGATCAGTTTCATCTTGCTTAAAGTTTACGAGTAGCAAAAGTAAAAAATGTGTTTAGGCAATAATAATGATGCGCAACAGAGTTGTGTGGGGGGGAAATTCACAAGCAACAAAGTTAACTGTAAATCATTAGAGGGGGACAATACAAGCATCGTAAGCAACAATTACAATTATAGACTTGTGTAAAGGAAAACAACGTTTATAATGTACCGCAATGATAATGTAGTCTTCAGTCTTCCTTCCCAGCATTACAAGCAACAGCCCGCATTAACCCGAATTAAAAAATGACCTCGTTTGATTCGCGGATTGAACTTCTTAAGAATAAACTTTCCAAAACGCTACTACAATAAAACCCATTCACCATTAGTCAATCAATCCTATTTACATCCATTGTTTAAAGAGCTAAAAGAGAAATGAAATATTCTATACGCTATTTATAGGAGCCATGATATATTATATACCAAATATTCGAACTGTGCAAGCTTGTTGTTCTAGATGACGTGCTAAACCCACTCTCTCAATCAATGTTGAAAGTTGATATTTCTTCTCATATCAGTTGAGTTTCTGATGGAGTATTTTCCAAGTTATACGCAAAGTTTGTTCTAACTTTTTCTACAAGAACTGTCTGGATACACATGGGCTTGAATTTTTATTTTATTTTATTTTATTTGTGTATGAGTCATGATTTTATTTTATTTTTAATGCTGCTGGGTCATGATTTGTGAATGTTTAATCCCGCGAAATTATAATATTAATATCTTTTCTGTATGCACGAGTAATAATATTGAGATCGCCTTACTTATGGGTTACGTTTAGCTCATGGGAAATGAGGTTTGGGGATGAGAAATAAATTGGTTTCGCATGTTTGGTAAGTCCATGCATGAAAAATGGTTCCATGACACATAAAAAAATAGGAGAGAAAATGTAACCCTCCTCTCCCTTGTCCGGCATTGAGAAAGGAATCTTCACACTTCCATTTTGTTACATCTTTTATGTTTATGCTTTGTACCCCTTGGTTTATTGGCTAAAATATATTTTTGGTCACTGTCAAATTGATAAGTTTATTGAGAAAAATAGTTCTCTGATATATTGATAGAGTCAAAGTAGCTTGATATATATACAAGTTTTGCATAGATTTACAAGGAAACAAAAATGCCTGGAGCCTACGCTAAGTCTTTACAAACTAGGAAAGCAAATTGACTCCGTCAGCAATTTAATGACAATTTTTTGAAAATTTTCTCCAATTGGCTTCAATCACAACTAAAAACTTGTCTAAGCTCATGAATATATGTTGTGCATCTCGCAACATCTAAACCGTCTTAGTTATCTAACCGTCTAAAACATGACACATCATTTGTTTAAAATTGTTTTTCTTTTCTATCAGGAAAACTGTTTAAAAATAATACTTGTTTTATTGTTTAAATATAAATAAAAATACAAACAAAAAACCAAGCGAGAGGTGAGAGAGGATTGTACGGCGGCTTGGGTGGGGGTGGCGGAGACATTGGTGGTAGTTTTTTGGTTCTTTTAATTTTGGATTTTAATTGAATTTTTAAGTTATTAGATTTTTTTTTTTTTTTTTAAAGTTTAATGATATGTCATCTCTTAAGCAGTTAGATTATTAGAACGGTGAGATGTTGCGAAATGTGGATAAATGCGCAATATGTAAATGTAGAGGCTAGGAATCCCTAGTGTTGATTCAAACAAGACATTAAAGAAATACCAAACTTGGAGTTAAAATAATTTTTCTCATAAACCAAATGCATTTTAAACGTAAAGTTGGAATCTGAAACGGTACTGTTCATCCGGTCCAATTCAGATATGGATATAACATTATCCAATCATTAAACAAATGTCAAGTACCGTAAATTATTCAAAACTTGCATACAAATTTATTATTTACGTGTGCACATGGTGTCGCCTTTAGAGACTTGGTCACTTGGAATTGGAGTGGGTGGAGTAGCTGTCAAACCAACCATCTTATAATTCTTTCTAAGTTGCAGAGAGGATAAATTCCGGCCTCTCAAAGTCACATAGAATTTCCAGTGATGACCACAATAAATTCTTCTTATTTATTTTATTACATTTCGTATCCAATTTAATATACAATAGTGGAACGGCTCAGGTATAAACGAGAGTCTCAGGAACAAGAAGAGTCAAATTGAAAACCTTCGAGAGGGGCTATGTCACTAGCTGAGTTATAACTTATCTTTCATTGACATGGTAAAACAATTGTTTGCTTTCATCATTTGAATGTGTTTATAATTTTTATTTTGTCGGTCTGAGTGAGAGATGTCACATTGTTTACAACACATCCAAATCCACAGTTTGATTCGTTCATGCCTAGAGGTGCCTTTTCTCATCCAAATCCATCGTTTGTTTATAAAACTGTGCTTACAAAACTAACCCAAAAGTACTTAAAGACATTCACGCGCTTCAGTACAAGTAATACCGTGAGAAAAGAATCAAACACAAGACTTCAAAATTACTCTTAAAACCCAAAAATGAAACTTGTTACATCTCGCTTGAACTGTCAAGACTTCAATACCTGATATTAAAAATAAAAACACAGATTGCAATCTACCACTCGCTAGAGTAAGAGCAGTTTTGCTTAGTACTGCACATTCTTAAATTGTAATCTTCTTACAATTAATTAA